ACAGTAAAAAAGAATAGGACCTCGCCGTATTCAGTCAAAGTTTCTCTTTCCCCACCCCGGAGGTTCCCATTTCGATCCGGTAGAGCTCGTGCCAGTTTAAAGCTTACGAATGATGTTGACCGAGTAAGGTTTGATCTCTGTCTTGTTGAAGAAGTCGCTTTAAATGGGTATGGGTCACCACGTTGTACTGTAGTTTTAAAATCTACAGCTCGGAATACACGACAATGTAACGGAATCTCATAACCGTCTGCTGTGGCATCTAACTGAGAATCCTCAGCATCATCGATTGCAAGATCCACATCAAAATCTTCGTTTCCCAGGAAGTTACGAAGACATATCCTTTCATATGGCGTCAAGGGCTTTACCTTTGATGGACCACAGAATGTTATCGTATCTCTCTCACGCATATCCGATATCATTTTGGCTTCCGGCGGCCTGGAATTTTTTATCCGTTTCGACAAGAACTTCGCCAGTAGGATATTACCATCTGAGTCTTCATCGCTACTCTCCACCGTTATTCCTTCTTGGTCTATAACGTATACGAGACAGTTCTTTTGTTCCAACATGGTGATCGTGTTGGAGATATTTTTATTCGTCGAAACCCTAGACTTTGCCGTTCTAGACAATGTCCCGCAGAAACGCTCCATCGCCCATTGCGAGTATGAATACATGGGGCCTGCCCATCGAATGGCTTGGGGGACATGAATTATTTGGTGAAAAACAGGTAGGCAGGCCTTGAGCCGTGTCCACTTCATACGATAGTATCGTCTTTCGTAATAGTCGCTGAACCTCTGGATGCTGACCTCCAATTGGGTCAGGTCGTCGTCGAGGATGGAGTGATCGCATGTTAGTTGAACAGCCTCTATTAGGTTGACGAATTCAACGTAATCCTCTTCTGGAAGGACCCCCTTCATGTATACCGGACCTATGATGAACGCAAACAGCTTCCACTCCGCCGCAGTCATCATATTGATGTATTCTAGAAAGTTTCCGAGCAGCGGACCAAACAGCTGTGGAAACGTAGATGAACTCGATGCAATATCGGTGCTTATCCGCTCCCATATCTTGACTGGTATGTTGTATGGGTCGTCGTTTGGGATAACCTTTGCTGTTGAATCCCGGCCTCTCGATCTTGCCTGTGCTGGATTTGGTCTAGACCCCCTAGATATAGTCTGTTCTATCGGTGCCCTCGCCCGTCTTGTTATACCAGGGCCACGACCTGCTGGTGTCACTCTATTTCGCCGAGCTCGAACCTGTATATAAATACACATCATGATTAGTAAATGATTCATTCTTGAATATAATTCATGTAAGATTGTTGTATATATTACCGTTTGTCTCCCACTCCTTGCAGTGGCTGGAGAACCCCCTTCTTTTACGCTGTCGAGTTCGTTTTCACTCAGCTCGCTGTCAGCATCAGATCCGCCTGGGCTCCCCTCCTCGCGACCGCGATCGATCATGTCAACATCTTCCTCTTCCTCAACATCCGAATCCTGCCTCAATTCCTCTTCTGAATCCTCTTCCGGATCTGCAGATTCCTCCTCCGGTTCGTCACTGAACTCCCCCCTGTCTCTCTGCGCTTGATTTCCCGCACCTCGCCGCCGGGGTCCAGCCGGCTCACTTTCACCGACATCACATACAAATTTTCCTCTCCAGTGCTTGACGAGATCTGGAATGATGTTCTCGAACCACAAATGCATGCTATCTGGTGGGAAGCTTCGTGGAAAATCAACTGCAGTCAAGCGGCTTAGAATCGACAGACCTTTGATACCATATTTAGCCTTTTGCTGCGCCGTTGCACCCCTTCTCGCGATTTGTTGAGCAACCAGACGAAATTCCTCGTCTATTCGCATTGGGAGGCTTGTACGGTCCCACGTTTTCCAGGGGTAACCCGAGCCCTTGCGTATTCTAGCCTTCTGTGGGGTGTCTGTCGGTGGAGTCATTGGGCAATACAGGGACCCGTTCCATACACCCCTGACCATACAATACTCGCAATAGCAATATGAGCGATTCCCCGTTACTTTCATGAGTTTTTCACGTGCAATCATGTCTGCGGCAACCAGGCATAGATATCCATGAAGAGTGAAGTGTTTTTCAGGCATCCATGATGGTATCGACGCATTCAAAACCCCGCGTATCCCCCGCTCAAGTGCTTCAAGCTCTTTGACCAGTGGGTACAAGAAAGAGTCAATATCCCTTGGTGTTTTGGGACCTGGTATGAACCCTGTGCAAAGCATGTTTTGTCGTTTCGCTCGAACGGTGGGTGGAAGATTGAGGCACAAAAGAGCAATCGGCCAAATAGAGAATTTCGCCCTTGACTGGAATATCTGAACCCCATCGGTAGTTAATACGAATCCCAGATCCGTTTTCTGCTGGAATAGGCGTTTAGCCTTCATGTCTCGATAAAGATCACCAGTCCAAAAGTCTGAGGTAACACCTTCTTGTGATTCGACTTGGTCCCGATAAGCTATCAACCAACTTGCACGTACTGGATCTGCATACCAAAGCCTGAGACGGTGCTCTATGGGTATATAGTCGTATGTAGCGTAAGGCTCTTTCCCGGCACCTATATTACCATCCTTCCATCTGGGGTGTTGACAGTAATCGCATTGCCGCTTATCTGGATACAGCGCATAAGACATGCATGATGACTTACAGCAATCAATGCTTATCGATTCCACGCCGGTCTTGTTTTGAATCCATTTCTTCGTAGTTCGGTAATCCCAGCACGACCGGCCACGGGGGTCGACATCCTCGACTGAATCGGTGAAGGATATATTGTTGATCAATGACGTCATATCGCTTGCCGATGCCCTGGACAGCTTATGGGTAAGTTTTATGTCATGTATTGCCACCGATAGCAGCTCAGTTTTTGACATTGCCATTTTTCTCGCACCATATGGAAAACCGCCCTCTCCGTCGTCTGTACTGGATTCCACAGATCTAGAATCTGCGCCAGGGTTTGCTCTATCCAACCGTACCTCACCAGTACTGCTAGCAACACCATCGCGGCCTGGCATATCCTCATCTGAACTGGATAAAAGATCGGAATATGTGTCATACTCATGATCAAGCTGTGGCTCCGCAACAAATCCCCTCCTCATTAGGCCTGCAGCTGCACCAACAACATATTCATCATTATTCTCCTCATCGCTATCAACCCCACTTTCGACCAATACCTCTTCATATCCGTCTGAAGCCGATTGGTCGTGATCACTACCGTCATGATTGATGATGTTGTGGGCGTCTTCTGAAGCCATATGCATATCTATATCAGAACTACCCTGTACATGTCGCATACCTCCAATATATTCCGAATCGTAAGGTAGATTATCCATCTCAATATCTGACTCTTCCGCCATGCCAGGGCTGGTTTGGTCGTTTTCGTTGTTTGCTGCAGGTGAATCAGCTACTTCGGATCCTGGATGCTGCACGTATGGCAATATTGGAGGGGGGCTCGAGGCTATATTCTCATCCTCGGAACTATCGGCTGCATCCGCTGGGATATCCTCATGTCTATTCTCGAAGTGTTCCTTTTGATACCGGCGCGAGGTTACTCGGGGCTTTCGAGCTGGCAATTCCGGCGGTTCTTCGTCCACATCTAGATCATCATCGGGCTGATCTGCAGCTGGTTCATCAGAAGAGATCATGTCTTCCCAAGCAACACTTTCAGATCGATGGTGGCTTTTTTGGTCATTCAACTCCGTGTCAACATGATCTATTAATCTAGCTACAGCGCGACGTCGTCTTCTTGCAGGAAACTCCGGGGCATCAAATTCATGATCAACCTCCAGGCCCCCACCCACGCCACCCGTGTAGCCCCGTCCAGTATGCCTTGGAGATCGTAAAGATGAATCGTGAGGTGAAATGGCTCTGGGTTCTGACATCGCCGGCCGGGCATTTATGGCTGGCCTTCGGGTTCGAACTGTTCGGGGTGTTCTAGCGGGTATAAGGGCCTGTAGCCCATCATCCTCGTCCAACTTGTCCCTCTGCACCCCAAACTGATCATCGTTATCTCCAGAGCTTGCACCATCGTCATCCAGCTGTTGGTCGCGAATATGTCTTCGGCTTGGGACCCTTTGGGACGGTTTAGATCGAGGTCTCCTGGCAGGCAAATCTGGACGTTGTAGCTCTGTAGTCTCTCTTGTCGCATCTCTCGCCCGTGAACCCATATCAACATTCCCCTCGACCTCTTGATCATCGACTCCGCTTGAGTTTTCGATTTCGTCATCGTCCCCACGCGGCGAAAATAACTGATCCAACCTGTCCTGCTCCTTCGCCTGCAAGTGCATGTGCCATTCTGATAACTTCGTGACCGGATGTGGACGGATGTCGAGCAGCGAGCAACTACAAACGCGGTAGAAACCAGCAGGCATTTAATTTATCTTTTGATGATTTAGGTAGAGTTGAGAATAAGAAGAAAGAAAAAAAGAAAGAAAAACGAGGGGTCTTGCGCCAAGAAAAGAAATTTCGTTTTTTTGGAAGGGGGTGTTGAAGCAAAATTGCGGTGGTTTTTTTGAAGACGGATTATCTTATGTGTGGTCGAAGCGCAAATAGGTGGGACATAGTGGGAGGAGTGCAAAGACGAGTGACGTTGTATGTGTTCGACAGCTTAGAGCTGTGCGTAACCCCTGTCATCACATGACTTTTGATACATCTTATCTGATGGATAGCACCAAAACGGCTAAACTAAGCTTTATCAGATAAGATCAAGACAAGATATGCCTATCGCGGCACACTAACTGATTAATTGGGTATAGTCCAAGAAAATTTTTTCCTTTCGCTTGGCTATCAACAACCTCAGCTCCTAACTGCACTCTAATTTACATGGTCGCGATTGACCTAACCCCCCACCCCCCAACACTACGGCCACTTGCATCCATCATTCTCCCTAGTATCATTAATTCCCCCCCTCTCTTTTCTCCCTAGTATCATTAATCCCCCCCCTCTCTTTCAAACAGGTTATACACTCGGTCGGTCCCGTACGCGCAATCCCACCGATGTCTCCCAGTATACAGGAGATCTTGCGGGCCAGGAAGGAGGAAATGATGAAGCAGATGATGCGCGATCTGGAGGAGAAAATGGCTGCCGAGGAAGCTAGGCTCATGATCACACAGAGCATCGAAGGAGAGCAGGAATTACCCGAGCACGCGGTCGAGGGCAAAAGTTCTGATGAAAGCAGTACAGAACAGGCTGGTAAGCTGATCCATCACCATTCGAGTACAGTCATGAAAGTTACTAATCATGTTCCCATATGCATCTCAGCCAAAGAAAAGTCCAAAGCTCCTGTTTTGCACCAACGAACGATGACAGGCAGAGGAAAACTTTCACCAATCGGAGTATATGCCAGTACCCCCGCGGCCGGCTCCGAAATTAGCGAAGCAGACTCAGATCAGATAAGTCCCAGCGTTCGAGCTCAAATTCTTGCGGAAAAAAGGAAGAGCCAGAAAATGCCGGTCCGGTTTAGTGAGCCTGAAGGTGGACAATCTCAAGGTCTGAGCTCCAACAAATCCGTGGCAGCCATCAGCTCGAAACCTTCGACGATTGCAAGACAAGGCAAGACACCGTTACAACCGGCTAAGTCATCCACCGCGTCGTCGTCAAAAACTCTACCCCGAAAGTCAGCCTCAATTGTACACGACCATGACACCGACGAAACGAGAGAAGAATCGCCAGACCCCAGCGAAAACACCCCAGATGAACAGGGAGTCGACATCGGTGACGTGAATATGGGTATGGACACAGGTGAAGAACTGCGACCAAACTCCAAGGCTTTTCGGCGATCCCTCAACATTCGGATGGGCGTGATGATTGAAGGGACTGATCAAATTGATAGGAAGAAATTGAGGCTACGACGGCAATGGGTGTTGGAGGAGTGTCTGAGCAAGGGCATACGCTTGGACACTTCTTTCAATTCTTATGCTTATGAGACGAAGATGTGGCCTATGATCAAATGGGTTGCAGCAACCGCCCCCAGGGACTGGGGCTGGGACCGCCTGTTGGTCAAGGACGTGATTCGAACGATGTGCTGGGATCGGGGACGCAACAAAAGGAATCGAGAACTCAGAGCAGCTGGCGTTCCCCCGGATGCTACAAGAGCTCGCAGAAAACGACTCCCTCCCACGACAGCCGATGATAGTGGTGGCTCAGGCAAACAAGACAGTAGCCAAAGAGTCGAGACGGCTATGGAGGCCGATGGAGAAGCGGATGAAGGCCCCATGTCCACACGGAGATCGACTGCCCCAACCAGCCCAATAATAACACCACCGCCACAGCGATCACGTACAATGAATGCCCAAAACAAAGATAATCGCGGAGTTCAACAACCGGTGGTGCTGACGGCGCCAGCGGGTGGTCGAAACCAGGCAAGTAAAGTTAGCAAAGCCCCAACTGCTGCCACTAAATCCAAACCCACTACAAACAAACGGCCGCAGGTCGATGGTGGCGCTGAAGGTCCAAAAGCTAGCTCTCCCATGGCCGTACCGATCAGCAAATTTGTTCGTGATCGTATGCAAGTTCAAAGTCCCCCTTCCCCGCAATTTGAGTCAAGCCCCCTCGTCCCCCCTGCCCGCACCCCCGTTCATTTGCAAAAATTCAGGCAGCCCAAATCAACAGCACCTGAAACTGTCAGTTATGCGGCAAAAGATAAAGCTGATACAGACAAGGAGAAGGATGTCATCCAGGTGTTCATGGGCAAAAGGGTTTTCCGTTTTGCCACCGACATAGAATGGGACGAGTTTGAACTTGAAATTCAAAGTCGTGTTACTTTAGAGGCTGATGAGTCTATGTTTTACCGGGCGCGTGGTGGGCGTGATAAAGAGTGGAAGCCTCTTGCCTATCCTGTCGAGTTGGAAAGGATGATAGAACAATACGCTGAGTGTGGGGCTGAAATTTGTATCAAGGAAGCGGTAAGTTTATATGCCCTGATATTATACTCCTAGATTCATGTCAGCTGTTTGCTAACTTTTGGTGTTGTCGACTATACAGCGAGCGTTTATAGAGGAGGAGGAGGAGGAGGAGGATGGTGCTCGTGTTAGGAGTAGAAACAATTCACTGGTTTGGCGATAACCCCCGGCCTAGGGATATAATTTATAGTAAGAATTCTTTTTTGTTATACGGAGAACTAACGATATCGGTGCTATGCCATAGCCTGCTGAAGAGCCTGGAGAACCTGACCTTGTGATTGGAGGACAGGACATCAATAATCATTTCGAAATAACACAAACTCTCGTCCCAAACACCCCGAATGATCACGAAAAGGACAAGTTGCCAAGTAGTACGGGATTGATAAGCCCACCTGATTCGAACAAGGACTCGGCTTCACCGGAGGGCTTAGAGATGATTAACGAAAGCAATAAACTTTGCAAAAGAAAATTCTCGTATCCTGAACATGTCCAACTGCTATCACCGGAGCCATCTCAAGTACCAGATTCACAAATCCCCAGTACACAGACAGCTGTTTCGCCTATCGTGAAGAGAAAACGAGGCCGCCCAAGAAAAAATGAGAGTATCCCGGAGTCACAACTGCCTGCTTCACAGACTGCAGATCAATTGCAAGAGGATATCAATAAACGCAAATCGACTAGGAAGATTACCAAAAGTATGAAAGTTTTAGATAACGGAGAGACCCAGAAAATTACCGGTGATGCTAATAAATTGAAATGTGCGAAGAATAAATGGAAGGAAGAGTGGGCTGGGTTTGAAACACGCAATCCACCAGCGTATTTAACTGCACGTGGAACGTCAGAGGCTAAGCCCGGGAGATAATAGGTAACTGCCCTCTTCATATATATAACTTGCATGGGCGTGGTCTGAGGTGTAATTTTCAGATATGCTCAACAATACCACATTGCGACATCACCAAGCGCCGCTAATACCGATACACTTTTCCAACTGCAACACGTTACAATTGATCTATAAGAGCTGCGAGTGGGTGATAGGTATATTATAATTAGATAGGGAAGATTAACTGTATCGTATACCATAGTCAACGGTTGCGATTGAATAGCTACTGCGAAATAATATGCTACTAAAATACTGTTTAAAATACTGTTTAAATTGTTTAAACAGCTATAGATAACGTAAAACTGTTTAAACTAACTGCTTAAAAAATAAACTGCTTAATTTAAACAGTCGTAAACTGTTTAAATCATGAGTCCATAGGTCGCCAAAAAGACTGTTTAAATAAAACAGTTAATGAAAACAGTTTTGCTGCTTTACTTAAACAACTTATCCTAAACAGTTTTGCTGCTTTACTTAAACAACTTATCCTAAACAGTTTACTGCTTTACTTAAACAACTTATCCTAAACAGTTTTGCTGCTTTACTTAAACAACTTATCTAAACAGTTACGGTGTTTAATTTAAGCAGTTTCCTACACCGCCCATATCAACGAAATTTAAACAGTTTTTGAACAGCATTTAAACAGTTTTCTAAACAGTTCTACTGCTTAAAATCACTAAACAGTTTAACTGCTTAGACTTAAACAGTCAAGTATGTACCTCGGTGGATGGTTGGAAAAGTTTGGGCGCGGGGAGAATCGAGCTGTAAAAAGAATGGATAACGCCGAGACTGACGGCGGCGGAAGAACGGTAGGGCAGGACGGTAGAGGAATCAAGGCCTTCACTGTCCTTAAGAGCCTGGAATTGTTATGCACTGCAATGGACACGGGTCTTTAACTTGATAATGGTTTCGACGCATGCATGTAGCTTTGCTCGACAACAACTGCAAAGTGCCTCCTCGGCCGGATAACGTTGGATCGTTTCTTGCTATAGCTGGATAGACCAGGTAATGTGAGAGAAAACGCTATAATCCCATTACTTATAATCTCCTGTATAAATCAAAGCAAAGGAAGGCCCAAGACCTATATGAACGTACGGCGTTTTGCTGTTAAGCACACGAAATTGGAAGTCATATTTCATTACATTGGTCCAAATGTTCCGGGCCGTTGGCGGATATGACGGATTCGCGAATGGCCTGGGAATACTGTGGTTTTAGTAGGACAAATAGTTCATCACTCACCACTAATAATGATTTATATCAATCCTGAATGATCTCTACAACCATCAGAAACCTCTGAAAAAACCATCGACCCTAAAGACCAAACCTAAAAAAATAATTAGCATCTTCATGATCTTTAGCGAGCTTAAGACCTCAATATTAACAATTGACGCCTGATATGTGGTATCCTGTGGTCTCTATCAACTTCAGTGACCTCTACAACCACTTATTAGGGCCCTATGAGCTCTAGTAGAGTCCAGATTATTCTCGAGTTAATTTAAAGACCCAATTCCATTACCCTTTATCCAGTCCATTCGCCAATGGACCGGTCCGGTCCCCGATGTATGGAGCAAGCAGTCCATTGGCGAATCCAGGGTATTTGCGAGTCACCCGGAACACAAACGTCAATCGTCAGGTTTTCCTACAAGCCCTTTACATTCTCTCAGTCTATGGACTTCGTTGACGACTGTACAGCTGTCTATGACAGCTATGTAAATGAATCAGTAAATTAATCAAGATTTCAACGTGCTTAATTAGTGTTATTAAATACATCGGAAAAGTGCTTATGAAGTCATCGAGATTTACCATTGAAATGAATCTTTTTTCTATGTAGAAATGAATCAAGAAATGTGCTTTAAGTTCATATTAATACTCGGAATAACACATTATTTGATCCAATACCATATGCATTGCGTTGGGTGGGAGGGCAAGGGTACATGTATATTACCCCTCGATCTCCCTTCTCTAATAGCCCGGTGGATGCATCATTTATCCCTATTATCCTATTAATGGAATGGTAAAAGTACGAAAAGGTATGAAAACGTTCATTTATAACCGATGTCTTCTGTAAATGCATCTATGGGTGCTTTTACCTACGACTTTACTTATGACTTGACCACTTCCGGACTCTTTTCCTTCTCCACCGGAAAATGTTTATTTTTGCGGTGAAGCTTTTGTTAGGATCCCAAGATAACTGATATCCAAAACCAAATATGAAAGTAGGATCATCATATTCTCTACCAGCTATGGAAATGAATCAGGAAATGAATCGAAAATTTACCCCACTTCGCTATTGTAAAATGCATCGGAAAAGTGCTTTGAAATGAAACAAAATCTCCCTTGTAAACGAATCTTTTTAAATGTCGAAATGAATCCGGAAATGGGACTTAAGTGCAACTTAATACTTTAACAAACACATTATTTTATCCCTTACAAAATTCGTTCCGTTGGGTGTGAGGGCGAGGGTATATCCCTCGACCTCCCCGGACATCGCGTATTCAATCTATTTAAATACACATTAACTTACCACGGGAGAGTACTGCCCCCCGCCTCCTTGACTCCACTTTTTCTATCCGTTAAAATGCAAATTAACATCCTCCCTTTCCGATCCGCTTAACTCTTGAAGGCGTTGAGAGAGCGCAACGGTTGCATTAAACAGTAAGGCTCTGAAAGCAAATCTCTACGTCCTGAGGATTGAGCGTGGGAGGCGGAGTCATGGACGGCCACTCGCCTTGTGTCTTGACACGAGGGTGTAGCTGGGATTCGAGCGCCGGTATCGTTCACAAGCACTGTCGGAGGGTGATCATATGGGAATATTACTGTGGCGAATCAAAGCCCATGGTACAGGGGATCGTGAGTTCCGGTGCTACACAGTGTGAGCCCTCGTCTATCCCCGCGCCAATCAAATGGAGTATTTAAATCGCAAGGTGGAATAAATAACTGATCATGAGATCATTTATCCATGACGGCCATGTATTAAATAGAATCGATCGAAACCGTAATTATACCCATTGCCTTTTTATTTAAGCAGTAGTTTGAGACCTTCCATGTCAATTGAAATGCTATACAAAGTCCTTATCGATGTTTTATAACCTGTCTCCACCGAAGTTCACATTTAAGTAATAAAAAGTTCAAGTTATCGTCTTAAAGATTTCTGTATACGATCGCGAACTATTTCTTCATCCAAAACACATCTCAATAACTCGCCGATGAGTACGGATCCCAGGTCGGAGCCATGGTGCCTGATCAAAAGAAGTACTATTGTGGATTACGTCCACCATGTCAGAGTTAACCTGACTAATTTGCAAGATTATTCCAAAATGGAATCGGAATCAAGAGAAAGCTGCCTTACAGTCGCCGATGAGTACATTGTCACTGATCGAAGACGGAAGAATACCCAGAATATTGAAGAGAGAGAGGTGCTTGACCTCATGTGTGAGCATTACCGTATGGAATTCAAGATTTGGGTTCAAATACTGAAAGAAGAAAGCGAGGAGGTTCGAATGTGTCACGAGCTGCACGAGGATATTGCTGAAGGATTGATGGATATGAGTACAGAAGATATGAAACAACTAATCATGGAATTTGAGGCACAGGAAGATGTCCTTATCTGTCATATGGAAAATGTTGAGACACCTCTTTTGCCGGAGGGAACAATATACGATAACTATATTGAACTTAGCGATCAAGTTGATTCTTGGCTTACCAGACTTCAATATCGGATTGAAGATTTAAAAGACGAAATCGAGACTGGAAAGATCAGGAAGCATTGTGAGCTGTATGACACAATGTATGGTCGAAAGAGAGAAGACTTTGTCTTGATCATGATATGGCTCCTGAACCGAGCACTTGTTTCTATTCTCACTTTGCATTGACAGCGCGTTGAGAATGATGGCTTTTTACTAGCATCTTTATTTCGTTATTTTCCTTCTCTTTTCATAATTTTACACAATTCAATCTCTGCGTTTTTTTAAATGGTAAATTTGTTTACTCTACTGTGATCGTGGTGCTATCGATTGCTTGCCTATTGTTTCAAATAACAGTATAAGTCAACAATCCCACCCACCCAACGCAATGCATATGGTATTGGATCAAATAATATATTTGTTAAAGTATTAAGTTGCACTTAAGTCCCATTTCCGGATTCATTTCCACATATAAAAGAGATTCGTTTACAAGGGAAATTTTGTTTCATTTCAGAGAACTTTTCAGATGCATTTGTATGATACTAAGGAAGTACGGTAAGGTTTTCATTCATTTACTTGTTCATCTACATAGCTGGTCGATACCCCCATGCATATGCCTTGCTACGTCTATCTCGAAAGATGTCATTCTATACTCAACAGCGCTCGTAGCCTTACCAAGGTTCTGGCTACGTAGAAGGAAACTCGTGGCCAGTTTGTATAATTGTATTGGCCGTGTGTGCGGAGGTGAGCGTTATAATATATTACAACCAGGATGTGATATTATGAAGTACCTAGATCAACAGACCGAATGAGTCCTATTGCAGGTGCCCGGATGACTTCTGTTGAGTGATTTGGTCAATTGACTCGACTGATCTTCTTATCCATAGTAGATGGGCAATGTAAACCAGAAGCTAGCCACCCACGAGCAATAGCCACCTAGCAGGACTTCCCCCCTTGAAGAGCCCCTCTCCCCCACGCTTCAAGCCGAGCAATACGCACTCGAAGTTAAGAGGCTATGGCTGGCCGACTGATTCGTCTGTAGTAGGTTACAGTGTCTGTCACGCCTTCGAGTCATGAATCCTTGTGATTAATTTGCTTCTCTCCACTGGTGGGAACATACATCAAGTTCAGTTTTTGGTCTTGGTCTTGTTTTGACCCTGGTGCGTGGGACGGGGAGTGGGTTTAGCGGGAGGGTCGGCTGGTGACGGGAGGAGCGAGAGGGTGCTATACTGGGACGGGCACGTAGGGTTTGAGGGAATGCGAGGGAATATGAAGTGGTTTGAAGGGGTGCAAGCGGCGGGAGTAGTTGGGAAGTTGAGGTGTTTATAGTGGGAGTGACTAGGTCATGCGTGTACCTAGGCGTTTTTGGCCCAAGCCGCTGCTGGCTGTTAAACCTACCTTTACCATCTCTCCCAGCAGGCAGACCTTCAAGCTCTGTTAGCATAGTGGTCTATGCACCTGGTTAGGAAACTTATGACGACAGCAGGTACTTGGGTTCGAATCCCTGATGGAGCCAATTTCAAATCTTTTTTTTTTCTTTTTACCCAATTCTATTTTTCAAACGGGAGGCAGCTAGGAAATTTCTTTTGTCCAGGGCCGGGCGGTCTTTGGGGGTAGTGGGTTGCGGAAGATAAAATGGAATAATTCTTACGGGGTCGTAATACTGACCATTTGCCTATTTGAGCTTGCGTGTTATTTTTTTTTCTTCTCTTTTTTTTTCCTTTGATCTCGATGGCCCGAGTGACACGCCACGACCGAAACGGCACATTTTTGTAAGTACATGTATGTTACCGTCAATTAGCAGGCAAGCGCCGAGAAAATATATGTAGTTTGGATTACATGTAGTCCTAACGTTATTTATCTTAGTCCGTGGTGTGTATGTGTCCGTATATGTAGTTTAGTGTTGTAAAGTACACGGACACGGACACGGTGCAGAGTAACGTATCCTCATTCCATATTGGAAATCTTGACTTCAATTCTTCGATTCTTCAATCATATCGTTCCATAACGATGCTCATATCTCCACCCAACTATATACAAAAAGGCCCAACTGCCCACATACCCACATACCCAAACACCCAAGCACCTAAACACCCAAACTACCCCTTCTCCGATTCCGGTCTTCCATCTCTATTCAATATCAATATCTAAGCACGCCTCCCCTCCGCATCCCCCTTCCCCGCAACCCTTGCGGAGCGGCGAACAACTGGCTTCGCAGCCTCTGCAGCCACAACCAGAACGAGTTCCTGTGCTCTGGTGAAGGCTCTGGTACCGTGTAGCTTTGGGGCTGCTTGCGTCTTCACCTTCTTCCTGATACCGGTAGCATTGCTCTTAATGGGGCGGAGTGGTGATCGGGGAGAGGCTCTCGCTGGTGCTGGTGGAGAAGCTACAATCGCTGCGTGAGGTGGAGAAGCTCTCACTGGCGCTCGAGAGAGAGAAGCCCGAATCGGCCGCGCATCATTGACTAGAACGGCACCATTCGGCGGGTCCACACGCCACGGCGCATGCTGATTATCCCGCGGCGGCGTACCGCCAGCCAACACCTCCCCGTGACCGCGCTCACTGCCTCTCCTTGCACGTCCCGACACCTCATTGTGACCGGGCTCAGTGCCTCTCGTCGCGCCTCCCGACATCCAGTTCCCAACCTGCGCACACGCGGGGAAGTGCCCGCCGTCCACCTTGAAGCTCGCATCCACGAGGCATCTCGCCAGATTAGTCGGCGTGTTGAAGGCGCTGAGTGGTGCGGCTGGCGAGTGTGGGGTGGGGGAAGCGACGGAGTCCATGCTTCTGGCCGAGTCTATACTGGGGGTGGGAGAGGCGGTGGGTAGGGGTGGGTGAGGGTGGAGGAGGCGGTTGTGTTTGAGAAGGCTGTACTTTTGGCGGGTGAGGCGGGTGGTGGCGAGGAATGGGTGGAGGAGGGCTTGGTGCGCGGTGAGGCGGCGGCGGTGGTTGATGGTGAGGAGGGAGGTGAGGAAGGAGGCCACTGTGAGGGGGTGGTTAGTTTGGTTGATAATAAGATATAGGCTGGAGATGGGATGGAAAGGGTCTATGGAGAGGTGATGTAGGCCTCTATATCCTATGATATATCGGCACATGTTGCAGAAGATATATTGACAACAGGAGCAAACACCAAAGAAAACCTTTTCAAAAATCAGTAGAAAGAAAAAACCTACTATCATCATCCATCCCCTCCAGCAACCCCGCCTCCACCACCCACCCCTCCTTCAACCGCAACAAGCACCTCCTGGCCCCCCTCGAGCTCCCATCCCCGCCGACAAACTTATCCAACGGATGATAGCCCAGCCACCTGGACAACAGCGCCATACCCATGGCCCACATATCGGCCGGGCCGCGCTGGCACTCACCCATCTTCCAGCATTCGGGGCTCGTGTAGACCGCCGTGCCGTCACACCCCAACTCTGGGTCGACGCGCTCTTTGGCTCGCGCGTCCCAGGAGGCGGTGCCGTAGTCGGTGAGGAAGGCGATGGGCGCCCAGGGCTCGGGGCGCTGGCTGGGGTCGCTGTGAGGTTCGCGGACGAGGATGTTGTCGGGTTTGACGTCTGGGAGGGTGTCAATATCACAATAGCAGTAGCTGTTGGAGGAGGAGCTGAAGTGCAATATAGATATTTACCTTTGTGCAGCGTGCCACCCTGCGAGTGCAGGCCGTAGAGCGACTGTGCAATGTCGTGGGCGTACTCGCGCATTGCGTCGTGGCCAAAGAGGCGGTGGCCCTTGATGGTGCGCATGTTGTGCTCAAAGTACTCCATGATGATGCACGCTACATGCAAAACTCAGCTAACAGCAAAACGACAGCAAAGCATTAGAGGAACGTACGGTGTCCTGCCTCGCGGGAGATTCCATAGACCTTGGGTGTATAAGCATCCAGCTTCTGTATCCGCACCATGACGTCGAACTCGTCGCTGAAGCTACTTTCCTATATACACATATACGTGCGGTGTCAGTCGACCTACTGCACATCACAGAGAAGGGATGGATATAGGACGTGACGTACGAGGAATCGATCCTTTATGGCATCGCCGGTGAGTTTGCAAACCTTGAATGCGGCGACGGCGCCGGGTCTGGTGGTGTGTTCGGCTTTGAAGCAGGCGCCGAAGCTGCCTTCGCCGGTCTGGTGCGTGAGTTTCCAGTGGCCGTTGCGGGTGGTGTAGCCGGGGCATAGAGCATCTGGGATTCTGTATACCACCCGCTGTGGGGTGGCGGGTACTTGGAAGTTTGGCTGGCGGAGGACGGCCATTGTGTGGAGAGTCGGAAAAGGGGTGAGGTATTTAGGAAGTGGTGTTGGGAGGCTTGGAGATGGATGGTGGAGATTGGGGGTTTGTGGAAGAGGTTGGGTTGTGTTGTTGGAACTTTTAGCTTTTGTTCTTTGACTCTCGAAGCTCTGTCTGATTTTTGGTATGTGGTTGGTACCGGGGGTGAATCGAAGATAATCTTTCTCGCACGGTAAACTCAGCTCTGTGAGATTGTGTGAAGTGGTTGTAGTTGTCCAAGTTCGTAAACAACGTCAGAACGAATCTGATTTGATTGTTTACAGGCAGCGAGACTGTACAGGAGATTCTGCTATACTGTCGTCCTCGTCGTCGTGGAGTCTGACCAAAGTGAAGAAGATGGGAGGAAAGGGTAATTCGTGTTGTAAAACGCTAGACGTCCTTCAATTGTGCAGGTAATTTCACACAACACGCACAGGTCCAAGAGAAGAGGAGAAGGAACAGAGAGAGAGAGTGGTCCTGTCGGTGCTTGTCTTTTGATGGTGGCAGCGACATGTTGTTTTGCGCCCATCTTATCTTGGCAGTTGGGCGACATGACGTCTTTGCTAATTTCCCTAATCTCCCAGCGATGTGTGGGAATCATTCAATGTGCTTTGTGAATATACCAAATATATGAACAGAAGTGGAATTGCTGTTACGGAGGACAACGTTTCACGCTAAAATACGTGAAGGACTGTGGATTTAGTTACAGCGCTTTTTTTTCAATAGGCGTCCAGATAGTTTGGATTTATGGGTAAGTTGCTAAGAAAAAAAGGAAAAAAGATAGACTGGATCGAGCACACATGAGGTCAAACTAAAAGGCCTCTATCAAATGAATCCGTCGAAACATGAACGACGGCAGAGCTCCTCTCGGTTGTTATAGTGATATTCGGGATAGCTGACTACTCCAAGCTAGCAAGAACCGTAGCAACCGCACTAGCATAAAAGTAGGCATCAGAGATTTACACTCTGTGAACGACGACTTTACAACCGTCGCCCATTAGTCGTTGATTTTCGGATGCGTGTTATTACCTCTCATGCGATAGTTACGCTGAGAGTTGCATCCCGCTCGATCTTATGTTACGCGTGCCATGAGAATGTCGCGCCGAAAGCAAACCGCAGGTGCATCATAGATTATCACTCGCACTGATCGCGCCAGGGTGTCATTTCGTCCGAGGCCAGGAGATGGTAGGTGTAATCAGCCTCCAACACACAAAATGACCATTCTTTATAGCAACACATGCGATGGAAAATAATAATTCGTGGGCACTCTGATATGAGGTTTCCCGATTTACAGACAGTCCTCGCACCTTTCTTGCCACTCATGCATACACATCATGCCTACAGATATATCTGGTCGAGTGTGAAAGACATCTAGAGCGATACCAAATTATGATTAATGAATTAAACGAAAAAAAAAAAAAAAAGAAAAAAAAAAAGAAAAACGATAGTAAATTATAACTGTCGAATGTTTGAAATCATCACGATGCACATCCGAAAATTTTCACAATCGAGAAGAGAGGAGTAAGAGTTTTAAAATCTTTTAGTTTTTATCCAGACTAAAGAATGATAATGCCTTGCGGTCTATGTACCCAAATGCTAACCTAGTAATGCTAATGATGTACTCCTCCAATCGATACTCTGTCTCTCCACACCAGCCAGACTCTTTCCAAACCAGGCCACGCCGCCTGAACCCAGCCATCGTTCAATCACCGCCCTCTTCCATCATTTAAATCTCATAAACACTTCACAAACGCGGACCTGCAACCCTGTACTTGAACAAATCCTTCATCTCCACGCCCGGCGGGCAGTGATAGAACCCGCTCTCAATCCTGAAGTTGTGCATGAAAACGTCCTCATAGCGGCTCTCAAACCCGCCGTCCACCGGAGGACTCGAGTTCGGCGACTCCGTGTTCTGCTGGCGGTTGCCGGTGAATCGAGGGATGCCGGTGAAGCGCGGAATGCCGCTTGCGACTCGTGGGGCCGGGGCGGCAGGCGAGGGGGTGGATGAGAGGTTGATCAACGGCCCGTTGTTTGTGCTGATGTTGATGTTCGCAGTTGTGACGGCCGCGGGCGCTCGTGGAGCGGTGGGCGCAAGAGGGTAGGCCATACGCCTCATTTGCGGCGCAGGCACCGGTGGAATTGCAGCAGCGATATTTGCTGGCCCAGCCGCAGTCGCGGTGTTTGAGCGCCCGGCCTCGCTGTTCGCAACAGCAGCACGTGCCCGGGGACGCGGAATCGCAAAACGTCTCTTCGCAGGCCGACCGCGCTCACGCACGCTCTCTCTGGCCTCGGTGACCCACACGTCCTCCCCGTCCTCGCTCTCTTCCTGCTTGATCTCCACGCCGGTATTGTCCCGGCGCCTTTGTACCGCCGCCTCCGTCTCTGCCGACGCCGTCGCCGCTGCCGTGGATGGTGGTGTGTTCTGGTTAGTTTCGTCCGCCGCACGAATGTTGTTGAGGCGCTCACGGAGCTTCTTCATCTCCCTCTCCTCCCTGAAGCGGGCCTCCAAGCCGGCGTGCGAGTACTTCTGAAACAAGGCTTCGCGCTCCCTTTTCAGCTTCACGGCACGGAGGTAAGGATGGTCCACCGCCGCGCGGGCCGTGAGACGCTTCTTGGGGTTGATGCGCAGCAGGGACTTGATAAACCCGAACGCCTCCGAACTATGGCCCTCCGTGTTCTTCAGGAACCCGGGCTTCAGCGCCGCGGTCATCTGCATGGTTTCCTCGTCTGTTGCGCCTTCGGGGAGCAGCGGCTGGCCGAACACAAGAATATACGCTAGCAATCCAAACGACCACATGTCACTGCAATCAAAACGAACAATAATCAGCATCATCTAGCAAATATGATATATAGCTAAAGAAGGGATCTACTCACACTTGACACCCGTAATTGCGACGCGCACAGATCTCCGGCGCCATGTAGCGCGCCGTGCCGCAGCGCTGACTGAGTACCTGCGCGCCGTCGCACCACGTGCTGATGCCGAAGTCGGCGAGGAGGGCGCGGGCGGCCGGGGTGCGGGTCGAGAGGAGGATGTTGTCCGGTTTAATGTCTGTGTAATTTGTGTTAGTAAGAAGAAGAAGAAGAAGAAGGAATGAGGACGGGGAGAGGAAATGTACCGCGGTGGACAATGGAGCGCTCGTGAAGCTCTTGGAGGGCTTTGGCGATGTCGTAGAGGAGCTCTCTGGTGCGGAAGGAGGAGAGGAGGGTTTGCGACTCGTAGATGGCGAAGAGGTCGCCGCCGTGGGCGAGTTCGAGGAAGATGTACCCTGCAGATTGTGGGTTAGCTTACGGCTACTGCAGATGGAAGACCGCTAATATCACAACACGCAAAAAATAAAGGTAAAGGCAGGGAAGTAGAACAAAAAAAGAAGACATAAAAATGAGAAAAATAACGAAGAGAAAAAGGACGAGGGAAAAATAAAAAAAAAAAAGAATAGGAAGGGAAAAAATGATCGGGAAAAAGAAGGGAAAAAAAACAGGAAGAAAAGAGAAGGAAAAAAAGAGAGGAAGGAGAGGGGGGGAAGGGGGAGGGGATATAGCAGGACAAAAATAAAAAGAAGATAAAAAAAGAAGGAAAAAAAAAAGAAGATAAAAAAACAAGACAAAAAAAAAGGCAAGAAGAGAAAAGCAAAAGAAAAAAACGGAAAAACTAGAAAACTTACAATTCTCAGCATGCTCCTCCTCCACATCCAACAGCCTCGTCCAGAGCCCCGAGCCTCCATCCAGGGCCATAAGAATCTCGACCTCTCCCATAATCTGCACATCCTGTCATCAGCAACTGTGCTCACGCAGGAGGGCGAAGAGAGGGGGGGGAGATCAATTGGTTGCAAGAGCAATCAATAGGAGGAGGAAAACATACCTCTTCTTTCAAATTGATCTGCTTGCTCATCACCTTGACACAACACTCTTTTCCGGTTGCGAGATGCGTACATTTACGGACCGCGCCGAAGCTGCCGGCGCCGAGGGTGTTGCCTAGCAGGTAGCCGCGCACGACTTCGGGGGTGCGGGGGGCGTTGTGGCGATACATTTCTTATGTTATGGTAGAGATGGGGGATGATAGGTGGGGTGGGGGGTGTAGAGGTAGATCTCGGTGTTGTTGAAGGGTGGTGGTGGTTATTGATGGTGATGGTGATGGGGATGTCTGTTGTTGATGGTTATGGAGATGTAGTTGGGGGTTAATGAGGAGAGAGAATGTCGAGAGAGGATGGAGTGAGGTTTCGTTGTTGAGAGAGGATGATGCTGAGAGAGGATGCAGTGATGTTTTCTTGTTGCTGTGTGGAGAGAAGATGAAGTAAAGAAGAGACGGAGTGTCGTCGTTGACTGTTTTCAGTGCACTGAGTGTTGTCGTTGGGGACGAGAAGTCGACGTCGAGTCAAGCTATCGATCTCACCAAAGCCAATGTCTCCCAGAGTATGCAACGCAACTAGCTTCTTGCAACAGAAAACAAGCCGACGCAGCAATGTGGAATAAAAGCAGCAGAGTGGAGTTTAGCGTAGAAGGGGGAACGACGGGTGGAAGAAGGGGGTTAAAGTAGAGCTGAGGTGATTGTCAGTTGGGATTGTGACGGTGGGACATTCTATGGCGGTGCGGGTGGAGGGAATAGTAAAAGCTGGATGCGGGAGGTGGTGGATGGGCGCTAGTGTGTGTTTGGCGGGTTTCGTAGAATTGGGCGCACTTTGCACTAGCTCGATGAGCATCCACAAACTGCGATTCTCGATGAAGAGGCTCAGACGGGTTTCTCACACAATTGAAAGCTGGTCCATCGGAGGAAATACATAAAAGTTGATCATAGACTAAATTATTTTTCTTTTTTCTTTTTCTTTTTTTTTTTTTTTTTGATGGTATGGTTTGTCGCTGGTGTGCGGCCATGAGGAGACAATATTTTCTTGAACAAAAGGCTCTACTTCCCATGTTACATTCTGGAATAAGCCCACTTAAAAATATACACAGAATGTCGTCATAAGAGACACAACAGTAAAGAAGTTCAGTGGCTACTGAATAAATAAACATTATAAACCTCAGAGCCTGAGCAGCTCTGATCAAGGTGGGGTTTCGTCGTCGTCACAAGATATCACTCGGGTTTCACACAAATCTTCAGTGTTTGCTACAGTTCGTGTTACTGGCTACATTTAAGAAAGCGACTCACCAAGAGTCTCTAGGCACACGCTGAACGACAGCAACACAACACGGTGTATAGAATGCACGGTGTCACACGGCATGTGTTTGCCATTGGAAGTGAAAAGGTTGGAGGTATTTACTTTTCTATAACTATTATGGATATATGAGACTTTGTTAGGGGCCTTCTTTTGACTTCTATTACACAGTGTACTACTGTGCCACGCACAATCAATGCTACAGTATATACGTATCTGAAGGTGTCGTTGTCATGGTAATGGAGGACTAGGTAGCTCGCATTACCCTGCCTGGTTTCGTGTTCGACCTCATGTCAAGTGCCCGCAGAGCCGATGAAGGCACTTAACATCATCTTCTATGGAAGGGTTTGGGAGTGGGTTTCATTGCTAAATCATAAATCAGACGAAAACCTCCTCCCCCACGAAATTCCGTCGAAACCAGGCGTGCACAACGTTCCGAACTCTCAAGAGCTCACGTGAGGTTCGGGCCTTGGCGCCAAGACACACCGCCAGGCAAGACACGAAGGAGAACACACTCAACCAAAGTGCCCTATTAATCCTAACACGTCGCCATGATCTTTAGATAGTTCTTAATAAATGGAGAATGGATGGAATTCCTCTTCATGTCCAGTGGATCGTTACACAAGGGTTCGGCCATAGACCCCTGGACACCAAGTTACCCTGCCTTTTCGGTCTTCAACGACATGCCAAGGCCCCGCTGCGGGCTTAGATGGATAGAGAGGTCTATGTACACCGATCCAAGCATAATCGAGGCTTTCAGTGCTGTGGAGTAGAAGGTAGTTGGGAAAGGTGGTTTTCGTGATTACAAGATGTCTAGAGATCTACAAATTGCAAATGTTGACTAATTCACGACAGCGAATGGGGTTGATCAGAACTGCCTTGGGTTCACTTGGAAAATTGGAGCGGTGTAAAGGTAGATGCACTCTATTTCTTCGTTCCTGCAGTAATAGAAGTTGCATACCGTACACGCTCATAGAAGCAAAGTTAAGACCGTAGAATGATTGGGAAATTAGGCCCTTAGCTTGATATATAGGCCTAAAGTGTAGAAGTATTAATACATCTGTTACCTATCGTACTATAAAGAGCAGAAAGAAAACGTTGTGACGGCATAAGAAGGACCATTGATCTGGAGTGATTCATGATGTATCACTCGGGATCAATGATCGATAAAGACTTCGTCATGGGTCATCACTCGACCCAATGCTTGGCAAAGAGTAATAATTCCTATCGTGAGATTACCAGGCAGTGGATATGATATAATTTTGAGTATGATAAGACGTTCTATAGCTCGTCAAACACACAGAAACTACACTAAGTCAACTCATTCGAGCGAGTTCGTCAATGGTCAAATCTTGAGGGCAGATGATAAATTTAGATGTAGAGATAGAAAGACATTTGAGTCACTCGTACTATGTTCAGGTGTTTTCATTACTGAATCACGCGAATTTCATTCGGTTCTCATTTCACGATCACATCATTCATATGGGCTACGTAATGGACGTAGATTGGGAGTTTGCTTGAAAGCCATGATTGAATCACATTATTTTCTGGACGAGCAGCAAGTTTTTTTCTGACTTATTGGTACGCTTTATTTGTAGCGCATCAATCTATCTTATAACTGTACGTTCCTTTTGTACTATCATGAAATCCAATGAAATCTAATCCTTAATATCTTCTCATCGATGCCCTGAAAGCGTACAACCACCCCCTTTAATAAAATTTGAAATACCAGAAAACCAATCCATAATAACTCTAAATCTCTGCCCAGAAATCTTCTCAGATGTAAGAGCAGTTCCTGATCTTCTTGTCGCAGAGACCACGATTCGGTTTCTGACGTTTAGCGGCGGGCGCTGCTTCGCGAACACGTGCCTTACGACGAGCTGGGGCAGCTGCCAGATCTGGAACAGCCGCGACAGCTGGAGAGGCTGCAAGAATTTGAACAGCTGCGCTTGTAGGAGTACTGTTCTTGAACCACGGGTGGTCGAGAGCTTCGAGCGCAGTCATTCTCGTTTTTGGATCACCATTCAAGCAGTCTTTAATGAAACGTTCGGCTAAATTCAGAGAGGAGATGTTAGTGTCCAGTGGCAGAAGGTAAATCAGCTGAAGGTTCATGGGAAGTATTTACCATCAAGAGAAATTTTGTTAACAGGGAAGTTCTTAATGGTTGCAGCAGTGCCAGCAGTGGTCGCCAACTCGATCTTAATACGACGAGTGAAGAACAACTCCCACACAAGAATACCGAGAGACCAGATATCACTATATTAAATATATCATATTAGTAAACGTACTGGAGAGTCAGAGAGGAAATAATGGTGTGCCTACATTTCGGTTCCAGCAATGTGACCAGGCCACTTCAATTCTGGTGCCATGTAGCCAGGAGTACCGCCCGCCGTATCATCGGCATCCTTGACGTATTTTGACAGCCCGAAATCGGCGATCATTGCGACAGAGTTTTCATCAGATGTCTTGAGAAGGATGTTCGACATCTTGATGTCTATTGCAGAAAAAACATCGAAGTTAGTTTAGGTCATGAGCGTTGAGCAAGTGAGAAAAGCGGGTAGGACAAACCCGAATGAATGATGCCCATGCCGTGCATAGTAGAGAGTCCTGTAGTGATGTCACGGACAATAGACTTTGCTCTCTCCTCACGATGCTTATAAGTACTGCCTTGGCCAAGCTCGCCTCCAAGAGCAAGCTCAATGATCAGGTACCCTAAAATGAAGATATTAGTAATGAAGGGGGAGGGAAAGTTGGGATGATAGGTGAAGGATATAATGGTACTTACAATTTGACAAGCGTACCTTACTGCCCACCAGTTCGACGAGGTACTTGGAAGACCCAGACAAGTCGTGCATGATTTTTACTTCTTGTTCATACTATATTCAAAAGTACTATTAGAATCATCTAGCGAGGCACGATGCATGAATACAGAGGGAACATTGGAAGCCTACCATTTTGCGGTCTTCAGGGTCGATCGTAGCAGGAATGATTTTGATGGCATATTTAATCCCTGATACAATATTGGTTCCTACTACTACCTCGCCGAACCCCCCAGAACCGAGAGTTATCCCAAGCTCATAGCCTGGGAGATCATCTTCAGCCTGTTGCTTCAGTGTTTTCACCATGATGTTTGATGTTTGGATGTTTTTAGGCGAATAGCTCTCGATTTGATAAGCAAAAATCGATCGAACAGAAGCGGGGGAAGAAACCTCTTGAGCAGTGAAGGGGATGTTAATTTCAAAGCTTGTGAAGTAACTTTTTTGATGTGGTGGATGGAGGAAAAGAAGGAGTGAAACAGGTGCGGAGATAAATTATTTATAGCGACCGATGATTGACGAGAGAACTCCCTAGAACAATCTGCAACCAGAATATATCGCAGCAAAAGTCAATATTAGCCAGATAGAACACCACGGAAGCTAGCGACAGCCAGATATGGTTATGCACCAAAGGTGCATGCTAATTCCAAGAGAATAGGTACCTCTAGCCTGTCTCTAAGAGCTTACTTCGAACCTACAGGAGAGAGTAGGTAGCGCGTCCGGGTTCGAACCATAGGGCGAGCACCAATTCTGTTCGGTGTAGTATTAACTGAGATAAACCAGCAGAACTCTCATTTCTTGTTCGCGTGAACATTTCCGCTTGCGGGGGCCACACTCTGGATGAACCAGACTATGGACCATATCATAGCTGTTGAGGCCTCTTAACCCTCTCTTTGCAATATTTCTTCCACCATTGTCTTCTTGAGACTTGGTCTCAATATATAACTTCGTCATTAAGCTCTGCTGGATCCGATAGCCAGGCATCTATCCTATATGAAGGTTCGTTTAACACATTCTGCTATAGCCATGAGATAATAAGAACCGAAGTGCTATTGGCACCTACTAGCCAAATATATCCAGGAAGGATCTGACGAGCTCCCAACGAGTGTGCAAGAAGCTGTGGATGTTACTGCCTCGTTGACGGTATGTATCAAGAGAAGTATCCATCTCACCCCGGTACACATGGAGCCATGGGTGCTAGCTAGCTGCTGACATGACCGAGCAAGATCTAAATAGGTCACGTAGACCTTCTGCCCGTCATCCGTTCAGTTCCTCATATGGCCAAGCTCTAAACAAAGAGCTTGCTCATCAAGATCTATAATCCGTTGTTGTGGCGTGGTCAGAGGCAGTAGTAATCTCCTACTTCTTTTACACAGGTGGGCTTTTGTCCCGCAATACCGAAATTGATAGTCTAGACTGGTCCAAGCTAATATCCCGGGCTAATATGAGTAGTTGAAGTATTCAAGTCTATAACCCGCGGTTAATGCTTTCACCTTGTACTACATCTTTACTCCGTGTAGCGAGCTAGTCCTGATGCTGACGGGTCAATATGTCACCCTGATTCCTTCTAGATGACAGTGAGATCTAAGACTCTTTAGAGACCGAGACATCTGCAACTGTGCCAGGGGCGTAGCCTAGGATAGCATCGTCTACTCGAGGTGAGGATTGAGAGTCTCCTTGAGGTGCCTGGCCTCTTGATCTGCGTTCTTATCTGCAGTGTTTCCAATGATTTGCCGGTTCTGCGGTCCAAACCGGTCGAACTAAACTGTTTAACTTAACAGTTGGCGCAGTTCTTAACATTTTCAATAGATGGTTTGAACGGTTTAGAAATCTTCAAAACTTCTTATACCGACGGTTTAAAAGGTTTATACAACCCTGTTCCTGAGCTCGAACACACTACTTAGCCAGTTGGAAGACCCAATTCATCAGCTCGAACACCCGTTCGAGAACATGGATATCTATTCTGCGGACTCTTTTCATGGTATATATGCCAAGACATAGAACCACAGTTTAGACGGTTAAACCGGTTCAAACTGTCAAGATAAATACTTGGTACAGTTGGTACGGTTTGACCTCATTGATTTAGCTAGTGGTTGGTGCGGTTTTCTCTTGTACCAGAACCCATTTCTACCGTTGGAAACCCTGCTTGTCTCACCTCGACATCTAAGACCGCAGTCTTTGATGGCAATAAAGGGTCATTCCGGGAGAGCAAAAGGTGGTACTGAGTCGAAATAAAGGAATATTCTATGCTCAATCCAATCTCAATCGGGTATAATAAAGCCGAAACCTTTCATTGGAAGTGCTCGAGACAAGAATATTTGATGCGGTCGACGCTCTTTGTCTTTTTAGTCCACTGTCCTTGCTGATCATGGAGGACGTGTCCTCAAGGCAAGAACCCGAGGACATTTATTCTCATCGACAACGACACTAGCCAGAGCCCTAAAAATGACAGGTTTTCATTGAATAACGCGGTGTTTTATACTCCTGTGTTTTCAACTTCCTAAGCCACGGACGGAGCGCGGATAACGCAACGATTCGAGGAATATATGCCTCTTGAAACGGATGTCTTCGATTTGTCGACATACCCAAATATATCACTTATTGGTACTGAGGGTCTGAGAGAAGAGCTCGATCGAGGGGTGTCTAGACGATCAGAGGCAAACTCTACTCTGGTGGTGTTCAATGGTGTTCAATGCTCATGATGGTTTCCAAAAGATTCAAGGGGATTTATGTACTCACCTGTGCTTATTTTCTTCTGAACGAAACATTTCCTATAGAGGTTGTAACACAGTCGAGATATTAAACCGGAAATAACCGGAGTGCAAGCGTGGGCTCGAAGCGCCAACGGCATCCAGGTCATTCACAGCCAAAATAGTGTGCAACTGGTGCCCAATTCGAGGGGAGCGCCGCGAGCGTTCTTTGGCGGGGTGGTTCCCTGCGTGGGCGTTGCTACCTTTCCATCACCTGGGAGAGGTCGAGCCTACCGTGACTTGTTTGAAAGCCTGCTTACATTAGTCGCATGACTCCCGAACATATCCTTCTAGCGACCAGTCTTTTCAACTTGTCCCTATCGATGTACAAACCTCCGCTAGTCTCCGCTAGTTGAAAGTTCGTTCGATGAACCTCCTTTTTGCAAAATTCTTTGTTTAATTTTCTTGAGTCTACAATGTCAGAGCTCGAATCAGAGAAGAAAGGCTGGAAAACATGCTCTTCCATAGAACAACACTTTGCAATTGGACAAAAATTAATATGAATATATATATGTTTAAACAACTACATAAAAGCGCCAAAGATAATAATCTAGACCGCCTCAGTTAATTGCCCTTTTTGTGGACGGCTAATTTTATAGAATTTTCTGCCTCGTCAAAGATGCCAGTAATTGCGATCTGATGTGAACAAAAGAGAGGGAAAAAAAAGAAATGCATCATCCTTCGAGGTAGCCCAGACCCTAGTCTCGTACCCATCCCCTACTTAGCAGCAAGCTGCTCACCAGTAGAAGTAGAGGGGGTGGGGAGGAGCCTACCCAAACCCCCTACCTGGCATTTCACGTGTGTCTCATGCGATTACCTAATCTCGCCTGCTTCTCGCTACAACGGTAAGATCGGAAAACAATACAACAAGATAAGACGCGTCATGGAGCCCCCTATGTTAGATGGGATTTACGCTCGGAATACCTAAAGTGGTATTAATTAACCGGAAAAAGACATCTTGGTATCATTCTTATCTCACTCCGCGTAGCGCCTCGGGTTGAAATCTTGGAGCGAGTAGATGTCGGGAGTGCCGTGCAGCCACCATTACCTTATTTAGTACAACTCTCGCTGCCGGATATTGTAAGCACCAGCCCTATTCCATGAGGCCAGGTTGCCACCATTTCCCCTGGCGATCTAATAAGGCTTGGTTTTTGCTGTATATTTTGTATATTTCTTTCCTAACAGTTCTTTTTACTTCAAATGTATAGTTTCTAGGAACCGAATAATGTAACATTTTGCTCATGGGCGCTTTTTCACCTGTGAATGTAGGGAAGCTACGTTACAGAGGTAGAGTGGATGGAACAGGGTACAGGTTGTCCAACTGACCAACCAAGCACATACATATCACTACACAACAAGAGCTTGCCCCTATAGATATAGCTTCTCCGAAGAGACTCGTCTCCCGTGGGGAGAGCTACCCCTCACGTCTACAATCCATACACAACGCTCTTGGATACACAGATCTTTCTGCACATGTACAACCGCGGTCCTAAGACACCATACTCACCAGAGAAAGCGGAAGACAACATAAACAACATACCCACCGCCTAACACCTCCGCCCCCATTCCAATGGTGGCTGCAAGACTCCGCCGAACGATCGGGGAGAGGTTTTCTCTCAGTTAAAAACCGGTCTAACATGAAACCAGATAGGAGATATCCGAATCCTGAGCACCCTTATATCTGGGTTCATGGAGTTCGCTATCATTTACTATAACTTACGGTCCAGTCTGCAGAAGTGAAGGGAGCTTTAAAGAACAGATGTTGGGGAACTGGTGCTGTAACTCCTACCAAAGGTAATTCTGGCTCCTCAGTGTAGACGCTGTCGAAATAATACCATTCTACCTTCCTATTGCTCCGTTACCTATCAAGGATAGATGAACTCACCCCCGGTCGCACTTCTCCTATGGCGGTTCAGGTAGACTTGGGAGATCCGGCGTCGTGAATGCACACGTTTGATAATCACTTCCTCACGAACTACGACAGAGAGGCCGTACTTGTTTACAGGAAAGAGAAGAGATCTAGAGATGGCCTTATACGAGGTTCTGCCCGGCGATAGATGGTGTCTAGGCGTTCGAATAAGATGGCTGCCGTTCGCCAGACTGGTGCGGACATTGTGAATTAATGATAGGATGATTTCATTGCTGGCACTACTAATAATTTGAACAAAGATGTGAGCACCACCGAGTGGTAATTGTCTACATTCCATGCACACAGCAAGCGGCTCTTCAAGATACTCCGACACACTCAGAGATCATGAATACTTCACACAACTCATCATGCCTGTGGCGCCGCCCCTGTGCTACGAAGGGTAGCGTCATATGTACAAGTTAGTAGCTGGGACTGAAAGGGACTTTAATTTATGGTATCAATCAATCGTGATTTGAGAATCCCTGTGATAGGACGTATACTACATATAGTTAAGAGCCACGGTACCATGGCTTTCTCGGACACTTTACCCTGGAGGCTAGGGGATTACTTGACAGCAAAAGGAGGAAAATTCACTTTGAGAGTGTCTATAACTCCTGCACAGAGAAGGGCAACCTTGCGATAACATTTAACCTCCTTTCAGTGAACGGCGCTATATTTCATTATTGTTCATTACATGTAGTCTTTGAGGGTCTAGAGATGTTGTCATACAGCGAGTCGAGCAGCTAGCATGCATGTTGGTTAGCTTCGAGAAAAGGCTTGGGAGCAACCGATCTTCTTACAAGAAGGCTTGGCGACAACCAACCCCGGCCAGATATTGAACCTGTCTTTAACTACACGATGTTTTGTGGAAGATTTACTCCTTTGTGACACAAAGGACGAATTACGAAGTATCGCGATATGGTTGCCAGGGCCTAGGGATGAAGGAAATAAGGAGGGTATTAATTAAAGACAGAGCGCCAGAAGAACAATGATCACTAAATTTATAAAATCTCAAAATAGAAAGAGGATGTACGATAATATTCACGAGCTACGAAAGCACCTGTCATTTAAAGATAATTTCATTGTTCCACAGTTTACTCTTGCCTCTAAATCCTTCCACAAATACAAGCCACTCGTAGAAACATGGATTATGACAGATTTTCAAAACCCATAGAGTGATAGCCGTTATACGCAGGTAGAAGTAGATGAGATGAATCAAAATAATCATCGAGAAATAATGGCAGACAGCACAGAAACTAAGGGCTCTACGTCAGAATTGCCGATGCTGACGGGAAGGAGAAAACCATGGGCTACCTTATAACACCTCCGAGGGAAACGACATCTGCAGAATAAGTTGAGTTAGAATTATAAACATACAGGATGAGGCGGACTATCACGAAAGCTCTTACCACGAAAGAAAGAGAGTGATTCAAAACTTCTTGTGAGGCGGCAATTCTTTCCCCATAGCTAAGTGGGAGACGTTTTTGCTAGAGCCTAGTTCGTGATGATGCTCCGACCAATTTCTGCCAGTGCAGACACGACAGACCGGAAGGTGCTATTACCACCTATTTCTCCATCCTTCAATGACATGACAGGAAAGTCGGCCGCTTCGCGTACGTCCTTAAGAAAAGGATGATGAACTGCTTCAATGGCGGTCATGCGCTTCTTAGGGTTGACGATGAGGCACTTGGAAATGAAGTCCTTTGCTGAGGCAACAACGCAAAGGAATTAGTGATACAACTTACATATTTAAAGTCGAATGGGTGCCTTACCAGATCTAAGTTTAACAGCATCCAGGTACGGATCAATCCAGCCCTCAGTCAAACTTCCAATGTAGTCACGAAAAGTACGGTCTTTGTGACAGCTAGGATCCCAGGGGAAGCGATTGGTGAGGAAGGACATAGTGAAGATACCCAGAGACCACATATCACTATTTCACGGTTACTCAAATTGTACTATTAGCTAATGATTGGAGTGTTTACTAACAAGGATGGACCGTATGGCATGCTTCTGCAAGCCTCTGGCGGAATATAATCAAGGCTGCCACAAAAGCCTTGGGCAGAATCATATGGTCTTCTGATGTTATACTTTGTGGTAAGACCAAAGTCCGCGATAATGACGCTCGATGGTTGCCTTCTGGTTAGGAATAAAACATTATCGTGCTTGATATCTATTACGATCACAGATTAGCCAATATTATTCTCGATGGACCAGAGGTTAATTATGCCGAGCTGGAAGTAATTATAATACCTCGATGAATATATCCGTTTTTGTGCAAGACGGCCAACCCATGAGCAACTTGAAACACAACATTGTTTATGACACGGTAGTCTGGAACCCTATGATATCTCCTCCATTCGAAAACATCACCACCATCGGCGCGTGTCATGATAAGAACAACTATTGTCGAAGAATAAAAATCAGTAAAGGGTCTACATCATAGATAATTCCTACTTCGAATATTTTCTCCTCCTTTTATCGGTTTACTAAAATACACTTACTTTCATAATCTGTTTGAAAACATTCAATCAATTTCACAAAGTTGCCACCCATTCCCGAGATTTCTTTCATAGCCAAAATCTCTTTTTCAATCTATATGATCATGGTACTGGTAAGTGAGTGCATCATGAGAGTATATGTTTTTAATTATGAGATGAGATGTGCTACTTACACTCCGAGTAGGATAGTTTTTGGCAAGCAAAGCATCCTTGTTAAGAAGCTTCGCAGCATATTTCTTATCCGGGTCGCTATCTCTCACGGCAAAAACTTGACCACTATTGCCCTCCCCCAGATGACGGCCTAGGACGTACCCTCCGATATTATCTCCAGGACGGCGATTTGGGAATGTGGGCATTTTTTTCAGTATTTGAATAAATTAATCGTCCTGCAATTGGATAAGAGGTAAAGATTTATTAAAGCGGAAAAGGACGTAGGTTTTGGTGGTGATTTTTAATTAGCTGTTAGAATTCTGTTCTCCAGCTCTTGTGATGTTGACTGAGGAGAGTTGGAGTTAGATGGTTGCTATTTGTGGTCTTTAATAGCCAAAGTTTTGCACAGTGTCAGCGAAAATTGGTTTAGTACCCGCAGACATCCCAGGCCAGCGGGATTTACTTTAGCACTCACGTACACTTATGTTACCTCAGTGGTATTCTGCTTAGCACGCGCAGCCATCCTATATATATGTCAGCGGAATTCGGTTTAGCACCCGTACCTGTCCCACTGCAAACACAATATATATCTGCAAGACTCAAACATAATCAAAGCAGCTTGTTGTCCACACTGCCGCCAAAGGCAGAGGAGTCTGCTGTACCCCGTGCCTCCTGATTCTTTCTTGGCTCTCCTTTGCCATTACTGGTTCCTGTGCTGGCCTGGTGGCCGTTAGGGACGGAGTATAGTACTTGTGCATTAAGATTTACCAATACACAATGGCTCTTTCCCGAGCATATAAGCTCACAGACTAGTTATCAGTGTTATATATATATTCATAGGTTTACAAAAGTATTCCCCTAACTAAGATTGACTGTTGACGAGTCATGGCCGACTATTCCTTAATAATACTAAATGATTAATTAGCACAAGCTAGCTCTCCATCTCTGGAACCAGCAACACTCGAGAGTTTTCTTTTAAATTTTCTACACCGTACTAATAGAGAGTTCTCAACATTGAGGTCTTCCATGAGATGTTTTTGTCCTAGGATAGCCCAACTCCCCTAACACTCATGCATATCTCTAACGCGCGGTCAGCTCCATTGTACAAGTTACATTTCTTTCTTACAGTAAGCAGCATTTACACATTGAACGCACATGATCATCCACAACACATAATCCACCCGCTCCGCTCCTACCCCTAGCTAGCTAGACATACACAATCCAGAGCACTCGAGCTCGTAGACCGCAGCCCTCTCCAGCGCTACCAACTAAGCCCACAACCACCACCTTATATTTGACTACTCCACCAGCGGGTCGAGCCTCACGGACACAATCTACCCACACATGGGTATGCAGTCTAGGTCTAAATACCACGTTTCTTGCATGTAATTGGCAAGAGTTATCATGTTACGAACCCGAAAAATCGGGATGACGTTGGGGGTTGTCATGCAGTAGGGTAACAAGTTCTCGACCTCCAGACAGCTAGCTAGCTACCTATATTATCTAATTAGTACATAGCTATAACGAGTATGCAATGTGTATTTTAAAGGTTTTGATTGGCTGTGTTTTGGATGTTTTCTTTTTCTCGAGCTATTGATACTTAGGGTAGTGAGTCGGCTATAAAAAAGAAAGGTTATGTTGGAGGTTATGTTAGGTTACCGTTTCTTTTTGTTGTTACTGAATTCTACTATTCGGTGATTGTGATATGTTTTGTAATTTTAATATATTTTGTGATTTTGAGATGTTTAATATAGCTGCTGTACTGTTGCGTACATATATGCGGCAATGTAGGTACCATTAACCTTTGGTCTTGGCTGCAGTTCTCTGTATCTTAGAAACGCATTAGGGGTATAGTATCTGCCGAACACTTTCAGTGGTCCCGCTACAGGGCGACGCCGTACAGGTATGGCGCTAGGTGACTACAAGTTGCAGTAGTTGAGATCACCGGACGTACGCCGCCTCTAATCTAACCAACAGCATGTATACTTGCGATAACGGACAATTCCGCATCCGTGGGAGAACTCGTTAGCTGAGATACGTTGCCCAAGTTCATATGATCATCCATACGGACAGTGAATGGGGAAAGGACAACAAAGGGCGCTCCAGTGTAACGGATATCGATATATAAGGAAGGAGCTAAGAGGATGTTTCTAGATTTAACTGTAAACCGCATACAGCAATCCAAAGCTTCAGGCTAAGAACTATTTATACAAAGGTAAGCCCTTCTCATACTGTGCGGGTGGGTTGTTTGGAGCTTTGGATAGTACTGACGTGGTAGAAAGCGAGTGAGAAATTATGTTTATCATAATACTCTCAGAATGGGAGAGCACGCAGACTTAAGCATACTAGTGACAAGAGAAGACTGCTATTTTCAACGTCACAACGCCAACTCCTCTTAGAAGCCAAACCCAGCGTCATACACTATCATTCGCGCTTCTAGTGTCTTGCGAGGAAGATTTCCGGCCAAAGACAGTTAAAATATCCTTTGTATCAGGTACCACAATACGATATATACTAAGTCATATCGGGAACTTTATACCCAAATAAATGCATTTACCCTTGTACTATCTCTTTCTCAATGGCATTGTTGGAAGCTTTATAAGGTCGGTGGTGGCCTGTTGAGCAACGACGATCAAATAATGGTTCTCATCTCTCTCAGACTTTCAACCTAGCCTCAACCACATTCTGGACATAAGAACGATTAGACGACTAACAGAAATATCTACCAACAACCTTCACTCATCACCCACATACACTGTAAACTATTTACAACTCGCACTAGGACGTGGCCAACTTAAAAATGGTTTAGCGGGTGTTTCAGGAGATTGCGAGGATTGTCGAAGCAGCCAAAGAACGACAAGCCACTCCTATCTTAAGAAAAAAGGACCCGGGAGACCCCTTTTTATTCTTTAATGTTTTTCGGTGAGAAAATATGCGATGAACTTACGCTTCGTTGTAGTTCTCCATCTAGAGCCGTTATTCTAATTCTAGTCACAAACTAGATGGTCATTATATTTCGCGCAATCTTCATACAGATTATGATGGAATAGTATAATATTAGCTGGCCGAAGAGGTTTGCCCACTTCAATGTTGAATATGTTCTTCAATGTGAACGATATGTTAATCTTTTAAAGTTTAATTAGTCAGGGAATAATTGAAAGGTCAGATATTCTGATTGCAGTAGGATTTTCAAGGGTTATGTCCTTCTTTCCCTCTCATTCAATTGCATGTGCTAGCTATCGCCTCCATAAAACACCAGGTCAAGCATCGTACTGCTAAACTATATTTTAACAGAGCTAGGATCATACTAATTAATACCATTCATAAGAGCACTTCTAATTACGCACATTAACGTCCCCAAAGATATAACGTAGGGAGTCAGAAAATGTCTGATGAAAGATTAAAGTATTGTAATGACCGCTTCGACGACTTATCGAAAGCCATTTCAAAATTCGCAGAGAACATAGAACAGAACAGACGAGGACTTGACTTCGCTGTATGCGAGAGTTGGCAATACTGGCACCAACAAGCTGAGCAACAAAAAGAACGTTTCTCCAAGCTACAGGAATACATCGGTAAGACCTACGACCTCTTAGAGGACCGCGGCAAGTACGCATCCTATCCTATCTTGGCAGCGAGGAAGACGGTGGTAGATGAAGACTATGACAAGATAAATGAATCAATGAAGGAGTTTGATCAGGTCTGTAGTGAGCAGTGTGCTTTGGATCCAGAATGGCCCCCCTATCGAGCAAGACCACAGCGTCAATTTTGATACGGACCAGTGCCTAGATATATACCAAGCAGTGTTATATTACTCAACCTGTATATATACTAGGATTAATATTAATGTTAAGGAACTATATGTATAGTAGAGCACATGCAGGGGAGGAATAATAACCGCGCGAAACCTCCCTGCAAATTCAATAATAATAAAGTTAGCACAAATTAGAAGGGAGTGCACATCACAGCTAAAATCACTCAACACCTGATCTTGGAATTGAGGGGGTGGTGTGGGCTGGCAGGAGATAGTTTTCATTCAGGTTCGTCATGAACTATCACTCGTTTTAAAGATTTACAGAAATAGCTGCATCGCATACTTATCCACAATAAACGCGCGCTATCTGAATGGTATATACTGCCCAGAGAAGACTGAAAGGAAGCCTTTATCTCACGGGAACAGAACTGTAATGCGCAATATACGGGCACCAGTTTTTTGTTTATGATGACTCTTATAGCCCGTCCTTGCACTGGTGACACCTTGAAACGGAGTATGCGATATTGAATCCAAGCATTAACTGAACAATAACATTAATCTTGGCATGGATAACCATTGCTCCTGCACTATTAGCTGGCATATTAATCAAGATTAACATAGCTCGTAACATTCATCCTCAAATCCCCGCCCTAATAACATAACTCCACCCAAAGAAGAGCTAAATTGATTTGGCATCTATAGAGCGATAGAGGAGGTGAAGGCTAGTTGAATAATAGAGAAATAATCAAAATAGGGCATTGTTGTGCACCTTAGAGCTTGGAAAATGTTTACGTCGAAAATGTTCTGGCTCAAGGGGTCCCAACCACACGTCGATAAATCTATACATCAGCTAGGATGATTGTATTCTGTTTTTGATGTCTCCAGAAAATTCATTCTCTCAGTCCAATGGAAATTCGCATGTTGCTTTATTTTAAGTTTGAATTTGGAACTTTCTGTTCAAGGCAAATAGAACTTATGCGAAAGAGAAGGCAACGTATATAAAGTAGAAGTCTTGCGTCTTATTTAAAGTAATCTTTAATTAAATATCCCCGGACACGCGCCTTACATTGAAATACGGTAAAGCCAAACACTAAATCTAAAGAACCATAATAATCTTAAAAGGATAGACTCAATAGCTTCTTAATACGGCCCTCAATCAATAAAACAAAGTCGAACTGCCGGCGGATAGTAGAAAACGTTTTGCATCTGGGGCGCAAAGATTTCGGCGAGACCCATTTTTTGCTGATGTATTAACTCGTTCTCAATACATGAACACAAACTCAGGTGTCAATAAATTATGAGAAAATCACTCAGATACTATATCTCTACTGACTGTTAACTCCTTCTCATTGCAAGGGTGAACCAAACTCGATAACGAATGATACCATTATATTCTAATAGTAATATAAGGCAAAAGGATCAGTGTGTCTTTGGTTTCTTTTTTTCGCTTAAATTGATCAATTCGCCACCAACCCTGGCTCAGCATTGTATACGGTATGACTGTGCTTATTATATCCGTAGACCACTTTTACAATAGGATAAATTTATATAATTTGACAATGTTACAATATTCAATTACCTGACTCGGCTTATACTGAATATAAAACAGCTCAGCCCAGGCCAGGGTTCTAATCTTGTAATAAATTCACGGATATTCTCTATTGTCAACAATTAAATCAAACAACGCCAAACAATCAATCATTAATATATTTCGTTATAATGTCTTCAAACAAGGGCAAAACAGGTGAAGGTCCAGAGCAGTCATTAGCTTTGGCTCGAGGTCTGTTCTGGGACATGATTCGTGACAGTGCAAAGTTCAAAGACTTAACTGACACTGGTTTGAGATTAAATAAATTGAGTGGCAGAAAATCGAGGTTCTACTGGCTTGATGATAAAAAGATTCAATTGACTGCTTGGGAGGAGTACCAGAAATCGGTAATTGATACATATAATACAATTGAAGATCATATTGGAAAGAGTCATACAGGCTGTGAAGACTTAAAGGCAGCGATGGATATTGCATTTGATAAAGTTCACGAATCCCAGAAACTGTATGATGAGTATTCCAGGGAACAGGCAGACTCTTTTTGAAATTTCCTTTGGCTGGTTTGGTAGAATAATATCTGTCTAAAAGGAAATATCCAAATATCTGATAATTCATAGTATCATCTATAAGGTCAACGTAATCTAAAGTAATAAATTCAAACCTTGATTAGCACTGATATTTTTCCATCTGTATATCATATATATAATTCTATTTACATATTTACTAGTGTTTAATCTAGCTCCGTGACTAATAATTTCAGTTACCGACTGACCAAATATTTACATACCGACCTCCTTCCCAGTTAGATGATTATTTGTCGTCGAATTGGTGCAGAATCCGGTATCGCTTTGGCTTACAATTTTGGCGTTTGATTAGGTACTGATTTTATTCTAAAACAGGTGATTATTTCCTGTTAATATGCTCTCGATATGGAGTCCGTATCGATATGAGTATAGGTGCAAATACAGGTCTCAGAGGGTAGAAGATACCTATGGAGGCAATAATTAGTTAGGTTGTGAACAGGCAACCGTTGAGGTATTTAGATAGGTTGTATGTATGTATGGAGGTGATGTATAAGCCAAGGTTGATATATAGAATCAGACATCCCGGAGTTCTCAATAGCACGCTACGTCAATTTTTACAAGGTTTTCTCCATCAGATAATCTCTATTAGAAACATCGCCTGTACTTCATCCGAAACATCTTCAAAATCATAGGCAAAGATATTTCACATTTTTGCCCGCAACACAGTCACGAAAACACCACATGTCGTATTTTCGACGTATTCCAGGCGACGGAAAACTGCATGTTAGACTTAGGGAGATCGGGAGAAAGTCATCGATCAAAAGACGGGCAAAATAGGAGAATTTGCCTACAAAAGACGACATTGGGCTTAGGATACAACATGTCAAATTGAACTCTGCTCATTGGAAATGATTGTGTTTTTTTATCACTCACAGAATAAGCGATTGTAGTTTGAAATAGTAAAGGTAGCCTCTAAACATGATTCTTCTACACAGGATATACGAAAGAAGCGCTCAACACCATTGCATATCCAAAAATGATACAATCATTGTTACAGTTGAAACCATTGTTTAAATATCTTTATTGGCTTCAATACAACTATCACTTCTATATATAACAGGTAAAATCCATTTATCTATGTATAATGCAGATGAGATGTTGTATACCTTCAACCATAGCAAGTCGATCAAGTGCTAACTCCAGGTTGATTTGAACAAAAGTGGTTTCTTTCCGAAAATCAAAGCACATGAGCGAACCATTACTGTCGGTACTCGCATGTCACTGAAAAAAAATTATATTTCAAATCCCCACTATGGCCATGGTAATTCTCAAATATCTCCGAAATTACACGAAAATAATAGTATACCTCCGGATTTATACCCATATAAGAGGCACGCTTACCCAGGTAAAATACCCGTGGGTTAGGCCGGGTTGGGTAGGTACAGACTCTTTTGATACCCGGGTGTACCCATTGAGATGTCTGATTACGATTTCCAAACTACTTTAGGTTTTATTTATTTCAATTTGGCCTGGCAGTTTAAGGCATAATGCATTTAGGTACTCGTATCACTTGATAAATCTATTTAGTTCTTAACCGGCATGGAATTAGATTGAGATATCTTATTTTGCTTTTCATATTAAGACAGGTATATTGTACCGCACTTGAACGTGACCTCAGGGAGCAACGTTTCACTCATCAGAGACACTTCAACCGTTTATAAATAATTCGGGGTAGCCAGAGTCCAGTTTGGAGCATAGTATGCTGATGTAATGATTGGACAAGAAGAGCGCATTCAATCCCTTGACATAGTTTGGACGGGTATAAAACACCTGAATCTGGTCCAGCTTCTGAAAGGTTTATAGGTCATCAGAATATCTCCGTTACCTACTGCCCCCAACGCACATCAAGAAACAAATTGAACAGAACATGTCGTCACACACTAGTAGTTCACAAAGTAGCTCTGGCAAGTTAGCTCGTGCTCGAACTCTTTTTCAAGGGATGATTGAAGACAGCGCGGATTTCAAGCGCGTTACTGAAGAAGATTTGGCTGAACTCAAACAACTTGGCAGACAGACAAAGCGCTTTTGGATTGCCGATAAGAAGGTGCAGATGAGTATATGGGAGCAGTACCAAGAAACAGTCATCGCTAAATATGATATAATTGAACACCTTATCGGTGACAAGCATAAAGGCTGTGAAAGTCTGAAGGCAGCTATGGATCTGGCATTTGACAGAGCGCAGTGGTCACAGAAAAGATATGATGCGTATTGTGCATGGCACATCGCCTCATTCCCTTAGAAATTATTTTTACCTTTTTTCCTTTTTTTTGCCTCAGAGCCGTAGCCTTCTTGTTTTTTCCTTTCTCTCATTATGGAACGACAATGAAGCAAATTTCCTTTAAATAGTTGAATCTATAATAGAAATATTATTCATGCTTGTACTCACAGGTTCTGGCTTCATTGCAGTTTGATAAAGACACACCCATTGGGCCGCATTTATTCTGAAGTACACGTGTACATGTCGGTACTTTATATGAACTTGTACCCATACCCTATTTCATCATCAAGATCTTACCATATACCAGAGGAACAAATCCCTTGCTATATCGTACAGAGTCGGACCCTCACTGGGCTTCACACGCTCGCATGGATTAACAGTTGCTGTGAGAACAGGACACCGTGGGTGTATTTTGTGGGCTGATGTGGGCTAGGCGGTAAACGGTAGTCACTTAGCACGAGGCCACCCTGATGCCACCTAGGCTGTCCGAGTAACCTAGATAAAGAAGGGATGTTAGTTATCATTATAAAAACATTTTGAGCTTCATAATACAACTGCGTACAGTTGCGCAGCTTTCCTCAAGGTGTAAGGTCCTCCGAACAACGTTGTAAGCAATGACCCCCTTTCGGGAAACTAACCCCAGGCTTGATACCCACAATTTAAAGAACAACTCCTGGTCGAAGCTTGAAGGTGGCTCCCCGAGGATAATGTCTACTTGTAAGCTGAGAATGGATCAACAGGGATCCGCCGTGCATTTCCTTTTATAGTCGCAGTAGCTGTGCAATTCATATCTATGTCCAGCAAGGTATTTCCCTCTCGGGCCCTGTTCTTTTCACTCCATGTACAGTTTTTCTTAGAATAGCACGGAGAAGTTGGGTCGACCATTGAGTAGGCATTGGAGGTAAAGGGGTATGTTGGCCAAAGTTTCTTTACGTCGTGGGACTTGAAACGAAAGAAAGAAAATGCAAGAAAAACATTCATCCCACGATTGTCCGAACAGAAATCGAGGGCACAGGTTTCCTCCGTACCTGGTAGTTGTTTCATGGGCAGCTGGGGTCAAATACTTGCTTTTGGGGGGTTGAATCGAGGGCCTCCTCTCGGAAACCCAGCCAGACCGAAGAACTCAATCTTTACATGTCCTCCCTCTGAGTGAGGAGTCTTTTTCTTCCAGTTTATTCGTTGCCATCCTCTAATAATTTGACACCGCTGATTTCGGTTTTATTTTTCGGATACGGAAGTGGCTGGTGGCGGCTTTCTCATTTTACTTTCACGGATGTATCATTAGGTATACTTGTACGCTCAACCTCAAGAGAGGTAGAAGATCCTAGTTGCTATAATATTATCTTGTCCTTTTCTGCTTCCCTCATTCTCGTTTTTTTATTTTTTTATTTTTGGCATAGATTAATAACATTCTTACCCTAGAGTGAAGTTTCAAAAAGATAGATATCCGTCGACGACGTTAGTGAGGGCCTCAGCGCCCTAGGCCCTGGGAACATTAAACCCCTCTCCGCAAAACGCAAAACATCGTTCTCTCCTCACGGAGGAGCTGTTTTGTTTCCAAGAACCACTCACACCCTAGCATAAAGTTTAAGGCATTCCTATACTCATTCCCTCCGACTAACCTGGCCCTCCCGGAGGAGCTTTAGGTGTTTCCGAGTCCTGTGTACAGACTGTTAATCACTATAAGAGTTGACCTGTGCTGGCCGTTCTGTGGTGAGAAGCAATCTTTCCTTGAGTACCTATGTTCCGACGTACCTGTACAAAAAGGAATAGCCTGTACAAATAAATACTACTATTACTGGTCCATTTAACTTCCCTAATCCTTTTCTCGAATGTTGCCAGCTGGAGCGGACGGGAATATGGTGGTGAAAATCCTTCTGTAGTGACAGTGAGTCTCGAGAATTCTGCCGAGAAATGGCCCGCGATGTAGAGCATTGTAGCGCTTCGCTTGATATGCTGATGTACGCATAGCAAAGAGGAACCACGCCACCAACTCATTTTCGCCTTGGCTGTTGCGTTCCATGAGATGTTTTACTGTTCTTACTGATAACATGTTGGAGCAATCAGAGACTGCGAGGCGAACAAAGGCTCCATTTTGTGCCACCCAATTTTGCGAGCTAATACCGTCACTCGAACGAACTATTCATTCAGGGTCAGTTTCGACACGGGAGGGGCAACGGGAGTAATCGTAATGGTGGTAGTGGCCAGGTAGATTTTTGAAGGGGAAGAAGAGACTGAAGAAAAATACATCGGGTCGTCGCGGGTTATAAGTTCTGGGGAAGGACGGCCCGGATAGGACACAAGACGAAAAATACATTGGAGTAAAATATCAAAAAAGGAAAAAAAAGGAAAAAAAAAATTTTACCCACAAGGAGGAAGGGCGGTGTCAAGATGTGCGGGGCCAGGGGAAATACAGCAAGCGAGAAAGTCGACCAGCACGAGACCCGTTTGGGCGGCTGACAAATCGACTTTTCCGGTGAGACCAAGTTCCCGCGTAACGAAAGTGTGAGGGTTAGGGCTGCAGGGTTGTGCCCCGACACACGTATACATGTACATTCAACCCAACCCAAAATTAATAATTATATATGAAATGTTGAGAGATCGGTAGTATATTTTGACCTATCAAGCCCAAAATCTTCCATTATCCTCTTGAGTTTATCGTTTAGCAATTCAGTATGCGGATCAAAAACATGAAGTTGTTGCTAAGATGTGCATCTGTGGCTTAAAGACTTAGGAGCGATTATGGAGTCTAGAATCTGGTTACACCCACGATCTGATACGATAGTCCTCCCTGTCCCATGCGAGGGTGGGCATACAACATATGAATAAATTGATCAATGAATTTCTAGACGTGGCTCACGATCTATGTAAAAACCACGACGAAAAAAACGGTAGAACGAGTGATGTTCAATGACGAGAACTCTCACATACCGTTTGGTTTAATTTGGGCGCCATCTTAGCCCGCTCGGTAAAGCAAGCAGCAGAAGCTCGTGGGTCGCTTATTGATGGATACAAAACTACATGTAGTGGTCTCGAGAATAAGTCCGAAGGCCTTCCGCAAAACAAGGTGAGGCGAGAATTTCCAGTAGGTTTTCTCTCGCTTGATCTCATGCCCGTCACAAGCTCGCAGACTGCGGCGCACTTACGGGTATCGTGGTGGGGGTTGTAGAAATGAGGGGGGCCACATGCGGGCAAAGAAAAATGGTTCGTGCGCCATAAAATTCCTCCAAAAAAACAGGTAGAAGCCGCTAGAAAATTTTCGCCGAATAGCACAATAGCTCATGAGTCATGATGGGAGTGCAGCTAGGGACGCGTAGCACTGGGCATACAAAACTGGTATTAATAATCCCAGCTGGAGCTTCACATAGTATTGATATTTTCGATTATTCATCACATTAACTTGAGGAAGATTTGGTGTATTTGCGGGGCATGACCGAAATAACTGTGTTTAACATCCAGGCACACGTTCTGTCGTGAGAGTGAGACAGTTAAAACAGGGTACGCAGGGGTAGGACACGTCAGTGGAATACACCATAAACGGGAAAAAGTGGGAAATTTGGCAGTGGGACAAGCTTAGTGTGGTCGTGCAGGGCAAGGACACGTGGTTTGAGGGGCTTGAGAAAATTTTTTCAGCAGTCATACGAAGCCTACGTGTCCCACAGAAGCGTTTAGGGCTAGGGCAAGGTGATACACAAACATATAAACAGCACGCCCCCCGCCCCTCCACAAAAAAATTTTCCACACCAAAAACCAAAAACACAAACCACAGGAAGAACCATTGTTCCTTCGTACAGCAAGAATCAAGGCAAATTAATAACCGTCCTGATTCTTGAACAATGTACCACCTTTGAACTACTTCCCCTTTCTTTTAATTAAGTCTCCTCTGGCTGGAAAATATTTCCCCTTGCCTGGCACCCGAAAATCGAAACATTTCTGGTGTAAGCAATGGAGCAAAAAAAGAAAGGTTTTAAAAAAAATTGGAGTCAACATAAAAAAAAAAATCAGTAAGTATTTTTTCTAACATTTCGCACAAGTCATCATGGACTAATCATTCCGTGGTATCTAAAGAACCGAAAAGCGCAAGCCGCACGCTCAGAGGCCTCGCCCTGAGAAAAAACAAAAACCCAAAAACAAATTCCGTCGATGCATCGCATCGAAAAAGCACCAGTTCCTGGTGAAAGTACCAAAAAACCCTAATAAAACTTTTCTTGTGATGGCAAACGATCAAGCCGGTATGTATTAGTGAATCTTGAAGCCAAAGCAATCTCTAATCCTTTCGTGATGCCTTCAGAGAGAGAGCAACCAACACGTTGAGATGCCTGGCAATGCCGAAAGACCACTATGAGTCTTTGGCGCCTTGCACCAACAGAGCCTCCCGGTCGAATCAAAAACATCATCACTGAAACAAACAAGACCATCACACAAAGAGCAACCGACAGCTTTAGGTGCCTGGCAATGCCGAAAGACCACTATGAGTCTTTGGCGCCCCGCACCAACAGAGCCTCCCGGTCGAAGCAAAAACATCGTCACTGAAACAAAAAACACCATCAGAGATACCACCAAAGAAAAACAACTTCGTGTTACAATCAATAGGTATGTTCTTCCCTTAGTTATCTCTTGAGCCCAAGTAATTACTAATCGTTCACAGTAACCAAGAAGCAACCAGCACGTTATCATGCGCGGCAATGCTAAAAGACCTCAAAGAAATTGGTCGAGTCGAAAATCGAACAATCAACAATTCAAACCAAAGGAACCGTGATCGTCAAAGGTCATGCAGGTTTGTACCATTCACTCTCCTCCATATGAAGCAATCACTAACCAACTCATAGAAAAATTGAAGAGAGCAACTAGCACGTCTAGATTAGTGGCAGTCCCAAATACCACGTTTAACTTCGTTGGTAAAGAGTCAAGAGAGAAAAAAGAAGGCCATAAGCCAAAACCAAAGGAACTGTGACAATAAAAAGTCATGCAGGTCGGTTTCATTCACCATTCTCTAGTTGTATGAACATAATCCCTAACAAACTGATAGAAGATACAAAGAGAGCAAGCACCACGTTTATAACGAATGGCAATGCCGAAAGTCAATGAGTAAATAGATAGTCAACGCAAATCATGTACAAAGGTAAAAGAGAAACAAAGGAACTGTAGCGATAAATCGTCACGCAGGTTGGTCCCATTGAGCGTCCTATTATGAAAGCAATCACTAACCAACCGGTAGAAAATAAAAATAAAAAAGTAACCAGCACATTGTGATGCCTGGCAATGCTAAAGACCACGAATACGTTCGTGGGGCAAAAAATAAAAAGGAAAAGGGGAAAAGAAAAAGATAAGATAGAAATATTTTCGATGATAGAGCCAAGCACGTAAGTTTCTCTTAGCCTACTCTATATGAAAGCAATCACTAATCATATCACAGAATGTACAGAAAGAAAAAGTAACCAGCACATTACGATGACTGGCAATGCTAAAGACCATGAATACGTTCGTGGGGCAAAAAATAAAAAGGAAAAAATAAAAGGAAAAAAGATAAGATAGAAATATCTTCGATGATAGAGCCAAGCACGTAAGTTTCTCTGAGCCTACTCTATATGAAAGCAATCACTAATCATATCACAGAATGTACAGAAAGAAAAAGTAACCAGCACATTACGATGACTGGCAATGCTAAAAACCGGCTTGGGGAAGCAACTTAATTGTCTACCTACCGGTCAAGATAATAATGGAAAAAGAAAACAAATAAAAGAAAAACAGGTTTGAGCCTGTAAGCAGTTAAGGTTCGTAACTCCCATTCTCAAAGCCATATACATTACAATCGCTGATCGTTATCATTCCACAGCATGTAAAAAGAAAAGACAAGAGAAAAACGATAAAGAAAAAAGAAGAGAAAAAGAAAAGAAAAAAGAAAGAAAAGAAGAAGAAAAGAAAGAGAAGAACAGGTGGCAGCATCCTGCATTAGATAGATGGTTAAACTGTGAGTATCACCGATCCACTAAAGCATATACATTAGTACAGTAACTAATTCTTCCCAGCATGTATAAAGAAAAAAGCCGGTAAAAAGAAATAAAGAGAATAAATTCTCTATGTGTACGGCAATAAGTCAAAACTGTTCGTATCACTCAACCTCTAAGTCATGTCTTGCAATTACTAACCATTTGACAGTGATCCAAGAAAAAAAGATAAAAGAAAAATATATAAAAGAAAAATAAAGAAAAAAAAGATAAAAAAAGAAAGAAAGGGCCCGTTCGGCAACACTTTTGTCAGGCTTTCTGAGCCTTGGAAATTGTGTTGTCTTGTTGCCGAACGGGACCCGAGAAGAAGAAGAAAATAGAACATCCTATATGATGGTTGAATAGTAAGTCTCACTCAGCCTCTAATTCAGTACAATTACTAACCATTCGATTCGACAGAAAAAGAAGAATAAAAAGATAAAAGGGCCTGTTCGGCAACACTATTTGTAGGCTTTTCGAAGCCTTGAAAACTGTGTTGTCTTGTTGCCGAACAGCACCCCCCCCCAAAAAAAAAAAAAAAAAAAGAAATTCCGGTCCCTTTCGGGACCCCCCCCCCCCTCTCCCTCTCACACAAAGGGGGGGGCAAAGCGGATGGCGGACGCTGGAGTAGTCCGGGTGGCATGAGACTTCAATCTCAGTAAGTCCTCCCGTTTTTCTGAACAAACGCTAACGATACAGCTTAGGAAGGGGGTGTGCGGGCTAGTCCCGCGGGGGTGTTGGGGGTGTGCGGGCTGGTCCCGCGGGGGTGTTGGGGGTGTGCGGGCTGGTCCCGCGGGGGTGGTGGGGGTGTGCGGGCTGGTCCCGCGGGGGTGGTGGGGGTGTGCGGGCTGGTCCCGCGGGGGTGGTGGGGGTGTGCGGGCTGGTCCCGCGGGGGTGTTGGGGGTGTGCTGGCTGGGCCGCACGGGGGTTGGTCAGGCAGGGTAGACCCTGGCCGGAGTGAGGGGGCGATCGAGCACTGCTCTCGCCGGGATTTCCTTTGTCATCGAGGTAAGGCAACGGGTTTTCCTTTGTCTTCGAGGTAAGGCAACGGGATCGAGGCAAGGCAACTGGATACTACTAACCAGCAGCAGTAACTTGCCTTCTCCCCTCCCCCCTTTGCTTTTCCCCCCAGAAAATACTAAGCAGATGGAGAGGACAGCAAGTGGCTTTCTGTCACGCCGTTAAAGGTTTCCCCACTTTGCGGCGTCGACGTTAGCTATCTTGACTGTCATTGCTCCCGATCTATGTTTTATTTCTTTTTTAGGTTCTAGGTTCCTCCCCTCACTTTCTCGCCCTTCGACTCTCGGCCCAGGATTTCCTTTTTTTTTTTTTTTTCCTTTTTGTCTCCCCCCGGTTTAAAATAGTGTCGACCAGCCAAATGGCTTGTTCGACACTGACTTAAACCGTAGATCAATGCCCCCATAATTAGCCATTATGGACATGGATAACCAAAATAACTTTGAGATTTTGACTAACTAAAACTCCAGGGAAAATGTCTGTCTCCCGCTGCGTTCTGTTGGGTTTCAATCACCAGCTGTACGGCTGTTTGATTGATTCAACCAGCAGAGGGCCTACCTCTTACTAACCTAGATGACGAGTTTAGTAAAACTCATGGAATTGACATTACGGTAAGTCTCTGTTCCCCGCTTCTAGTTATCAATTGCTAACAAAAATAACATAGTAGGCGATCGATACTCAGTCACTCAGCAGAGTTCGTCCGCTTCTCGCCTGGTTGAAATCCTCAGTTCCAGATGTGGAACGAGGACATGAGTATCCCAGTATCGAGTAAATATTCCTATTGTCGAATGAAATTGCTAACAATGACTATTGCTCCTCTCCCGCTACAGCGGACCATGTACCAGCAGGCTTTGAAGCTTTCTAGGTAACATCCCTTGTCCCTTTTTTCTTGCTTCTGCTGCCCTTCGGGAACTTCCCTTCGTTTTCACTCTCCCTCTGTTCCTCTCTATCATGTTTTGAAACTAACAGAAAATTAGGCAATCAATTCCAAAAAAAGATGAAAAAAGAGATGTTTTCTCCGTTTTCTACTGTATGTATCCGCTCCTATTTACTTACTCCCTCTCTTATTCCTACTCAACCCGACCATAAGAGCACTTATCCCTCCTACTAATCCCTTTCTCTCTCTACCACCGCTGCATATAAGATCTCTGTGTAAGATTTCAATTGCCTTCTGGTGCTAACATTTACCTTTTTTTAGAACGATTCACCGCAAGGCTTATTCGGGATACCAATCAGTTCACTCGCCCGAAAACGTAGTCTAGTGTCGATATTTTGCGTGGCAACCAGCAGAGTTTTTTTTGGCGCGCGGGACACACCTGTCGGTAGAAGTAAGTAAGTAATCCCAAATATAACCCTTTCTTTCACTCCGACCACAAGTAGGCAATACGGTTCCGTAGAATACCTCGTTTGTTCTGCGGGACTAGTGGAATTCTTGCATCCGGAGGGAGTTACTGTACGTCATTTTGCTAACTTTATCTTTTCTTTTAGAACGATGAACAGTAAGAATGATGCCCGCATCCCACGTTTTGGTGATGCAATTCGTAGAAGTAAGTAGATATCCCCAAACTCACTACTCTCCCCAAGATATACCGGAGCTCTCAGTAGACGACCCCTTCCCCGTAACTACCTCGAGTTACATACTTGGGACGTCAGGTATATCTCCTGAACCCGTATTCATAGCCTTACTCAGACACATTGTGTGGCAGTGTTAGGGCCGTTCTTCTGCGATCAAATGAGCGTGCGCAGTTGTGCTCGGCCTTAACATGTTGGTCGACTGTACACGCCCATTTTTTTGAGCTGAGAAACAACCCTAACCCTGGCACTCAACTTGGTGTAAGGCCAGATTTAAGTGTTCCAGGGGCATACCTGTCTTCAACCCCAGTGTAGGAGAGGTGTCTGGGCCCTCTTGCCACATATAAATGACGCCTTGTCGTAGTTCGAAGCTAACAAGAGGTTTAGGGCATTCTTTCTTCGGTGAGACTTGTTCAATTGACAAAAGTGAGTACATACTTTGAACCCACACTCCCCACTCCGCCTTCCCTGCCCGAAAGATTTCAAATCACCTGTCGGGATCTTACCCCTTCCCCGTAACCTACCCATATACCACTCCTGACTCAAGTGAGTTTATTAGTCTTCATACTTTTATTCAAGGCGTCTGCCTGTGCGCAAACAAGACTGTTATCGTAGTTCGAAGCTAACAAAAATTATAGATGCAAGCCGCAGCCCTAACGGAAAAAGGGACGAGTGATGTTACATGAGGGGAAAGTTCGGTAAAGACCAACTTGAGTGAAAAAGACCAACTCGAGTGATAGACTAATTTGGTCGTAAGCTGTAGAATGAGAAGTTGGGCTCTCAAGACTGCATGGTATAGTATTGCCTGATGTCAGGATACTATACCTGGTGAGATGTCCGCTCACGTTACCCCTTCCCTCTCCCTCATTGAAGTCTTCCCCTTTCCCGCCACGGCCTCGACAGTCGGAGAAATACGTTCTTGCTTCTTGCTACTTCTGCGCAACAACACGCAAAGATAATATCATAGTTGGAAACTAACAAGAACTGTAGTTTCTGCGTTTATCTCAAGGCCCGGGGAAGAGAATAATAGAATTACTAACTTAAAAGTATTTCGTAGAACAAGTCCATAGGTGATATCACCCCCCCTTTCCCCCTCTCACCATCCCTAATGCAACGGAGGTTGAGCGGGAGGTTAAGGGAAGTGGTCTCGAGATGGCCATCTAGCATATAAGCTAGTAAATAGGTGACTATTCCCCCTTCCTTCCTTCCCCCTCGAACCTCACGCGTCCGCTATAGCTCCGTAATTCTTTGATCTGGTTCTGAAGGCACAGGTCGGAGGGATAGGGTAAAGGGTGTCTTTCAGCGAAAAATTGAGCGGGTGCGAGTTCAAAACGAACTGTCCTGCTCATGTTTTCGCTAAAAGATAGCCTAACCTTGTACCTGACAGCTTCGTATAGGAAAAGGTTTTAAGAGTTGCGGAGAAATACCTCGGTCAGACCATCGGTGGTAAGGGAGATGACATTCTTAACCTCTTTCGAACTATCGGTATAAGAGGAGTGATCATTTGTAACTGTAGATGCAGGAGTGTAAGTGCTATTATCTTCATACCCCACCTCACTCCACCTATTTTTGCATCCCTGATGCAGAGTGGTGCGCTCAGGCGTCATCCTTAAGCAATCTACAGTTTTGTACTGCTATGTCCCTCAAACTATTATTGTTAGCTAACACGGTTTCGGGATAGATATGTGAGTCTCCCGAAGAAAAAGGGGTAGAGATAGTGCCTGCCCTCGAGTAGACGACCGACCGAGAAGCAGGCCACCCAAGGCAGACAAGATGAAAAAGGCAAAGGCCACCGGCGCCGGTAGACCTACACCTAGCATGAATGCTTACCAACTCCAGTATCCTAACAAGTGGAGTTGCAGAAATAAACATTCCAATGAATATGCTATCAGCCCTTGAGATCTAGAAGGCCTGTACGTGAAATCTAGCAATTTGGTGGTGATCGATCCTAGTTGCTGTTGCCCGAATCCCTGTCCTTCGCCTGTCCTGTTCCAGCCTGAAGTATTGACTTTAGTGTATGGAACAGCTAAGCACCTTAACAGGACTGAAAGCAGACAACCCCATCCTCCTGCACCACCCATCGAGACTCAAAGATATAAGACAAGATCTCCTAGTAGCTCTATGATCCGAATCCTAAACATTGGAAGCTGCTATCAAAATAATCACTGCTAGATGTGAGGCCTGTAACCGGGGGTAAGCTGATGAAGAGTGGTTCGATTCGAGAAAGATGTGATTATCTAGAGGATTTGGTGTATTTACAAGACCAGATACTCCGAATGTTGGGGCAAATACTATTTCTGCCTACAGATAAGTATGTTCGTTCAACTCGCGTCCCCCCCCCCCCCGGGGGTTGAATCTCCTATCATTTCCACCAATCAACCTCTGCTGTGGCCTCATAGATGACACCCAATCTGTGTTTATTACACACCACTTGAGAATCACTACCATGGCGCCAGCTAGTAAATTAAATTGACACCTCCAAAAGAGAGTGTAGGTAGGCGAGTGATCGGCTATGATCAGAATTCTAATACCATCGTGAAACCACCAAACCATATATTAGTCAGCTATCACTCCATCGTTGATAAAGTGAAGATCTTCCCTAAGGTACAATAAGAAGCCGGACGCAGGCCATTGATGGGGTCATTGATATCCCCCGAGAAGCGATGAATTCACACACAAAAGAATGAGAACAAGAATTGAGCAGCAGAATGCGCCGGACTGAAGCTGGTCGTCCAACGATTATCGAAAAGATAAAAGCATATCCTAATCTCAGTGAATGGTTTGCGTGCTATTCTAACTTCGTAATTAGCAAAAATACCAGCGAGTGAAAAGCCAGATTTGAATAACTTTGGCACAATTACTTAGGCATAAATGGGGAGACGCTCAGTCATTTGAGAACGGAACCACTTGATATATAACCCAAGAGATAAGACCTGGAGAACTACTACTGGAATCGATGATGGAAGGATGAAATATCTCATGAAATCCCCTAGGATGCCTGTCCTAACTCCCTTCCTGCGTGATTGAACCGACGGCAAAGGAATTTCAGAAGACACAAAGCCTCTCCTAGAGCTCATCGCTGACAGTTTTACAAATGCCCGGAACTATTAATCGAACTAGTTGAAGTTAACTCTAGGGTGCAGGAACAGACAACGCCGAAGATCAAGCAGCTAGCCTAGGTTACGCAGAAACATCTTTTAGGCTTACTCACGAGGTCGAGTACTGTCTAGGTGCTATGGCTAGCGCAAGACCTCGACAGGTTCGAGCGTCGATCCGTGCTGCCTGGGAATAGGAGCGAGTGATATTATATGATTCGATTTATTTCACCCTGGATCATAGGGCAAGCGCAAGGATATTCGAGCTTCCTCGTAGGTAGAGGTTGGGACTGAAGATATGTGTGTGAAAGCGATTGACGCTTGGATGCTCTCCTCATGAAACGCTCATCGTGATACTAGAGGCTATTAAACTCTCACTGGCGTACATCAGTTTGAATTAGCAACAATAATTATTCAGGTAAGGTTGATCAATGTTAGCATGAATTTGGAAACTTTCGATCGCTGCTAGTGGACTCCAAGGAATTCTTTTGTGCCGCCCAAAAACGTCGAGATCCGACTATCGCGCTGCGGGGGTGATATTACAAAGTAGCTTACCTGTTCTAATTGAAGCGGCAGGGGTGTGAGCTCCGAAGGTCCACCGATCAGATCGCATCGCGTTTAACAGGTTTGAGAGATCTTCCCTCCTTATTCGCATCTACAACCCACCAGTATGTGCAATCGAGCGAGTGATATACCTTGATCCGATCCATTTTAGTCTCCGTATACCCTCACTACAGATGATACAAAGGTCTTGTAGAACGCTAGTATTCTAAATTAATAAATAGTAAAGGTATTCGAGTTCAGTGAAGGTACCATCCCTTAAACTGCACTTAATTAGGTTTGGAGGTCTCCAGGCCCGCCCACCTCACTCCCGACTGCCGCTACTCTCCCTACCGCTTTTCCATCAATAGATGTAGTTCATTGTAGTTTTATGAAGTCTAGAGAAGTCAGAATAGTATCGGCTAAACGCATCCCAAGTAAACCTTGTTTGATGAGATCCACTAGTGATACCGCTCAACAGCGAACTCCGAAACCGAGAGGTAGAAGAGGAAATAGATTCCCGCAGCACAATTAACAACATATGAGATTTTAGCGTGCTGAATGATTGACACTCGGACAGGCGCTCTTACAGCTACCGGTATTGTATGCCGCAGGTGTGTGCAGAGGAACGAGTGATATCCGGTGATTCACTAGAAATATCGTGAATTGACCAGGATCCGGATACTTGTTAGTGATTGAGGTTGAGATATGTTGAACTGTTATAAGAGCTTTTGTGTAAAGAGAGACAAGTAAATTGGGGCAGTATTGATGATGCCGCTGGAGGGAGGTGGAAACGCTCTTCCCTGAGTTCCCTCTCCTTCTTAATAAACTAGAAAGCGGAACGATATATAGAAATCAGAAAAGAAGCATCTTCTGTCTCAAAGCAGATGTGTGATAAGTTTAGTTCTTCTTAAGTACTGATCGTCGGGCGATTGGTGACGGCGGTGGAGGGAGAGGGACACTGCCAGGCCAATAAAGCACCGATTCCAATACTAATTAAGCATATGTACTACGCTATAGAAAGGAATAAATAGTTGGTGGTATATCAATAATAAACGGCATATAATAGAAGGTTCCGAGGGGGTGTTTAGTCTAAGAGTAATATTAGATAGCTCCCTACCGGCAGTTGAACTCCTCTTACTGGTAGCCTTGTATTGATACCGAGACGCGTGGCTAGGTGTTTTCCTAGTGTGTAAACAGATACCCCAAGGTGGATTTATGATATAAGCTGAACCTCTGTATTGTGTGTTAGACGAAGGGTATACGATCCAGTAGTTACATTATACCGAGATGTTCAAGCTCAGGAACTGAATATGCGGGGTAGAGAAAATTATGAGAGCCCACAGATGAATCCTACCTTATATCTGTATTGGAACGCCTCAGTGATTGAGTCAGCTTGAACAAGGGTTCCAGAGATTGGGTCGAAACTTACCTCTCTTACATACACGTTAGCAAGCAAGTTACGTAGGTTATATATCAAAGACCGAGCCTCACTCTCTCGATCCATTTTTGATCGATAGGGGCGGTGAAGGAAGCCGTGTTATGTCCTTTTGGTTGGAAGTTTTTGATGCGCCTCTGATCATCAAACTACTTCGATGATGATGAGCGGGGAGAAGGATTTGGAGCTGATGATAGGAGCGTGGAGAACATCCACCAGTGCTTAAGCTGCTGTGGAGATCAGAGTAAGCTAAAATAAAGGAAGAAACTCGATGTCCTGGAAACAAAGAAAACGCAGAGGTCGGTTCATGAGGAAGATAAGAGAATTGATGGAAGGCGGTACAGAAAGAATAGGAGACAGGGCGGAGAGAGCAGGAGAGAGAGAGAGAGAGAGAGAGAGAGAGAGAGAGAGACTTAAGCCTAGCGCAGGAGTCGACGAAAGAACATCTTTCCACATCTTGGGTGTACGTACTCTGGCAATGTGGCTTTAAGCCACCTCTTGAGCTATGCCTTTTTCGGAGGTAAACGCGCATTGTACCGCACTCCGGATCGCGAAACGTGTCCCAACAGGCTATCGCTTAGTTGTTCACATTGCAGCATATAACTGATCGCATTTTCTAACTTAGAAATTCAAGCACAGGCTCAATTGACTCCTATCAGACATAGTATGACAAACCAGAAGCACCTCCATAGGTGTCCCACTGAACTACGATAGCCTGCCGAGATTACTGACACCCTGTTCTCTATAGCCTCTGTTGGTGATATATCTGAAAAATAAATCGATGATCTTTAGGTTCCAAGGATGAACAGCGAGTCTCCTTGTAGTCGGTAGGGAAGAGGTAGTGGTAAATTCGTTATGGGATGAGCGTGAGTGAGATGGAGATGGGAGGTGTACTGGACAGTGCATAGATGTATATACTGTCCAGAGCGGGAGCTACACGCAGTATAGGAAGGTGACCGTGGTTGCTGTGTTCTTGATCATGAGGCTTATGGGATCTCCGGGGGTGAGCAAGATCGTTTCTGCCGTTGCTTTCAAATAGGATGTGATATCTGATCACACCAGGAGCCTCAATCCGCTAAGTGGAGGAAGACGAAGAATAAAAATATGAGGACTGGGTAGTGAATTGATCTCCCACGAACTCTGTTCCTATTTCATCACCCACCCCACTTCCCCTACCCTCATCTGGGCTGCTGGATGCTGAGGGGAATTTCCGCTGCCCGCTCTCTCCACTGGACTTGGCAACTTCGAATGCTGCATATTGGTGCGGCGGCAACCCTCATAATAAATATTGCCTATTGCTATAGACATGTTGATGAAAGGCTCACATACATGTATCTTCTTTCCACCAATTTACTACAGTCCTCATATGTAGACGCTTACCACACCCGCCCAATAAGTACCGATAAACCTCCGGGTAGCAGCATACAATTCATGAAGTAATCAATTAATCAATAAGAACTGGTAGGGATGAGCGAGGTCGAGTGATAGAATATGACGCAGAATGAAGTAACGTTAAATAAGGAGTTCAAATTGATTAAATGAGAATGGAAGCGAGAGACTGGAAGAAGTGGTAGCTGTGCAATGTGCGCCGGTATAGGAGATCCTGTATGACAAGCGGTGCAGTTCGCGTGCCACGTTCTCAGGATCCTAAGATTTGGGTTCCTCGCCATCATCAGTGCAATCTACTATTTTCGCCTGAAGTATTTTCTTTTCCATCCGTTCTTGCTGTGATGGTTTAACCTTTCATCCTTTTTGTACACTAACGTGCGATTATATGTATATACATGTACGTATACGTTGTCAAAGACTGCCGAGTGATGATGTATGACTGATGGAAGATGTTTACCAAAATTAATTGATGATTGATACATACTGTGGACGGCGTGGGGAGGAATTCGGAGGAGCCTTGACATACATGTACAAAAGGGACTTTTTTCGGTTGGGTAGCTGCTGAAGCGAGCACATTTGTCGTCTTTTCGCCTGCCGCAAACCCACTTTTGGGCAAAAAGCGGAAAGGAAAAAGGTTGGTATCGTAAATCCCTGTCAGGAAAGCAGTCGTCGTATGTACAAGCCTGTTAGCTGTTGCCCCGAGATTTCTGAGGTGTCGTGGACTTGCATGGCAGCCGAAAAAGGTTTTGCATACTTACATATACTATGGTCGGGTCTAGGGCGACTGCACTGTTTACATTTGCCCACTCCACTCTTTTCCTTTCCTTTTCTTTACACAGACACATCCATCTCGGTAGCCAGGAAAATCACAACCATCTCGAAAATAACTGAATCACACTCCGATCTGACATCTCTTGTTTAACCTTAGAATTCCTACATCGACTCATCTCATCTCGCATTGACCTCTGCTATTTGGAGCTGATATTCAGCTTCTTCCTCATCTACTCATTCTTGTGTGTTCAGATTCAAGCAGCTACTGTTGTGGTTGTCGATAACGATTCTTCGAGACGAAAATCCTGTGCTCTTGGAACGGACTCTCCCATTCCCAATTTATCCATCCACCGTTGTAAAGCTATCAGTCGGTAGTGTCTATCACGTACTTGCTTCCTTCTCCTACTTTTAATTTTCCAGTAAAGCTTGTCTTTCGGAAACCACATCCCCATGTCATCTTCTGCAACCTCACATCTGCAATTGTGATCGACGCATCTTTCCCTTGAGACGACCAGACCCCCTCTTCTAAATTCGCCTTCCCGGGCGGTAACGGTCAGCTCTTTCTTACGCCATCAAGATTAACTTGCAGCACATTGTACTGTCGTCGTGGCTGTCAACCCAAGCAACCTGTTGGTCAACACACTTGTCACCACCTGGCGTACGCTTTACATCTACAACTCCTCCAGCTATACTACACCAACAGCTCCATTTCTCAAGAGATAGAACTCGAGACCTACTTTAACTACTTCCTTGTCGAGAAATCCTTCTCGGTCATCCCTACCCAAGTGCACCATACCCCTCCAGGTTACATTGACACCAACTTCGATACACTGCTTCTACTACTTGACTAGATTACTTCCATCACAACCAATTCCTCAACTTCTCTCCGAGTAAAACGTTTCAGGGATTAACCTCCTCCGCTGAATTATCGTCGTCGACAAAAAAGTGATTTTTTACTTTTACACGGAGTTTTTGCAGCTTCCTTGTTCCACAGACCTACTACACCTTCAGTTTCAACTCATCATAAAGCTGCCGGAATACATAGAGTATCAATTTCAGTTAGTATCGCTGTCTTTGCGAGAAGGTATCGCCTTCTACCACACTCGATAAGCTTTGACGGCTACTCTGCTATCAGGTTCACCCCAAACCCCAATCCTTCAGTAACGTCACCTCACCGATAAACACGTCAACTCATCTTCAAGCTACCAGAACACATACTCAGAGTAGTATCGTTCTTCGTAGTACCACTATCTTCGCGAGAAAGTATCGCCTTCTATCATACCCAAAAGCCTTGACGGTCACCTTGCTCTCACCTTCATTTTCGGGCTTCAAACTTTCAGTTACTTCACCGGCATATACGAAATAGTGCACAAACTTCCTTATTGCTCCCCTGCTCTTTACTCACATTTCCGATTAAGCCTCAACCTCAGTTTCAATAATTGACGGTACATCAATATTGTGAGAAGACTCGATCTCACACCGTTAGACATTTCCAGATTTTCAGACTTATAGTCTTCAGCAGTCAAACCTCTCTTCTCCCTACGCATCAGCTTGATAGACTGTGCATAGTACCTTCCGGATTGAAATCATCAGTATCTCTTCCCGTACGATCAATCTTTGAAGTGTTAAACACTTGGTACTTTCCGCTTTAAATATTGAATTCGCAATCGGTACACACCACAAGTGCAGTGTTTACCGGATTACTGTTCGTACCGATAATAAGCTCAGATTAAAGCTTCCTCTGAGAGACTTACTTTAAACTCTTCATCAATCAATCAATCTTGAACTTTGAGATCGTCTTCGCCGTTTGCACAACTAAAACCTATCATCACTGCCCATCATCAATTCCTTCAATCAAGGCAATCCAAAATCGAATCCGAAGACCAACCAATTTCCAAACCACCCACAACACTCCATTGTCAACTCTCTTGCAAATTTGTTCCGTGGGTGTGCTCCCTCATTTCCACGGTTAAATAAATTGCTAACGCTACTAGATTATCCAGTAGAGATAGCTTAGCTGTTCTAGTTGAAGTAAGTTCACGATTCCACCCTGCATTGTTGATATTCGCACTCCCCCCCAATTCATCCCATTTCCAAACATCCGTCACATGAACCCTTCCGTCTCAAGTCTGCCTTCCATCCCAACGTCACGTCCCCCACACTCACCATAGAATTCACACTCCCAAACCTTTGAAAAGCCAATGACCATTTAACACCCACCCTCGCAGCCTCACCAGCTCTCACCCAGGACCAGTTCACTTCACTGTGACACTGCCCCCACCGTTCTCCCACCACCACCAATAAATAAAACTCGCTATACTCTCTGCGCCAAGCAACCATGCAGACGCGCGACCACTACCTATCTCTCAACCTCCCTGGCCAGCTCCGCGGCGGCTACCTCTTCGGTGACGAAGTCGGCTACGGCGGCTTCAGCGTTGTGCATGCCTGCACGCACATCAGAACGGGCAGAAGGTATGCGGTGAAGGTCCTGTGGATGGCCCAGTACACCGATCCTCAAGACGCCGTGAGTTACCTTTTTCTCTCTCTATTCTACTCGATTTTGCCTTGGCCTTCTATGATATGGTGGGCTAACAGTACGTGCTACAGGACGATGTCAAGAACGAGGTGGCTCTGCTCAAGAGGGTTCGGAGCACCGGCGGCCCGTTCGTTAACATTGTCGACGAGTTCCAGCAGGAGGGCTACTGTATGTATCTCTCTTTCTACCCTCTTCCTTTCCTTATTCATCTCATGGAGCACGCTGATATGTGGCAACGTAGGGTATATCGTCATGCGGCTTGCCGATGGGGGGGACCTTGACCGGCACCTGTGTACCGGGCGTTATTTTGAAGAACACGAGGTCGCAGACGTCATGCTGGACGTATTCACTGGGCTGCAGGTTCTTCACGATGACCTAGGGGTTGCTCACCGGGGTATGTTTTTATCTTTCTCTCTTTCTTCCGCACTTTAACTATGATCATTCTCTCCCTCCCATTGACTCAAAGAAACTCTCCATCTGGTTTCCTTTTTGGTTTGTGAACTTCGCTGATATATGGGACGGACAGACATCAAACCGGAGAACATCTTCCTGCGGACCCGCGGGCCCGCCGGTAACTGCGCCCTCATCGGTGACTTCGGGCTCTCCAAGCCTTTCGACCAGGAGAACCCGGGCACCTCCTTTAACTTCTGGGTAGGGACACAGTGGTACTGGGCACCAGAGGTGTTCCGTATCCCGTATGGACCTGCTGCGTACGTTTCATTCTCTCCACCATTTTCTCAACCTCTATAGCATTCAATATAGGAACCTCTGCTAACAAATTAATAGAGACATCTGGGCCGCGGGTATGGTCATGTGGCGCCTGTTGGTCGGAGACTATCCGGTCCCGGGCATCACTAACCACCCCACCTCCTTGAAGGACGCCCAGTTCCAAGTGAACGTGCGGGCGCTGCGCGAGAACTGGCTAGACGCCTTGGCGGACAGTGCCATGTACGTGAGCGAAGCTGGTATGTTTTTCTCTCTCTTCTCTAACTTTCTTCTCATTCTTAGTGTATGGAATATGTGATAGCTAACAGCTAGCAGGGTGGGATTTCCTGCAGGGAATCCTGCACATCGATGCTACGAAGCGGCTGACGGCAGAGCAGGCACTGGCACACGAGTTTCTCGTCACTGCCCGTGCTGCTCGCGACAGTGCCTATCCGCCACCACCGCCCCCACCACCGCCCCCACCACCGCCCCCACCACCGCCCCAGCCCGCTGCACCCAGCCCCTCTCCGGCACCAACCAGCGCTGCCACTCCCACTCCCGCCTCTTCTCCATCTCCTTCCCCATCCGCGGCTACTATAGTCGAGAGCTCCCAGAGCTCATCCAACTTCCCTCCACCTATCCAGGAGGGGGAGGAGGAGGTTGAGGAGGAGGAAGAGGAAGAGGAGGAGAAGGAGTACGAGTTTGAGGAGGAAGAGCAGGAAGAGTGCTATATCCCAGACGTCCCGGCCCCCAGGAGCCCGTCGACAATCGCCGCGGAGGCCCTCTTGCTCCTAGCAGAGGCTCCAAGGGTGAATGTCTCTTCTCCTCGCCGTGTGGTCTCGTCACCGCGTGCCAGAGTGGACCTGACCGCGCCTGTCCGCGACGACAGAACTGCAGTCCGAAAGCGCACGCGACGCCAGGTGACACCAAAGGTGCACCGGACGCGGGCTGTGGCTGCAAAGGAGGCGGGGATCATGGTTCCTGCAGCGGCGGTTCCACCGGCGGTGGTCGTGCCTTCTGCGCCAAAGGGCAGGAAGGCAGTCAAGCGCAAGGCTGCACCAAAGGGTAAGAAGGCTGTGCCTTCGATTCCTCTGGTGCAGGGGAAGTCGGCGAGAGAGTTGAGGGCGGAGAGGAGGGCGGGTAGAGAGGTGGTCGTGGTGCCCAGAAGAGGGGGAGATAGGGTCTCCAAGCGGTGAGCTTGGGGCCCAGTATTATTATGTATATTTTTTAACCAAATTGCATATTTTTTAACTTGTTTTATATTCTTTCCTCTTTTCTCTTCTCATTCTCTTGTATATCGTTTTGTATTCTTTTTTCCTGTATAGAGGTATTATTAATTTTCATCTTCACCCTTTTCCTATTTTTTTTCTTCTTCTTATCTTAATATTAATGTTAATATTAGTATTTTTTATCCTTTCTCCAAAAACGTGCCCTCAAAGTAATCGTTCGTAGTTGATTTTCGTTCATGCTCGATCGATGGTTGTCGCTGCAAGAAAACCGGCTACAGAATCATTTCCACCACGCCGGGAATCCCAGCCCTTCTTATACCCCCAAGGCTTGGCAGCAACCACATCTCCCGCCACGCATTCGGACATCAACACGTCACCGATCTGCATCATCCTGACCACATCACAGGACAGCACTATTACCGGATTATTAAAAGCGAACGGGTGAGGTGGCCGGCTCCACAGGCTTCCCCGCAGGGTTCTGTCGGTTATTTATTTCTGAAATATGGGTATGTAATCAGAGAAAAGAACACACAATCTCTCTTAGGTCATCCATGAGTAAGTTTGGCGATGCGGTCGCTCCTGGTCTGTAACTGCCCTACCAATAATGAGTCAAGAGGGGCAAGCCGCAGGAAACCCACCGCAACCAGCGGAACAACGAAAAGGACAGCAAAGAATTTTCCGTCACCACATCTCGGCATAAAACAGCACTGCTCGAGTCTAGAGCCCCCCGCTATCAAGCAATGTCGTTGTCTCCCAGTAAGAAGAGATGTCCGGGAGAGTATGCAGCTAGCCCACCTGCGGATAGTATTTGAGTGCAGGCTTGAAGTGGAGTCTGCGTCGATATGACCCTCTTCCTAACGCTGAAGCCTGCGAACTACCATACTCTGAATCCGCCATCTTACAAACGCATGCGAGATAGAGCTTCACTCAGCCCCCGTTCCCCTAGGATGATCATTCTCAATATCAAGGGTGGGCGGGTCTTCGAAAACGAAAGCTCGATACCCGGTTCTCTCGGCGGCCTTGAAGGTCTCAGCAATTTAAATACAAGCTGTCTTTGAGGCCACTCTGAGGGACTCGCATCTGCTGAAAGTTCGGTAGCAATGGGTGGGATGTGCTCGTTGATACACATTTTTAACGGCCGTCACGTCAGTAACATCTCTGTGCGCCTCACGGCGGTGGGGGCGGGCCATGAATGCTGTATCCGCAGTTGCGACACCAAAGTAGATTTTGCTAAACGGAACCTCCGGAGGACATGGCTCGGTGAGAATCTAGCGACCCTGCACATAGCTCGCCCTGGTTTCGAGCAATATAGATGCTCCATACCGAGGACCATTGGAGCAATAGCTCGGAAGGGAAACAGAGTTGTGTTTCGCCTATATATCTTTCCCTTTTCGATAGTCCGTATCATACTTTACGTTTAACCTCTTCCCTCCTTTGTATTTTCGACGACAGAATGACGGGTTGACACTAAATATACACAAGGCTGATGATCATAGCGGAAGAACGTAATGGCTATGTGTGGGCTCGGTAGACCTGCGGGATTCAATAGCTAGGATCATCTTCACCAAAAGGCGTGAGGGCCGGAACGTAGGAGAGGAAAGACACTGGGATGGATGACTGGCAGGTGAACTATTTGAAGTAAGCGATATAATAGACCTGAATCTTACTAGAACTAATAATGATGATACTTCCTCCGAGTCCTCCTCCGCTTCCTTATACTCGCGCAATCGCCACCGTATCTCTACTAACTATAAGTGTCCTCTTGTTACATGTTCTCGCCTCTGTCCTCAAGCCACACTAACTAGCCACCATACTCGCTACATGTATAACCTAATCATACACCTAAACACCCACCCTACACTATTCCTGCAGAATAATACCACTGGGTGCAGGGTAGGCATTTTCAGCCGGGAAGTAGAATAAATCATCTCTGGCTGCAATTCGGGCGCAAGCTTAAGGTCGACGGAAAATGGCTTCGGGCTGTAATGTGCTGCGAGAGGCCTTTTGAGATAGGACATATTCTTACCAACATTGATAAATGAAAAACGAATGCCATATGCGAAGATAAATATGATAATTTGGGAGCTTGGGTTATCGTGTAACTACGTTTATGTCAGATAGGAATTCTTCATTTCTTTTTCCAGACCTCTCACTCTGACTCTCTCCTGAAAGGCTCAAGTGTTGTTAGAGGCCCCCACACGTGCACATCTGCAGAAGATTTTGCGCTTTCATGGCAAAGATTCTATCGGTAGAACATTTTACAGCACCCCACAGCACAACCCCGAAGAAATAAATCACTGCTGGGAATAGAAGAAAAAAACTTGCGAAAAGAAGACAGCGGGTAACCACTACTGAAGCGTACGCCATCCCTCTAACCTGCTGCGCCAGTTGGCAACCTGGCCTTTTCGGCATCCCCTAACCCAGCGGCGAAAACACCCACTGCCGTGTCGCCAAGGTTGCTAGCTTCACTGAGAGGGCGGCAAAAAAGTAGAGTAAACCCTCACACTCAAGTCTTAGCACGCATTTCTTTATAAGAAAGGGTTGTTTCCCATCTCTGCCAAAAACTCAAGGTCCTCCCTGCCCCCTCTCGGGGCAGGGAGGGTTGCCCCTGGCTCTCCCGAGCCAGTCCGCAACCCCGCCCCACCCCTACCAAGGGGGGGGTGATCACCCTACCCCAGGAGGCCTGCTAAACTCTAGCGTTAGAGTTGCAGGTGGGGATGGGTGGCCTTCCCTTCCCCCTTATGGGGCGGGGTTGGGGTCGTGGTTGGTTGCTTGGGGGGGGGTCTGGGCTGCTGGCTGGTGTGGTGGGGGGCGGTGTTGGGGGGGGGGCTGGTCCCTCGGCGGGTCTGGGCTGCTGGCTGGTGTGGTGGGGGGCGGTGTTGGGGGGGGGGCTGGTCCCTCGGCGGGTCTGGGCTGCTGGCTGGTGTGGTGGGGGGCGGTGTTGGGGGGGGCTGGTCCCTCTTCTCTTCCCTTATGGGGAGAGAAGAGGGACTTGACCTTTTTATTATTATCAGGGCCCTCTCCTCTCTCCTTTTCTTGAAGAGAGGGGAGGGCCCTTTTTTTTTATTTTTATTTTTTATTTTTTTTTTTTATTTTTTTTTTTTTATTTATTTATTTTTTTAATTTTTTTATTTATTTTTATTTTTTTATTTATTTTTTGTAATTGGGCCTCCCTCTCTTCCCTGTGAAGAGGGGGGGGCCTTTTTTGCGTTAGGTCGTTTTGGCCGCGCTGCTCTCTCTCCTTCGCAAGAAGGGGAGGGGGCTTTTTTGCGTTAGGTCGTCCTGGCCTTTGAGACTCTGGGTGATACCGAGGGTCTCGAAGGTATGGATGGCCTCTCGTGGCTTTTTTTCTCTGTGCCCTCTCTCCTTCGCAAGAGGGAGAGGGGGCTTTTTTACGTTGGGTGTTCTTACGCACCGTGGGATCTGGGCAACTAGTTCGTTCATGCCCTCGCTTCCTTCGCATGAAAGAGGAGGGGGAACTTTTAGGTTGGGTTCTCTTTTTTTTTTCTCTGTAGACTCCGTGGGAGTTTTGAGTTTTCGTGACCCCCTCCCCCCTTCATATGGAAGAGGGACTCTCTACGTTTGGAGGTCTTCCGCCTTTGTAGCTTTTATGAATGTTGAGAGTGGTTTTACTCTCTCCTCCTTCGTAAGATGGCGTAAGTAGTCCTCCCATATTCGATAATTGTCGACCTCCCGCATTCCTATAAAGAGGAACAAACAGTTCTACATTGGCTAGCCTCGTACCTGCTGAGCTTTGGGTGATACCGAAGGCTTAGCAACTCTGAGCTTGCCGTGCTATTTTTCCCCAAATTCCTCAAGTATATAATCATGAGTAACCTTTACGTTCCTTCGTCGTGCTCATCCCCTGCCCAGCTAGTACACTACTGAGCTCGAAATAGTCTGAGAACCCTCTTGTCGAACTACTCTAATTTACGAGTTTCACATTCCTTCAGAAGATATCAACAATTTCAGCGTAAGAGGTCTCCTCAAGCGCTTTCAAGTACGGAAATACATGGCTTTAGTCTCTAGCACTATCTTCCTCGCCCCATATTATATGTACGAATATTCTAATATAACTTACCCTAGGTGCTTCGTCGCAAAGACCAAAGTGTTATCGAGCAATATTCATGCCTCCAAATACATATTATTCTAGCAATGAAACGGGCTTTGTGGACCAGGGCGGGTAGCTAAAGTCCAGAATATAAAAATACATACGCAACCTCATTCCATTATGACCAGATATTGGGTTTTTAATTCTTGCCACGTTTATTTCTTTCATTCTACAACTCTGAGGCGACGTTTACAGTTCAAATTAACCTTTTTTTCCTTTAAATTTATGGTTTCTCTTACTTCAAGTATTCCGCATAGGCGCTCCTGGTAGCCGTCGAGCAACATCAAAGTAGCCGAAGACAACCCCGCGAATGTTGGAAAAGACATGCTCCTTATGAGCCAGTCCGCATCCCTGAGGGTTTCATCCGCCGAGAAAAACTCACTGACTGCCCTTCGTCTTCCTGTTCAGACCGCGGTTTCCTATCTCTTCCAGCTACGTGCCCACTCAATTCCTGAATGTGAGCATTCTGCCTTAGTCGACGGTATCATCTTTGTGATCTTCTTTTAAAACACCTTTTCATCAGGACTCCCGCCCAGACCCCATGTACGCAGGACTAGAAGTTGCAAGCGAAATGCAGCCTCCGGCCGCAAATAGACATGTATTGAGAAATGGAATTAATTCGAGATTCCAGAACTCACGATGTATGGTTGTACCGCGTCTCCTAGTCTGCAATGACCAATCAATCTATGAAGTCAATTATCCACGATATCTAAGAGGAAGATTTCATAACTGGTCTTCCATCTAATTTTTTCAAGCTGAAGATGCTACATCTGCTGCGCCCCTTCGGCACTCGGGAGTGGCTGGTATACACGGCAGTACTCCTGGTAGAATAAAGTTATAAAATAAAACCAATGGTAACACTTCTGACCACAACAAGGAAAGTTATACTATTTTAATTTTGGTATTGTACAACATGACGTTCTCTAAAACGTGGGACATGAACACAGAGGTTTTAGAAACTCGCCGGGGATTAGGTAGGAGATGCTCCGCGGGGGGGGGGGGGGTAGTTGTACCTTCCTTCATTTAAGCAATACATCCTCTTGTGCCAGGTATTTATGTATCCGGAGATGTCGGTTTTATTAGCCACGCATATTCTTATCGCCATCTCAGATCCGCACAACTACGCCATGTTCATGGTCAAGGTGCTCAAATTGCATGTATTTTGCTCCACTGAACGACTGTTATTGCACATCAGTAACTAACAGGAACCAGAGAGAAAAGCCACCTCGATCAACATCGAATTTTCTCACACCGTCCCCTCCCTCACCCGCACACTCGCCCTCACCACCCTCGTCTCCACATCCAGCAACCCATACACGGCCGCCAGCTGTGGCCACATACTCCTATTCAGTAGCATCTCTTCCTTATTCAGCACCAGCAGCCTAATCCCGTCTGTGCGCAGAGCCCGCCGCCGTATCATGTCGCACACCCGCCCCGGCGTCCCCGAGACGATATGAGGCCCCTCCGAAAGCGAGATCTTGTCGTCCTGGATCGCTGTCCCGCCGACGCATGCGTAGGTTGTTATGCCGAAGTTTGCGCAGCGGGTGGCCAGGAGCGTGTGGACGAGGAGTGCGAGATCGCGCGTGGCGGAGAGAATGAGAACTATATTCAGAAAAACGTTAGCCAGGAGCACAATGTATGAAGCAGACAGGAGAAGGAATTGGGCTTACTCTGCGTCGCCTCAGCCTCCGTATCAATCTCTGCCAACATCGCATCCGAAAAGTTCACCCGCTTCGTCTTCCCAATCTCCTCCGAGATTTTCCTCAGCGCCATCTCCACCCTCTGATCCTGGTTATCCAAGCCACCCTGCTTGACGGGCAAACCCCAGCTCGACACGAGCTTCCCCCACCCCGGCGTTGGCAGCGCCTCCACCTCCGCCGGCGTCTCGTACACCTCGCGCGTGTGGTTCCCGTTGACAGAGTGCATGCGCAGCGCGAGCGCCGACTTGAACGCCTTCCTGTCCACGCAGACCTCACACACCCAGCTCTCCTCGCCGCCCGACACACTTTCATCGGCCGTCGACGTCCTCCTCTGGGCCTCCGCGGGGTGATGGAACACGGACGCGAGGTGGTGGCGCAGCGCCAGCTCGCTGCTGAACGGGCGGTCGCACTTGTAGCATACCGGCCAGTCGGTGGTGTCGACAGGCTCGGGGGTCTCGAAGGTCTGGACAAGCATCGGGAGGAGGCCTGGCGGGATGGGGATGGGGGAGTTTTCGGGGTGCTTTCGCTCGTCGAGTGGGAGCTCTGGGGGGCGGAGGGACATGGCGAGGAGGAAAAATGGGTGCGTGAGGAAGGACATGGTGCTTGGTGTGATGTCTGTCCAGGGAGAGAATAGAAGGCGGGAGGAGGGGAGGGGAGTGATATAGACCGTCGTCGCGGGGTGGTGGGGCATCCATGCGTGCTTCAGGCAACCACAGCTGTTGCTCCCCGGGGCGAGGCGACCAATCAGAAGCGCGCATTGGGAGGTGCATGCCGTGGGGGTCCATTTACCGCGACTTGATGATGAGGATAGGCGTAGCGAGGGCTGTGCGGTAGATTTTTGTTTGCTGAGAGTGGGAGCGGAGGGGACGCTGCGTCATGGGTTCTCACTCGGCGTCCTCCAAGGCGTTGGCAGTTAGGAAGCACTGACAAATGTGCGGTCGTAAGAGTAGATATCTGCGCCGTCGCAGAGATACGGTACTTCTCGTGGAGTGAGAGCAGACGGAGTCGGCACTGGGCACAGATGGTGTATGGTGAGAGAACGGTCCCCGGTAATGCTGCAAGATTTTATGGCGGTGGTCGCTGCGTTTATGCATCGTGTGGCTAGCTTTAGGATACCCATGTAGTAGCCATAAATGCACGTGGGTTCAGCAGAGTATACACAAGGAAGAACGAGCTTGTATAGCAAAGTAGTTCGTTCCCTTCGTAGTATAGGCAGTAGCCTGCTGTAACTGGGAGCCCAAGAGGGGCGCCGGCCGTAAATAGCAGTACTAGGGGGCCAATCAGCTTTTGTGCTCGATATATATGCGCTTACACCATACATAGCTCAATAAAAGATGTATGCCCCCAAAGCTCGAAGAAAATACGTATACATGTGGGAACGCCGAGCGACGTTTTCTGCGCCAGTGTCCGAGCAAATCTATGCAATACCCCCGAGATCAAAGCCTTTGCTGTCTGCTCGGTAGTATCGTTGCTGCAGTCTATTCTCGCTTATAATGCCGAGGTCGTGGCCTAGTTGATGACATCAGGCCGTTGGTGATGGAGGTCTCTCTATCTGAGGTCTGGAGGGGCTGTGGTGATGATGGAGGTCTGAGGACTAGAGGGGCTAAGGGGCTGCGGCGCTGAATGTTCGGATGCAGGAAGAGAAGAGTGGTTGATGATGGCTGGATCCAGTGGGCTTAGCACATAAGCTTTACCGAGTCCAACCATGGAGCCGTTGGAACACCTGTTCTGCCAACCTCAACCACAACGCCGCGTCAGATCTCCCGAGATCGCAGGACCGTGAGGAGACACATTGTGTGTAGATGAACAGGGACCTTTGGGCCAATGGGAAAGATCGCTTTGGCAGCTTTAATTCCATATTGAGAATTCGAACCCTAGTACAATAATTGAATTATGTGGTAGATTCTTTTCCGATTGTTGAAACACGTTAATACACCTGCGACTAAATGTCAGCGCGGCCATCTCTGCGAAAAGGATATAAATACAACCACACTCGACCAGAAAGACCAAAGTTATAGCAAATCCAATACGTCACAGGGATTAAAACCTGCCTTTTCCTTCGACAAAGCAGCTCAACCCACACCACCATCTGCCCGCTCCCGGAAGAGCTCGGTGACCCAAACAACCTCGACAATTTAAGCGCCTCAGGGCTCTCTATTGGCCGGTATACGAATTCAAGCGCGATACGTCTTCTCCGCGCCCCCGCAACAGCACCCCCCCGACCCCACCCACTATACGTCCCCTCCACGCACCCGGTGCAGCATAACCATCTTGTCCCATAACCGGAGCCGCGACGACCACCTAAGCCACCATATTCCTTCTGCGGTTATCGTCATGAGCAATCACTTGCTTGTCGTGACATATGATGTATGGGATATCCGGTTTTCCGAATGAAACAGCTGACGAGATATTTAAAAACGAGATCTTGGCATCTATCACTAACATGCATGGGGACGCTTTCACGCTACCCTACAGATCTATACCTACAGGTTGTTCTACACTCCACTGCTGAGTATGGAATCATAATACTGTCGTCCAGAGTACGTTCTCACCACCGTGATTTAGCCCCAGATTTCTTCTTTAATCCTATCACTCTGCAGGATTGACGCAACCTGGCATGCAGCCGCTGAGATATGATATGCCAAAATATCGGAAAATGAGCTGATTGCATATGATTGGTCTGGAGAAAACGTATTTCAACTAGTATTGGGATATCGATCATAGCTTACATCGATCACGGACTATCTCCGACACACCCGCAAGATTCTCATGTAAAATAGAGACGTTAAAATAAATGAATCAACTAAGGATGAACATAAAAATGCCAGTATACCCTCCTCTTAGACTAACCTGACCATCTCAAAAGACGAGCTCCAGGCCCAAAGCTACATACCGGCAGAAAACAGACTCAAAAACAGTAAAAACCACAGTAATCAAGAACTCATCACTAACACCCCCCGGCTCTATCGAGCAACTCCTAATATCCCGGTGGAAGCTCCGACCCTAAATTAAAGGTCTTCACATTGCAAACACCTCTGATGGTGGCAACTCCTACAGCGCATTGGTCTCGTGTTCTTGTTCTCTTCATTGCACATGCAGCACTCCCAGCCCGTGCCCTGCCGGCTCATGTCGGTGGGCTCGTTGTCTTTGGAAGGTATGGTGCACGTTATTTTATCTTACTTGTTTTGCTAGTGGGGTTGGAGTTTGCGGTAATATATGAGTGAGTGGCAGTGTGAGGTTTCTAGGTCATGGGGCAAGAGGGAGAGGGAGGGGGCGGAGAATGGGGGGATGGCCCCTTTAAGTAAACACGAGGAGGTCGATAGTGAGTCCTAGAATTGAGCAGGTTAAAGATATGGCTCGATAGAATATGCCGTGTAGTAATATATTGGCAGTAGAATGGTCACATATTCGACAATGCGCAATGAATATACTTTTAATTATAGTTCGTTGGGAACACGTTTCGCCAATTGGAGCCACTTTCCTTCCCTCATCGCACTCGATCGGTAGGGCCTATGATGGCTCGCAATTTAATTCATACTGCGGCCGGGGGTGGTTGGTTATGCAGCGACCGCCAAGCCACGAGTGAGAGCTCATGACCTAAAGGTGTCACAGATCTTCAGACCATATTTCGCCGAACGTGTCGCCAGCATCTTCAATAACCGGAGCTCTCAATGTCTGGGTAAGGTGAATTGCCTGCGGCTTGCGATAACGCTAGAGGGCGAAAGGCCTGGATATCAAATAAGCTTATAATTATGAATGCAGAATTCCAATGCTGCAGATTTTCCAGGGCTTATCACAGGGTGCGGAGGGGGTTGCAATTGCTGGCCGGAAGTGGTGGTACTTGCTACTTGGGGTATATGTGTTCTCGATATGGTATATAATTATCCGCAGGTTGTTACGGGCGGGAGCGCCGCAGTGCGAGCTAGGGATCAGTGCAGATTGTTTGGGATTAAACACCTTGAGATATCTAAGATTGCTAACAACTTAGAGGGATATGAGAATGGCGAGAGGTAACAGCGCTGGAAGGTCAAGGAGAACTAGGATAAAAGTTGCTCTCGGAATCGGACAACATAGGGGATCACAGCAATAACAGTATTTTTCCATTATTATCCGCCAACTGATTAATCTGTCCTCATGACAAAGCAATACGACATGACCTTACGAAAGGATATCAATCCGCCTCTTGCACACCTATCTACAAACCACATTCATCAAGCGAAGCTACCATTATCATCATCCGCCGGAGCATTATCATAGCCCCCAGGCAAGCTCGTGTTCTCGTCGCAGGCATCTACTTCGGTATATGCTTGGTCAAGAATTCCAGAACATCCTCGCCCGCCCGTGCGCTCTCCCTTACGTGCCGGAGCCTTCGGTAGATGCCAGGCTGATCAACCTCGACTCCGGGTGGAGCCACATTTACCATATCATTAAACATGTTTACGAAATCACGATACCCTTCTAGTTGCGTGTCCACGAGTATTTCCAAATTCCTATTCTTCACCGGGTATTCACAGGTCAGTCGTCTGTAATTCTAATATGTTTCATTGCTTCATGATCCACTACCTTTGATCCCCCGCCCTCACTAGATGGGCCATTCTCCTTCTGGTTCTCCCCCTCCTTCTCCTTCTCCTTCTCCTTGCCCTTCCCCTTCCCCTTCCCTTTCTCACCCGCCTTCTTCAACTGTTCTAGTTTGTTCCTCACCACTCCCTCGAGTCTAATCCCTTCCTCCTTGAGTTTCTGCTCCATGACTTTGATTCTCTCCTCGTGGCGTTTATCGATGTCATCGCGGATAAAGTCGAGATAGGGCTCCTCGAAGATGTGCTCGTCGTAGAGCGGGCATTGCTCGGGGTTGTTGTTGCGGGCGAGCACTTCGGCGATGGTTGGTTTAGGACAGTTCTCGGGGGTGGACTTGTCGGCCATTCTGGGATCTGAAACAGGTTAGAGGTGAGAGGGTTATTGTACTGAAGGGGGCCTACATGGAGAGAGTGTAAGTGTTCGAGATGTTAATCTTTGATGCCTCGCTTCTTTTGATGAAACTTGGTAATTGAGGATGAAATGAGATGGGGATGGAGATGTAGATGGCTTTCTTGTAAGGGGAGAGCAACGTATCATTTTCGACGGGAGTTCCAAGGAGCCTCATCTTTGTCATAAAGCCACCTCTCCATGGAGCTTCTGTAACGCGTCGTTAAGCTGCAAATCTGTTCTACGATCTTCGGCTCAGCGTGAATTTCATAGGATGACAAGGGTACGGAAAGAAGAACACGACGCAATTATGCATCCAGGATCTACAGATGGAGTGCAATGCGCTCTTCTCTTTCCGCCGGTTTGTTGTTGAAGAAAACAAGAAGAGTGTTCATATCGGGATCTTCATTGTATTGAGGGTATGCTTCATAATCTATCACTCGAATTCTGTTCACATCAGCCGTATCACAGAGGAATCCCAAAACGTGTCCTACGGCAGAAATATGAATATGTTGCTACTTCGAAGTATCCAACCAAGACGTCTCTCGCTCGACACCGTGTACAGCACTCCCCTGAAAGAATTTGGCACCATTCTGCTTTCTTTCCTTCTCAATCATCATCTTTTAGCAATCCCCCCTCGTTTAACAACAGCACAGCCGGTTGACCTGTTTTGTGTTTATGCTACCACAGGTTCATAGTTCATGAAATTTCATTTGAGTGATTACTGACTATGGAACTACGTGTAGGTATAGGTATCTCTTGAAGTTACACACTGTGTGCGACAAGAAAGACCACATACATACCTAATCAGACACGTTTATAGCCAGTTCCTTCTGGCTACATTGCCGCATTACTGCATTCCCGAATGTTATTTGGCTCTCGGTTACCAGTATGTGGACCCATGAACCCTACGTGTGGACCTTGCTCAGGAGTCTTTTTTTTTTGTTTAATTCATTGCCCAGGAGTCAAAAGCTGTATCCAGATACAAATATCTCGCACCTCCGCACCGGAGACTTCAGCGGAGAAGGCTTGGCTCTTCCGAGATACACAAGACATTCGGACAATATAGTCATCACTTCAAGCTTCGAGTTCTATACAGCAAGCACGCTCCTTTGAATCTTGCTTCCACCAACTTGCGGAACGCAATGCGCACTGAGTTTATATTATTAGATTATGAATCTAAACGTGAACTAATAGATGATACAGAAAATGTTCCCTTCCCCATAAACCCCCAAACAAAAAACACCTCTTCTCAACTTTGTCTAAACAAACAATCAAGTCCTCGCCGCCAGAGGCGACTAACGGAATCAGCCAGAATAACACTCCACCCCCCCCCCCCCCCCCCCCCCGGGCTTTCCGTAACACGTTACACTTACCGCGTAACTTTCTCAACCCAGCCCCCCACCGCCCGCCCAAAGCGCCGGCTACGCTTATATTTCTCACACATCTTCAACTGCGCATCAGCTCTTTCTCTCCCCTCCTTTATCATCGCAGCAGTCCTTTCTCTTTCAAGCCTCTCTGATTCAGTAATTTCCCTTGGGGGAACAGGGGTCGGGGTTTTGTTAGGCTCGGCAGGGTTCTCAGAAGCACGGGCCTTGCCTTTTTTGACGGTTGTTGCGGGCTTGAGGGTCTGGGCCCATGATGGGATATACTTGTTGAAAGGCATGATAATGTTCTTATGAGTGTTGCAGGTTCTTGGCGTGTGGGTTGGTACTGTATGTGGGTCTGGCTGGTGAACATATGTAGGAGGCTATATGAGATTGTTACGTTGGGACGGTTCAATACTATAGGCTGTTGGTGAGCCCAAGTCTTAACCCCTTAATCGTTCTATATATCCGAGGTTTGGGACAATAGAATTTAGGAATCCATATAAGATTTCAGAGGACATCGACGGAGAGATGTTGTGGTACGTGAGAGTTGACAAGAAATCTTGTGCGAGTAGAAAATCAAGAGAAAAGCATTTGTTTGCCAGGCTACTGGTCAAGCACGGGCGGGACGGTCAAAAACTGCTAGCTATAGCATGCACATGTTAACGGGCACTCTCAGGTGTCCTTCCTCCATCGAGCTCACACACAACCAATAATATTGAAACTAACAAATCCGCATATATATAAGATCTATATAATGCTTAAAATGCTCCAGAAGAAAATAATATATTCAAGCCACCAATAATAACACTGCAAGCATAATATACAACCAAACAGAAGCCTTGTTAGCTAAGACTGCACCGACAGCATACTGCACCTCACTCACCACAGCACACTACAGCACACTACAGCACACCATACTCACCTCTGATCACCAACAAACCTCTTTCTAACCTCTAACTCGCTCTCCGCATGCCCTTCACGCAGAAAATTATACACAACGCACTGGCAACCTTCTTTTTCCTCCGTTCCATCCTAGCCCTCTTGGCCGCCTTCAACTCCCGACTGATAGACTGCCGATACTGGATCTCGGCAATGGAGCACAGTGTGGCAGGACCAGCCTCCTCATCCTCGGCATCTTTGTAGATAACCTTTGACTCAATCACCGCAGCTTCACGCTTGGAGAACGAGGATCCGTGAGATGTCGACGGACGGTCCTCAGGAATCTGGGGGAGCTCGGATTCGGCGTCTTTGGAGATGATCTTTGACTCAACCTCTACGGCTTCGGTCTGAGAGGATGGGGATTCCTGAGGTAGTGATGGAATATCTCTCTTAGGGATAGGTGGGAGGGGTCGCTGCAGGTGGTTGGACGTTAGTTGCGGAGAAAACACGCAGCTCGAGAGGGATGCAAGGTACCGAGTAGTTGGGGAGTTCTTTGATCATCCTTTGTGATACGTAAATGTGCCACTGAAATAAGTGTGATGGGGTGATTTGATACTTACTACCCTGAGAGATGAGGTCTGATTTATGGTAGTACGGACTGAGCTAGGGAATAGTAAGTGGGGGCAGAAGCGGAACTATAATTGTAGGGCACATACCCGACTTTCGACTGAGATATCAGATGTATTCCCATGGACTGTGACTGGCTGACATTATCGGAATAGGCTATCGGCAGGAACTATTCGCATGATTCCTTTCTTTTTTGTGCGAAATATCACGAGTCGAAACCTTACGTCAAGCTTAGGAACTTCCTTTCAATATCATCGGTTCATATTCAATAACAACAGCAAGTGCAGACATACGGGCAAAAACATCCTGATTTCTTCGTTAATGAAGTATTGGATATTAGGGTATCTAGGTATCAGCTACGATATGAACTCGAGAGGATTGTACATCAGTTACAACTCAGCTCTAGATACCCGGAACCCCGCGCCCCCGCGCCTCCGTCAGCGTTGGTATACTATCTGTCAGTATGAATATCTACACAGGCTAGACTACTAACTTTCTATATAACATATATAGAGCTGTCTTTCCTTCAATGCTTGGATTCTTCGGGATATTGACTGGTGGAAGCGTTTGGCTTGACTATAGAAACTGACTCATAACCAGTTTGCAGCACAATCTTCGAGGAGAGGGATCTTTTAGACTCTTACCAGTGACAATATTCAGTTCCCAAAATTCTCCCACGAAGCAAGCGATAGGTTGGCACCAACCATATCTGTATATGTATCTCCTTTGGTGCTCCATAAGCATACACACGTGGGCAATGCTACTGTACTAATCATAAATTGAATGGGGCCACTATTACCTAGTAGGATAAAAGAAGCTTGGTTAAGCCTCTAAACCATTAACCACAACATTCTCAACACGGCTAAATCAAGACGGCCACATCAACACGAACAAATCAACAGGAAGTTAATTTCACTCTCAAAAGAAACCATGGCATCATCAAGCAGATCTTCAAGAGCACCAGCCAGACAGGACCGGGCCACGAGCGCTGACGAAAAAGAGGAATTCTGCGACAAGCTTGTCTCTGATCTTCTCAAGAAGCTGAACCAATTTAAGGCTGATATTAAGGAGGATATTGATTACTTGAAGGGAAAGGGCGTAGATAATGTAGACTGGGGGGCGGAGTGCCATGCACAGGGCAAAATTTGGAATGAGCTGACCCAGGAAGTGGGTGACGTGCAGGAAATGCTTGATTCTATGCAGACAGCGGGGTATAGCAGCCGTGAGACTGCTAAGAATAGGATAATCAGGAAGTACGAAGAGGCCCTGAAAGCTCAGAAGAGGTTTCTTCAGTTTTGTGAGAAGCATATGCCTCCTAGGCGCTAGTGTACTGGTGGGCGTATATCTCTTTCTTTCTTTGTTAACCTAGTTGGGTCACTGTGTTAGATTCTTCGTTTATTAATTATGTATCCTCAAGGTATCTTTACCTAGCCTCGGAATGATTGGGTGAAAATAAATTATCATTATTAATTCTTTGGTTCCCGAGCATGTTATCAAAGGAGGTTGAATATCCTCTTCGGTTTTCCCCCGGAGCTCATCCAAAGCTTAGGCTTGCATGCTTCAGTGGTGAAAGCTTTGAATTGAGTTTCTCTCTGTGCCTGTATTCATTACGTACCTGTGCTTCAAGAGCAGTCTCCATACTGTGCAAGTGACTCTCGTAAGTTGGGTACAGAAACTCGGGCCCAATATCACTTGGAAATCTCTAAATTAATTCCCTCCTGAGACATTTCTTACCATACCTACCAAGTGCCTTGATTCCCTACCATAACTGCCGTTGCTAATCTACTCCTACATAGGAAAGAAACCCGGCCTTCACGCTTGCTGTTTCATTAATCCTTTTTCTCTTTCTCGGGCTTCCTTTCTCTATCCACTTTGCTCCCGCCCTCCTCCTCAGCTAGAATCCCCAAACGCCTTAATTTCCAAATATACCAGATTTGAGATGCAATAAGTACATCACAATCCTGAATTCTTCTATTTCTCTCGATGCAGTCTTCTATACTACGATATAGAGGCATGTTGGTTATTGTGCCGTTTGCGTCATTGATTTGTGAGACATTCAGGTTTTATTCTAAATATGTTTCAAAACTCCGGCTTGACACTCAACGCTCCACTAAACCTCCACTTGAAAAAGAGTTAGGAGAGAAATCCGTGGTGAATTGAAAGACTTTCAGAGCGGATTATATCCTTGGTACAACTAACGCTTGAAGGACGCACATGGATTTGTACTTGTATCTCTGAGTGCTCATGGTCAAAGCAATGTGAGCAAGGAAAACCCCGCCTGTATTCTATTCCCACCCAGCTAGCTGATGACGTAGCAGCGATGGGCTTCTCGCGGGTGGGGTGCTGGTACCTATGCTGTCTGTGGATATAGAGCTATTAATTGTGTATATTTATATTATGGCTCAATCGCAAAGTAAGAACCGTATTCGCTATCCAAGATTGAATTGCTTGAGGTGTTGATCATGAGTGATAGACCATTACTCTAAATAAATGAGATTTACAAGGCGCAGACACTGATTTCCCCATGTTTTGCATAGGATACTTTTGGCTGTCATAAGGAACGACGACTAGATTTACTGAAACGCATACCAATGGGGTACTTACTCTCAAAGAAGCGTGCTGCACCCTGAATGGACAGACAGGTGTATACTATGGGTGTATTCTAGTCGCGGCATTTATAAATAGCCTCCCACCCCACAAAAATACCAACTGTTCATAAAACTGTAAAACTCCTTAACTATCTCAATCCCAACGACCAATCAGTCGCCCAAAATGCTCAAGTTCATCCCCATCCTCTTTCTCTCCGTCCTCCTCCTCACCTTCACCACACCCACCACCGCCCTCGAAGGCAGCACCATCTGCGAGACCAGCTGGGGCTCCCCACTCGCCTCCGATCTAACCTTCCTCGCCGGCGACTTCGAAAACCGTGTCATCCCCGGCGGCCGCGGCCCCTGCTTCCAACTCAACGATAGTACCAACGGCCGTCCCGGATGCACCGGATGCTGGGGTTTGGGCCGTGGCTCTCTCCACGTATCAATCTGTGGAGCCAAGGGCGCTTTGGTCAACTTCATAGATATCGCGGCGGCTCTTAGGAGACTTGAGCTCGTGTGCACCAAAACCCTTGGTGGTAATAGGAGGACTGGGGGGAAGTGGAGGGTTAAGGGAGGGCACTTTGAGATTCTTGCGCATGTCTAAATCATGTGTTCAGTGGTCAGTTAGGGTTGTCTCCTTAGTTGAGACTGGGAATTGGTATTAAATGAAATTAAACTTAAAATATCACTGGCCTGTTTTGCATAATGTACTTTTGGTCGGCATAAGGAAAAAAGACTACGTTAACTAAAATGCATGCGATCCGAGTTCTGACTTTCAAAAAAACGCGATGTGCTCTAGATCGACGGATAGCTGCATAGTATGAGTGTACTCTACCCCTCCAAAATGACAGTATTTCTAAACGACATTTCCCCCCATCTTTCAATTCCTCCCAACTCGCCCCCCCCCCCCCCCCAAAGCCATAAAAATACCACTATTCAGAAATCGATGAAAGTCAAGTCCCTAGTTACCGCGATCCCACCAACCACCAACCAGTCGCTCAAAATGTTTAAGTTCCTCCCCGTCCTCTTTCTGGCTGTCCTCCTCCTCACCTTCACCACCCCCACCACCGCCATCGAAGGCAACACCGTCTGCGAGACCAGCTCCGGCTCCCCCCTCGCCTCCGAGTTCATTTCCGTCGCCAAAGACTTCGAAGACCGTGTCGTCCCCGGGGGCCGCGGGCCTTGCATTCAGGGAAAGTTCAACGACATCAATGGCCGTCCTGGATGCTCCAAGTGCTGGGACTTGGGCAGTGGCCGTCTCGTCGTCTCGATCTGCGGAACCAAGGACTCCAGATACTCCTACAGTGACCTTGCGGCGTCTCTTAGGAGACTTGAGCGCGAGTGCACCAACAGCTTTGGAGGCACCCGCAGGACTGGGGGGAAGTGGAGGGTTCAGGGAGGACAGTTCGAGATCCTTGTGCATTTCTAAACGATGTGTTCACTTGTCTGGGGTACTCTCTTTGGTTGAGACTGGAGATGGGTATTAAATAGAGCGGACTATAAAATTTCAATGGTGGCGCTTTAAAATTCCTTCTCTCCTAATAAAAGATGTAAATCGAGTGATAATATGTGATTCCATCCCGCAAGTAAAATAAATAACCTTTAAACAAACCAACGACCCAGGTGATAGCCACTACCAAGGGAACACCGGTCTGAAGTAGATTAGCCATGACCTGTGAGAGACTCTATCGTTCCAAAAAGCCAGGCGAAACCGAGGTATGCAGAAAGGTGCAAGGCAATAGCAAAAGCCGTTACCGCTTGGTTTTTGGACGGCCGGACGTTGGCCAAAAGACCGACTGCGGAAAACAGAATCAAGAGTGGAGAAGTTGGGTTTGAATTGATGTCAGGTGTGATTATTGTTCCAACACCTGGAACCAGTATCCACCAATCACTACAATGAATCAGAAAGATCAACATGATCATACGATGAACAAAGCAGCCAATCAACTCGAGTCCAATCTCTGTCAGAGACAAATCTAATGAGCGTCCGGTAGTTCTCCTAAATACCTAGAGCGCCTGGTAAGAACAGAGGACAGAGCCAATGCACATCCAAATATGTGCATAACATATAACCCAGCACAAAATACCACTTTCGAACCTAATAGTGATTCGGAGGCCTTCAACAGCTCTCATATGATCAGCTTATAACAGAATAAAATGGACAGCTGTGAATAAATTCGCAATCTGAAACTGCAAGACGCTGTGATTTTGAAGCAGACATCAGTTTATATTCGACACGGCGTTCTAGAGAACTCACACTGCTTTTCGATTCACGATACGATCAAGCTATATTTCCCCGATTTGAGATTTGGATAACTTAATAGAAGGTCCGCCCTCTTAGTACTATCCGAGCTATCTCGCTTATTACTCCGGGCTCTGGAGTTCTAGACTAAAACTTGAAAGGACGCATGAATAAATGTATCAAGAATCACTAATCAACAAATATCTGAATTCAACCGCTATAAGTATTATATGAAATGAAAAAATGAATACTCACTAGTGTACGCCTCACAGATAAACCGTAGAAAAGACATGAAAGCGGGTGTCTCGGCGGATGCGTGGATATTATCTGGCTATGAAAGAGTCATTATTCTATAACTCGATAATTCAAGGACATATCTTTATAAATACGTATCGCTCTACACCCTCTGTCACTCATACCTTCCACTTATCAAACTCACCTAAAGCATAATCAATCAAAAGAGTACCTCCTCCAATACCTACACCAACCTCATCTTCTTAACACCCATCCAAGCAGCAACATCAAAATCCAACATCATGCCCAACATCAAAGACCTCCTTCGCAAGTCCAAGTTAGGCCCCGAAGATGGCACCACCCCTGCTACCATCCTCTCCCCCGTCGAAGAAGAACTCACTATTCTCTCCGACATCTGTCAAGAGCTTACCAAGTCCCTCTCCGCACCCCCCTCGAGCGAGCAGACTCTCGGCGTGGACGAGGAGCAGCACCGCTTCCTGGAGGAGATGTTCAATAAAGGTGTTTCCAGTCGCAATAAGATTCACCATATGATCGCGGAGGGAGACATCAGCAGGGCAGTGGTGAGGCGGTATGAGGAAGAGAAGAGGGAGTTTAATTATCTACTCCACGCATACAGACAGGGTAAGACAACGAAGGTGGAGGTGCCGAAGGTGGAGGAGAAGGCAGAGCCAGAGGCAAATAGTTTGTTAAAGAGGGCGGGGGATAGGTTGAGAAAGATGAAGGGCTCCAAGGGGGCTGATGGAGAGGTCTAGGCATAGATGCATGGGGCATGTTGACGGCGGCAGGTGCTGGATTATTCTCGGAGAGCGAGTATATCAACAACACCCTCAACGTGGCTGTTTCTTTTTGATCGGTTATTTTCGTTCTTTTATTCATTCTTTAATTTCCCTTTGTTTTTGTTTTCTTCGCTCTCTCAACTTCACAGCTCTACGTACTTCCAGTGGCATGCAATAATGATAAATGAATTCAACGTAACTATCCTCTCCATTAGCATTTGAGCAACTCTGTGATCCGATATGATACGTATTCCAACCATAATCGCGACGCTAGCTCCAATATTGAGATAATTAATTTACAACCCGTGGCATTTTCCCCGATTATATTCTAGATCTGCTCCTGGTTGCACCCTATAGACCTAGGAGCCTATGGACTTCTCACATACAGAAGCACCCCGAAATCCTCTGCTTTCTCTATAAAACGCTCATATACGTAATGCTAAACTGGTAAAGTATTACTTATAGTATGGGATGATGAAGCAATCTGCGTATAAATGGTAACCGCTAGAGCCCAGGCTTTCTAAACAGTACAGATAACCTACCCCATAGAAAACCTTTTGAATTTACCGTCGCGTCGACAAGACCCTCCCTTCCGTTCGATCCCTCCCCAGATAGTCATCTGAAGGACCCCATGCTGCTGCTATCCCTCCAGAGTGCATTATGATCTACTGCCGTTATAAACTCAGTACCTCTCTTCCGAATTTCCGATATGTATACTAATACACAAAAAGAACAAAAAATACTGCGGATATCCCGCGGGGAAGAGTTCCCACGAAACATGTGCTACAGTACTCCCACCCCCGGTTCGAACCCTCAACCTCCTGCGAGTCAGGAAGAGGGAATACACGCGGTGTAATACATCCCGACGAGCTGTCTACCACCAGACCAAGCTCGCCATACTGTATTTTTTCCGGGAGTAATACTTAAGACACAGTCGGCTAGTACCGTGGTCCGACTAAAACACCTAACCCTAACTCCCATTGATCAGCCTTTCGCGACTTGAGACTAGTATTTGTTCTAGACATAGACCTTGCGGTGGGAAACTCATAAATCTTTCCTACTCAAGTACAAACCGCCTTGGGCTTCGTTTTCTTACGGGCTCGCACAGGTTGCAGCGCATGAGTTTAAGGCTCACTTTTTTCGGTCAACCCGGAACTAATACACCCTGAGCTTACCAAGTAGGTTGTAAACTCATGTGTAAACTGCATGTCACGAAGGCAAAATTTACAAAATAAAGTCCTACTTCACTCGCCTCAAACTACAAATACTCAACCCTCTTGAGTCTTGACCCATCCGTCCAAGGAAGCTCAATCTAACCAGAGAGTAATCTCGTAAATTTTCTTACATCATAGTTCTCGGAGAAGAACAGTGTCAAGTCATTATCAGATGTATCCCCGGTCCGTTTTTTCCCCAGTTCTAGGGGTAATAACAGCATCTCCACGGATGTAACAAGCTTGAGACTCTACACCAAGACCTTATCTTTCAAATTTTCCCGGTCCGGGGGTCATCCTCGTGACGACTCTCCTCTACGAGGATCGTTACAATCAGCAATTAACGGCCATAAACCTCCGGAACCAAAGTGAGCTTCCTATGATAACCTACCGCAGTTCGTGGAACCTTTCCCTCCTTCTTATCTACAGATCTTTTCCTACATGAGCCAGAGATAGCAATCATAGCCTACGCCATACAAAATCCCTAGCGTGGTCGAGACCGCCGAATGTCAGCTTGTTTCTAGTCTCCCTTCGTGATTGAATCAATCATCGGTTCTCAGGAACACGAAGACACCCCGCTTCTCAGCCACTGCATCGATTATAATGTCTTTCTAGAAGTCCCGCTTCGAGGATATACGCTTGCCTGTAATATCTGTACAATTAGTAAGGTTTTCATGTCTGGTCTAGGGAGGGGAGTGTGCTAAAAAATACCATATCCAAGAATGTCGCCCCACAAACCTATCCACATATTCGATACGAGATTGCCCACCGTGATCAAGTCTGCCGAATGAGAGCTCGTTTGTTGCCGCTCGCTCTCTGGGAAAACCTAAGACGAGCGGAAATAAATAAGAAGTCACCCCGCTGGGAATTTCGGACTGCGTTTTAAAGTGCTTGGGTATGTTAGCGTGGAAGACCGTGTGTGCGGAGCGGGAATGCTCGGGGACTCTGCCGGACAGGGCTGCCTCCATGTTGAATATTGGCATCTCCCTTCACACTTGTCGGTGGTGGGTCATGGATTATCACTCGCGCTCCTCACTCCACTTCAACGCTAACGGAACACGCTAATGTGTCTACAGCGAACCTTCACACGTCCTTTTCAAGCAACACTCTCCCATCTTTCATCCCTCAACATGCACCAGCTCTTCTCTCTCGTGTCTAACCCGCACCTGTGTATCCTTCCTCCACGACCTCCGCTACTATTCTCCGATCCACCGCGTTCCTCCTGTTGGTTCGCCCAAGCACCCTTACCGAAATTCTCTCGATTAAAGTGGTTGAAAGAAGTTCAGAAGACGCCATCGTACCATTCCAGTTTATATTTTCCACACCGATCAACCAGCATCCATCAACCAGCAGCCATCGGCCAACGACCATCACAATCGATATCACAATCAATATCCCAGCGTTTCATTGTCACTCCCGCGCGCCTTTCTCACTCCCACGCTCAGCGTCATTGAGCTACCAGTATAGTCCTGACCCAAGACGCTGAAGCAAGAAGCGATGCTCATGCAGATGGAACAACAGTGGAAACCCCCAAGCGGAAATTGAGTGGAGGTGACGATTTGTCCCCCACGCGCAAGAAGGTCTCGGAGGGTAGTTCCTGATTCCGAATTGCAACCTTCGTGTTTCATGTTTCTTTCTGTTTTCGCTTTACGCTTTTGGGTATCCTTTGATGTGTCTAGTACTTTTCTGTTGCTTTGGATCGGACGCCGGGCACGCCGCCCCCACTCCCGAGTAAAACTTGGACGGATGTCGGACATGTTCTTGGGTTAGATCCATGTATATTCTTTTTCTTACTGGGATGCTTCAGATTTTGTGCGGCTCTCGGTTTAATCGAGATGGTTCAATATTTATGGGAACCCCCCTGGGCGAGGAGGGGCTCCTCCGGCCAAGCAAAACTTAGGAACGAGATTTTGATATCAGAGGATGACACACTATCGGCTTTCTGTGATCATAGCGTCCAGTATGGCTAGGCTGGAAATCCCAGGTACGTAATACTAGGCCAGTTGTTCCGGCATTTCTGCTGTCTGCCAGGAAAGGTGCAAGAGTAAATGAAGTACAATTGGTTCATAATAATGGTAGCTTCGCCAGCTACACCTCTTTTGATTACTCTTTTACCCGTTTTCCCTCACGTTAGTGTTGTTCCCTGATCACTAACTACACTTTCAAAGATTCCACTCCTCGGCACATCGAACTTGTTATTTGAGAGATCTGAAAATATAAGGGAACGCACCATCCTACATCCTCCCGGGAAAGACCATGCAGAGCAGCAATGAAGATAACTACCCCTTCAGATAAAGCATACCTTAATACACCACCATCGATTCACACCACCGCCGATATACGCCCCCGCATTCTCACTACTTAGGTCCGGAGGAAGGAAATCATAAGTGAGCTTCAAGGTTGAATGGTTATACATTCATTTTCAACCGTTGTCACTGACTTACGAATTCTTTTCTGCGGGATCCTCTCCTGCATGAGTCGGGGCAGGTGTTTGGTGCGGTTTTCATATCTCGGATAAGGCTTTATGCAGGTTTAGTGGTGTGTTGGGTTATTCAACATCGATATTCGGACTAGACGAGTGAGGCCGTCTAGTCCCTGTCATTACTTGATGTTTCTCTTAGTGGAGAATGAGGGTTACTAAGATGTTTCTACTGTGCGTACCAGGAACGATATTGAGAAACCCAGAGATTCCCTCCCCAGAGAGAGTAATCCCAAACGAAATTGCGACTAGTGGTCACAGTGACTCGCTGCCCCCATACTCAAAGTTACTACTGCCCATCTTATCTCCTCTTGGTTTAGATCTTTTTCTCTGTTTTTCTTTAGACATCCGCCCTCCTATGCATGTTCTTCACTAGCGGAATCCCCCCCAGCGGTTCCCCGGCTCCGTCTCAATACAAGTTCTCCATTACTGCGTCCCTATATCCAAATCCTTTTCTCTCATCCTCTCACTTGAAAGTACTGTTAAGAAGCCGAAGTGTGCGCTCTAAACTCTCCTGTTACTGTTGGCTAGGTTTTTGTCCGCCCGCACTAGGGGTTAGGACTTAGTCACCAGTTATCACTCGATCCTAGATCTCCTCTTCTCTTTTTTTGCTTACCTTGCCTTAGCGGGGAACTAAATATGTAGGCCCGGAACGACTTAATGCATGATCAAGATGTAGCACACCCCGCTTTTCTTCACCCATTTATCGTGTGCTGTCGTTTGTCCATTCTAATGTATTCCGGTGGGATTGCCTGTTTGCTCACCCAAACCTTCTTAAAGCCATGGTTTAATCTTACTATTTAGACTTCCGGGTTAGGCTACAACTACAGATATTCTATTACAGTCTCTGTCTCTCCTCGATGTGATGCCTGGGTCTATTTAGGGTTTACAGAATTGCTCTCCTGAAAGCTCGAATGCTGTACATGTGTGAGGTTGAGACTTTTTGAGGTTTCGAATGAACCGATGTTACTTCATGCTCTGGACTTTAAGTTCTATATGAATCAATTGCATATACGGAGGTTGGATAATACGCGATGTCGTTAAATGAATAGTTTAATATTTTTGTAATGCCAAGGCCGAGTGAGTGTTTGTGATGCAATTCCGGGAATGTTCGATTGGGGTTTTTTTTTTTTTTAGAGTGCATATAAGATTCTCAATGTACGGATTAGACGTGGATCGAGTATCTTGATAATTACATGGAAAAATATGGACGAAAGATGAAGAACGACATCATTATTGCCCATCTTAGAGCGGTGGAGGGGGAATTGCAATTGACCGGGGTTACTCATCAAGGCTGCATAGATTTCTACTCCCTTTTCTCTTTGTGTCGAGGGTAATAATACGATTTGCACATTTGTCACATCTTTCAAAACACCTTCTCATAAACACATGAGTCTACCCTAGATTCCGGAGAAAATTATCATGTTCATCTGGCGGTTTTAATGTGGAAACAAATCCTAATTTCAAAACTATATATGGATATATAGATAAGAAAAGGATTCCCACAAAAAATCTTCCTATTTCGAGATGATCGTTGTAATGGTTCTTTTCCAACTGTTGCTAAACCTGCGTAAGATCTTCCATTTCCGCCACAATTCCTTCCGTCGCCAGTTATTGCAGGGTTTCTGCGTCGTCGGTCGGTATCGTTTCCTGTGAAGCCAAAAGTTATGAATCATACACTAAGCTCACTATTTACCTGAATATTAATAGTGCATTCAGTGTAAGGTTTCGATGATATATATGCCTTACTTGAGATAGTGGAGTACACGTTCCTTGTAAATACGTGCGCAACGACACTTCAAATCTTTACTCCACACATATTCATGCTCAACAGCGGCATTGTCAATGATCTTGTTAAGCTCCTCCCAGACTCTTACCACCTCCTTCACTGCTTTTGAGGTTTTAATATTCAAGATGGGATTAATGTAATCAAGTATATCATGGATTGATCTCTCAACTTCCACCGCAGCGTGACCAGCGTTAACGCGGTGCCTCAAACAAGAGATCGTTGTGTTGATGTTTTCTTTGGTGACCAAAAGAAGTTTTGGGAGGTAACCACCTTCAAGAGTGAGAGTAGCGAAGATCCAACCGGCGGGGACGAAGATTGTTTCGCCGGGGTTGACGATAATCATCCTTCCACTGGTGAGAACTGGCGCGATACGGCGAAAGATGGGACCCGGTTGCTCATCGTTGAGGTCATTCGTGGAGTGGCTGTGGCGATAAAAGACTTTCTCGTTAGACTCCGTAGGAGGCCAGAGTATCCACAAGTTACGGATAGTCCCCTCGTGCAAGGCCATTATCGGAAGTCCTCCCTCTATATTTTGTTAGTAAGGTCACTCCGCTAATCCTGGCCAGAATTACGCAAATATACCAACGCGGAGATCTGTGAACGAATATTTCGGGGTGGCATCGATAAGGGTATAAGCGTGAACAGGTGTGCACACCCTTCCTAGCTGAGGCGGAATAACCATTGTGTACTCGATCTGGGTTGAGCCGGGAGGGGAAAATGAAGCATGAATGTTGTGTATTGATTGCACATTTTGAACAAGGTGATCTCCAAATATTAACTGCCGAGCAACAGTCACGAACTGCGCATTACTAGGAACCTTCTGAATAAGAACCTAAAATAGGTTAGCATGATTGATGAGACCAAAGTAATAGGAAATATACATGATCTTGCGCATTGAGTATTGCTTCAAGCAGGTCACCCGGGGGAGGTGGCCCATTTTTCCAGCACTGTTCTCCCTTGAAAATAACCGGCCTTGACGGCATAAACCGCAGAATAAGACCAGCGGTTAGGGTCTCGACAGGTTTCATTTTATAGATGCATCCAGGATTCAAAATTTGCCCGATATTAGGTATTGTTTGACCATTGTTTTCCTGAAACTCGCTCACAGTCTGACAGGTGCGCTCAACAATCGAGTTACACTTGTACTCACAAGAAGCTTGATGACCGACCAGATCAGTACCAGGGCATGGCAGCTTTATTGAGAACTTGCAGCCATATTTGCTCCATTCGCAACGATGTCTGCCATCTATATATTAGTGGTATTCAAAACTAAATGACTACGGTTTAGAACTGGGAACTTACTCTTCCGTCCTCATTGAAGCTTTTTTGTTTTTACGTTCAGAGTTGTGCTGGACTCTTTCTTTACGGGTCTGACTAGTCCTGCCGGAATTCTTCCTTGATCTGTGGGAGGTTGGACTCATTTGTGCTTACGAGTTAAGATAAACGAAATGGATAACAACCTTCTGATAGTGTTAGGTTTTTGCCGGTGGGTTGTGGATGAGGACTGGTGGGGGTGGAGAGAAATGGCCGCGGTATGGAGTTATTGCGTTGTGAAATGACCAAAAGTGTAAGTGGTCGGGAGTGGATGTTAGGAGCGGGTGCTGGGGTGAAGGTGAGCAGTGAGGTGGGGAGCGGAGGTGCGAAGTGGTTTGGAGGGATAGAAATAGTAGGTGTGAGAAGAGTGAAGGTAGGTAGATAAAAGGTAGGTGTGAGTGGAGGTGAGATCCGGGAGATAATGGATCTTGGGGGACGTTAAGTGGGAAGGATACCAAGTTCACTAATACAGAGAGTAGTATGTGTGCAACCCCTTAAGTTTAAAGTCTCTTCGTCGGTGATCGACTGGGATGTGCAGGAAGCGTGGATTTAAATTTCGATCACAATGATGTAAATTCTAGAACTATAGTTTCCGTCCAGTCCTGCGATATTTCTTTTCGACATTGTTTTGCTATTGATCTCCTCTTCCAATTTCACCTACATCCTCCTCCGGATCCCTTAAAACTTTCCTAGCCTTGTATCTTGATGGTCATGCGAAAGCATTTGCCGGGACCGCTCCCTCTTAGCCTAATCCACCTCATATGTCCGCTTTACTACAATGCTTAGAAAAGGTCTCAACCAGTTGCTGTAATAACTCATCAGCGCATGTTCTACTTCAAGGAATGAATAAACTCACTTCAAAATTACAACAAGCCATACTTCCAAACACCGGGTTTCTTTGCCCGCACCTCTCCGTTACTACTCTCGGGCTTGATATCCCAAACGCAATCTTAGCTAAAAACCGCGGATCGTCCCTGCTGGGCGTGGCTGCCAATACCGCCTTTATCTTATTTTGATCAATTGGTATATCCAAAGCTCCGTCATATTGGTCTATCTCCACCCTCACTCCAGTTTTGCACCACTGGCATTTGGCACATTTACCGCCGGGAATCTTATCCCCGAAATGGTCGGCAAGGGCAGCAGCGAAGCACTTCCCGTCAGTAATGAGGTTAATGACCTCTTGACTTTTTCTCAGGTCCTCCATTTCCCGAAGTTCCATTTGCTTGTATATAGAGCTAATTAAGGACTCCCTATCTTCCCTTTCCCTCGGAAATGGCCTTATTATGCGGTACCTATTTACCACGCCAGAAGGCTTAAGCTCGACGTAACCTTTGTCGCTCCAGTCCTGAAGTTTGCGAACAACATCTTCACGGGGGTATCCTAGGCGATCACTGATCATGTCGACGTCCACTACCCTCATGGTTCTGCCGACGCTAGAGTTGGTGATTATAGCGGTGCCAATTAAACAGACTTCGGACACGGCTAGGTGATAGCGGAAGGAAGGTTTATAGGCATACTTGGAGTACTTCGGTGTAATCGCCCTCAGAAGCTCGAAACGAAGTTCTAGTTGGGAGTAAAGCAGGCCTAGGGTGTTCATCTTTTTAAAGTCAGAACATTGTAACTCAGTAAATCTGAAGTGTCTTACCTTAATATCCCATGTTTTACTTTGATGATAAAGATTTGCCTCTATGACGTCGTCTTTTCCCGCTGCAGCATTGCGATCGAAGAGCTCGTTCAGAAGACCATGAATGCTCTTCTTACTAGGTAGATCGGCTCGGCAGAGTGTCTCTCGTTTCTGCCAATCACGGCTGCAGAGGTAAAGTACGCATTTACTTGGCAGATCGTCACGGCCTGCACGACCGATTTCTTGGCTATATCCTTCTAAACTGCGTGGGAAATCGTAATGAACGATGTTTCGGATATCCGCTTTATCGATGCCCATACCAAACGCAATTGTGGCGACAATCTATAGCGTTGCGAAATATTAGGAATTTGAGCATCTAAGTCAGAATTTATTCCATTCGAATACCGTTATGTTTTTTTGGGTCATGAATTTCTCCTGGACCTCTAATCGCTGTCCCGCCTCCATCCCGGCATGATATGGCAAACTGGGAATACCACTCTCCACTAACTCTTTGGAAACCTCTTCCGTTTGCTGTTTGAAACATGTCAGTGAATAGCCTAATTTTGATAATAGCGCCCTTTCAAACCATACCTGCTGACTGGTCACATAAACAACGGTTGAGCCAGGATTTTCCTTCAGGAATCGTTTGAGTTTAGGCATTTTATCTTCAATTGTCGCAAAGGACTCTGCCAACAGGTCAAGACTATTAAAGCTTATCAGCCACCTTCAAAGAGTACAGAATATATGTTTTAAGCATCAAGACCTACTTCTCTCTATAGGTAGTAGTCCTAAATAATCCATCTTCCGGGATATCAAATCCTTTACAAATATCTGCAGCAACACGCGGTGTAGCCTTGATGGTATTCGGAATATATCAGCAGCTATAGCATATAAAATTATCTCAAGTCCAATTTTAACAACTCACTGTAGCGGTCAAACATAAGACCCTCTCTGCCTCAATTTCTTTCGCAAATCGTGCAACTAAAAATCAGGTACATAAGCGGTTGAAGTTAATCACCATGAATCATATTTCCAAACCTTTGAGGTAATCGGGGCGGAACGCTTGTCCCCATTCGGATATACAATGTGCCTCGTCCACGGCAATAAGTCGAATTCGAAGATGTTTAAGTGTGGCTACGAAACCTTCGTTATTGAGCCTTTCTGGAGCGCAATAGCTAACGTAGGTGTGATGAGTAGAGATATAGGTAATTTTATAGGCGCACTTACAGAAGCTTTAGTTCACCGCTTCGGAGAAGGTCATAGGTTTCCAGGACAGATTCCCGGGTTTGTGAGGAATCGATAGCCGCTGCTTTGACACCCCTGGCTTTTAAAGCGTCAACCTGGTCCTATCATTGGACATATATAAGTCAGCAATGCGTCCCTCTAACAATCCATAGAAATCGGTGCCTTCCTGTGCTAGCAAACACCCTACGAGATACCAGGCAACAAACCTTCATCAATGCAATCAATGGGCTGATCACTAACGTCAAGCCACTTTTGACTTCTCCCCCTTGATCGTCTTCATATTCATCAAGCGCTAGAGCTGGAACTTGATAAACCAAACTCTTTCCACCTCCAGTGGGGAACACAACAACTGCACTCCCGCCGGCAATCAATCTTGATATAGCTTCTTCCTGCTTCAAACGAAACGCTGGGTATCCCCAGGTTGCCTGAAGCACCTTTCTCGCGAGGGAAGATGTAGTTGGGTATGTTTGTTTAATCTTTTTGGAGGATGGCAGCTCCGTAAGCTCAAGCTCAATGGGGCGCTTTTGGTGAACAGTTAGGTTGCCTTCAATAGTTGACGCAAGCTTGACCATATCCGCCTCATCATCGCTAGACAAGCCAAAGTCTTCATCGTCTGATTTGCTCATCTCGGTAGTGTTGAAGGTTTGGAAAATTGCTGAAACTTGTTACTAGGATGATGTGGCCTAGTACATGCAGTTACTTTGACATCGTTGTTAGTTTTCTGACTGACGCGTTGTAACGCACGTGCTGGCGTGCTGACAGGGACTTCACGACGCGATTGGTTAATTATTTGCATCGTGCCAACTAAAATGGGATCGGTCAGGCAACCCAAGCCAAGACTTCCAGGTTCTAGTCCTAATACCTAATACGAATTTAAATTATACTACTCGTTCAATTAGCCCTCCTAGTGATTCTCTGCAGCTGGAGTACTATCCTTCACGTCTCCCATCTTAATTAACCTTCGAAAACTTCTCAAAAACGTGCAAACGACATCTAGCTTTTGGCTCTTGAGTAAGTGGAGACCATACCACAACTACAGTGCCGAATACAGGGGAAACGTCTGCATGTACTAAGAAAATAGGATCAAGAATCTGAAAATACAACAGCTGGTATATTTCCTAAATAAAAAAGAGAGGGGTTCATCTCGTTAAAATGGTTTTAATTCAAACAAGGGAATTGAGTAGTTTCATTTGCATACAGAAACTTACAAGAAGATTTCCATACTTGTATTTATCCCGGAAGGGTACTGTGGTACGAGTGACTGATTTAAGAGCAATCATATAGGCGTCTTCCTAGCACGGTAGGAGTCGATCGCTCAATCTGATCTGCTACACCTTGTTCAAGACGTTGCGAAACATCAAACTCACTATTACACATGGAGGAGCTTGCTAGCTGATTGCGTATCACTGGAAGAAAAACCACTTTGAAAGACATTGTTCGACTTAAGAAACCAGAGCTACACCCCCCTCCTTAAATTCATCCTTCATATGCTAGAAATATTTGCACTATTTTATCGGCCAACACTACATATAACTATTTCAACCTCGGAACCAAATCTCCGAAGAGGGACTTTGGGTCCCACTCTTTCTTCAGTCCCTGTAATCTTGCTACCCTTTCCTCATTTCCGTATGTGTCGAGAATACTTTCATCCCCTCTATTAAAGTTCACATAAGCCGAGACTTTATGACCACTACGAAACTCCTCATCTTGGAACATTTTCCGGACCTCGTTCCCGAACTTTGTAGCAGCTGGCTCAGTGTTGGGATCATCGTGCCATACAATTGGGAAGCTGGCTCGGCAAATCTTATTAGAATGTGTAACAGTAAAGCGGGGATTGATAGGAACTTACGCCCATAGGTTTACATCCCTATGCGGGAAAGCCGTGTCGTCCTTTCTCCCGATTTCCCGAGCCTTTTCCATCGAGAACATCTCCACAAGGACTATGCTCCGGAAAGCGTCGGGGTGTGCGCTTACGAACTGGGTATACGTCTCCCAGATCTTACGCATACCCGGGGCACTTAGCTTTTGCACACCCGCTCCGAACATCGACTTGAACCCGCCGTGCTTTTGGTGCGGGAGTTGCAGGGCGTCAATGAGATTATAGGGGATGCGACCTGGCTGTACATGGGGCGGGGTGTTGAGGGCATGGAATGGACGCAGAGAAAGAAGAGGCCGGAAATATGCTTCAGCGGCTGAAGTTGGGCCGAAGTAATGGAGCATCGCCAGGCATACTGGTGAAATCTAGATCCTGTCAGCATACTCTCCAAAATGTATAAGAACAAGACAACCGGTGGGGAAGGCTACTCTATCACCCTCCTTCTCATGCGCAAAACCAAAATATGCCGTTGCCTCCCCCTTTGTCCAGCCCAGCCCATTTAGAGCTTCCACCAGATCTTCGAGCTGCTCCTCGCCCCACATCAATGTCATCTCCCAAATACTTCCATCGTCACTGCCCAACGTCGCTAACGGATAAGTACGAAGCGTCAGTTCAACCACCAACCCAAACCTCATCCCCGCTCCTCTCAGCGCCCAGAAAAGCTCCGGATTCTTCGTCTTCGAGACTTCGATCAGCTCCCCAGCAGCAGTGATTACCCGAGCACTCAGAAGGTTATCGCATATGAGTCCATGTAGGCCTACGAGGGGTCCAAAACCACCTGCGAGACTGGAGCCAGATACCCCGACTCCACCGCAGCCACCGGCAACTACAGGGGATAAATTTAGTTGACATTGGAATACGAGAAGAGTTCGTAATACATACCAACACAACGTCCTTGTGGGTATACGGCGGAGATCAACTCCTCCGTCAGGGTACCAGCTTGGACAGTAACACTGTCTTCGTGGAGGGTGATTTTCTTGAAGTTGGAAAGATCGATAATTACTCCTTCTTTCCCGATAGTGCAGAAGTTGCTATGACCACCTGCTTTGACAACAAAAGGGACTGAGTTTGAGGTTGCCCAGAGAATCTACTCCGGGGTTAGCATTGGTTTCTGGTATGAGGGAGAGGGGCGACTGACGGTTTCGAGTGCATCGCCCACTGTGTGGATCTTGATGATTGCAGAGGGCACCTTCTTGTTGAGGTCGGACCAGGAAGTGAACGTCTCAGAGAAGATTTTAGCATCAGAGATGAGGTGAATTTGAGCTTTAGAGCTTAGTGTCGGCCCCAAACTCTCCACAATATTTTCGAGGGGTGTTTTTGTAGCTGCCATCATGAATACTTGAACTGCCGGTCTGACGATATCGAACAGTGGCCGGTGGGCATTTCCTGTTCCTTATATCCGGAATTGATGCAATATATTGTCGCTGGGGGTCTCCGGAAGCGGATGTGGCTATTACTTCTTTGTTGGATACCCTTTGTCTACAGTGCAGTAATGTGGAATGTGAAACCGGGCAGAGTCCCACGGACACAAACTTTATTGGTTCATCGATCATAACTCAAACGATTATATCCACGCATCTTTTTTTTTTTTTACCCCGGACCCATACTTTAAAACGAAAGGATAACCGGTGATCAGCTTACACTATTGTTATATCCCAAATTCTGGGCTGTCTCAACGGCTACAGTTAGTAGAATTGTCTCGCCTCCACAGATAAGCTGAGACAACGGTTTCATGTCTACTCGCATTTTTCTAACGTTTGTGGACGCGACTAATATTTCATGCCATACAAAAATACACCAAGCTCATGATTTTGTGTGTATGCAATAATAGTTCAGTTCAAAAACGGAGATACGAGTATGGTCGACATTGAATTTATGTATGTCTATCCTTAGGCGCCCCGTGTGGGGGATGGACAGAGTATGATAAGGATTGTAATCAGTGCGCGGAAAAGAAAAATAAAGTAGGGGTTACATACCATATATTAACGAAGAAATTAATAAGATATAAAGCTTCGTATTGCAGTTGTTTTACTACAGTCGCGCCTTGCTATCTCGTAATTCAATATCTCGGATCACTTGCTGTCTCGTACGGATTTGAGGGACAGGTACTGCCCTTCTCCACCAAAAACTATTTGCTGTCTCGTATATTTGCTATCTCATAGGGGTTTGGCTTCCAGAATACGCTACCGACATAACGAGGTGCGACTGTACATACATACCTCTCTCATGGTGGTTACACGTGCACTCACCAACACGTGCAATACTTCGGGGGTGCCAGTCATCGTTATGTACGCAGTCAGAGTTTCTGCTTTAAAGCTTACTGTACATGCTATACGCTTAGTGTTACGTACTTGGCGGTAAAAGCATTATATCGTTCGACCAACCAGAACTAGGAGTAAAAGGACTACACGAAGAGCTTGAGGACCGATAAGGCAATGAAAAATCATTGACTCTGTGCCGGAAGGCGAAAATCTTCAAACAGTATGAACCGTGTTCCTATATACATGCAGTTATATCTAATTTATCAAGCTTTTAATCTGTCAAATGTCAGAAGCTATATGTAGCAATACTTGAGGTGATAATCGAAAGCCTGATAGTACCCATATTAACCTTTTTGGTCCAGATTAACTATTCCAACGGTTTTCAAAAACCCACAATGTTGGAGATACCGCGGCATTCATATCTTTAGCACATCACCAGAGGACATGGGTTGTCAAACAAAGGCGTTCTAAAACCATATCGAAGTTCTCCTCCTTGATTGTCCCACCGTAACTCTATCCGAGCGAAGTTTGAGCTTGGGCCCTGCTGGCTGTTTGACCAATCCCCACTCATAGAAAGTTCTTGCGTCCTGTCTGATTCTTATGAATCCCCGTACTGATGACTGCATGTCAGCATTTCTTCCCTCTCCAATATTCTGATTAGAGAGGGAAGATTTCTCGAGTGCAAAAAGAAAGCATTTCGTCAGCGTCCTACATCCCTTCTACACAACAGTGATGGTTACAACTTGATACATCGGATACTATCCAACATTTCAACTGTAAAGAGTCAAGACGAAATATCAATGAGTATCAAAATATGCGGGGAAGCGGATACGTTGAGCTCCAGGGGATTGATTTGCGACTTTGACGTTGTCCCGCGCAGGATCTTGTACACCCACAGGAACTGGCCCGTGCCCGTGCATGTAGTTTCAAAAAGTGCATAAGCGAGGAACAAGCTCTCTGACTCTCTACGAAACCCACCACACACAACTCCCCGCCCACAACACGAATCTCATTCTCGCCTGATCGCATCCCTCTGCGGGGCGCCTAAACCATCCCCTTACAGGAAACCGGTGAGCAAGACACAAAGCTACAAGGCGTCAGAAACGACTACACCTCCTCCCTCTCCACACTAGTGCATACAATGGTCAATCCCACTTCACCACGATCTACTGGCCTTGTTATCTCCAACATGATTACTTGCGATACTTTGCTCCACCATTTTTCTGGCCTCTTTTGTTTCGATTGAGAATAAGGCGTTCCCAACTACATGATCTCTAGGGATTTATGTCTCTTCTTCACTCCATATACGGGGCATGTTGGAAGTCGAATCATCTCCAAGAGCGAGTGAGAACGCCATATCTCAGTTATAGATACTATATGCAGAGATAGCAGTCTCTTAGGAGCTGTACGGTGGTCTTCCACATAGGAAGTCATATCAAACATCATTACCAGTATAAATGCTACCACGAGGTTTTCTGCATGACATCGGTGGTGTTTACTTGCAATGTAGGAATACAAGCTCAGCCGACAACGAGGAAACACCCTCGTACTGGAGTTCCTCAAAATAGGAGCCGGCATTTGGAGACTTGTCTCCTTTATTTGAAACTTTTTCAACATACGAAAAAGATTCCACCTTGATTTACAATCTTTATCTCAGGATAGGCGAATAGTTAAATCATATATCTACATAAATGATATTCACAGAAGTAAGAAGTTCGGGGATAGGACATCACTGACTGGGGCCTTAATTCGTGGAGAGCTTCAATGCGGGTCCCCCCAACCGTCACCAAAGAAACGAGAGATCTACTCAATGATAGTACTTTTATAACCTTTTCGGATCCTTTTGCGAAGAATATCTATCTTAACATATACTATCACTCTCGTCTCTCTCTATTGAGATACTTGACCCGCTTGCAGCCCCTAGGGCGGATATCAAGTCCAAGTGACGATATCACCCCGAAGAAATGGTCACTGCTCGCCTCGAATGGTCGAGCACAATACACCCCCGGCGGCTCCAATATCAAGAACCTCCACCCAAAGAGGGCAGATCTAACACCCACTGCTCCCCAACTTCGACCACTCTATCAACTCCTGGATGTTCGGGACAGTTCAATGAGGAAACAAAGTTTTTCTAGTAGCTTTCTACAGTTCTAGAAGACAGCAGGTATGAACAATTATGGAAACCATTACACAATTTGTCTGTTCCTCATCCTCCTTAGCCCAGATTACCCCGTCGCCCATTTATACGCCTCGAAGGATGCCGAAGAAGTCGAGAAGTTATTGAAGTTGCGATGAAGTACTGCCCAAGGAATTAGCACATCATTCTCTCCTACGGCGCCACCTCTACCACTCACCCAATCCTCTCTACTATCCCGCACCCGCAACCCCAATCCCTCCAAACCACCCACAAGAGCACTCTCCCCCCCCCTAAAACGCCCCCTGCGGGACCTTCCCCCCACCCCCACCACCCTCCGCGCCGGCATTCTTCGCCCTCTGAGCATACTCCCAATCCACCATCTCCTGCGCCTCCTCCCTAATCAGCCTCCGCCCCGTCCTGCACCCCGGACAGATCTCGCCCGTCTTCTTGGCCTTGAAGTAGCTGAGCACCTTCTGGTGCTCGGCGTAGCTGCGCGTGCACGGCGGGTCGTCGGGGGAGGGGAGGAAGCTGTGCCCGCAGGTGTAGCGGGTCGTGATGTGGTGGCACATGGCGGGGGTTCGTGGCATGTTGTATGGTTTTGCTTTTGTGTGTATTTATGTTTGGATGGTTCGTGGAGGAGGATGAGGAAAAAGAGAGAGGGGGGGGGGGGGGGGGGGGTGTGTAAGATGGTGGGTGGTGGTGGGGGAAACGGATGATTCTATGCGCGGTACGGGATGCGGTGTGGCGATGGACACTAACTGCACGGTCATGTAGTCTTGAAGCTACTGCGCTGCGTGTAGTTTAGTGCTGCGCTTGGATGGAGGGGTCTTTCTGAGCTTGCATTGTGTTTGGGCGGACGTGGATTCACGCATTGATAGTTCCCCCGTTTTGCGCCATGCGCGGGGATGGGGATGGGGATGGGGATGGGGATGGCAATGACAATGGCAATGGATAGAATTCGTGGCGGAGGTGCGAGATGTGTTTCATGTGCTGTGGGAGCTACATATATTCAAGGGAATTACAATTAGGAATTATGTATTTTATCCTCCGTTCTCCCTTGCTTTTCGGGATGTGTGTTTCTTTCATTATTTTTTCACAACTACATGTAGTAATGTACTCCCGCCCCCCCCCCCCCCCATAGGAACAATTACTCTGAGACTTTGAAACGTGCCAGTAAGTGTGTCTCACACTCGGGATGTTACATGCTCTTAATTCATCAATCAATCACTGAATCTATTGAGAGCTGATGCGTCACATGAAATCACTCGCTCATCACGTGACCTGAGTTGTTGGAGATTTGTGGGTTACATACACGGTTGAACGCATTTACGAATCGTGCACGAAAATCCCACATTGTGACAGCCAATGCAAACTCTGTCTTCCCGTCTTGAAACGATACCATCTTTGACGAAAACGCATTAGAATACACAGCTAGACCCAAACAAACAGCTTCTATTTCCACCATGATATCTCTAACGTACAGAAAAACCTAAATTCTTGACACAGAAGCTTGAGACTGCAAGTATTGCACCTGTAGAGTCGCATCGAACGACACCCTCCTCCGCTTCCTACGCTGCGTCTCCTGCGAATCCTCCTCTTCATGAGCCCTCTTCCTATTCGACTTCCGCTGCCCAGCGGGAGAGTCGGCAACTTCCTCAGTCCGCTTGTCCTCCACGTTTTTCCTCACAACTGCCACCTCCTCCTCCTCCTCCTCCTCGTCCTCCCACCCACTCTCGCTCTCACACTCATTCCCGCTGTCGCCCCCATCCATGCTCTCCATGTCCCAGTGTAGATTCTTCGAGTCGTCGCACATGTCACAGTCGCCCAGCTGCTGCCAGTTGTTCAGGACGCCGTCGGCGCAGAGATCGACTTTTCGGCAGATGCGGCCGACGCTGGACTCGGTGTGCATGCAGCCCGAGTGGGTGACGTGGGTGTGGCGGCAGATGGCGGAAATGGGGGCGAGCTTGAGTCGTCGGGAGTGTCGAGAGTGGCGGGTGCGGGCGCGCGGTGGGGAGGGGCTGGGTGAGGGAGGCTTAGGAGAATTGTCCGGGCTGGAGACGGGGACTGGTAAGCCGGGGGAATCGGGGGACTCGGGATTCTCGTCAGACTCAGGGGTCTCAGGAGCCTTGGGAGTCTCGGGGGTCTTCGGAGTCTTGGGATTTTCTAGTTTTGTCGATTCCACATGTTCCGTTACCTCTTCAGACTCTAGTAGGAACTCGGTCAATGCGTCGGCCCTTGGAATTCTCGGTTTCTTTGGCGTCTCTGGTTGCTGAGCCGGGGTTTCCGGCTCCTCTGGGGTCTTCGGTCCCTCCGGGTCTTTATTTTTCTCCGGGGTTTTTAGTTCCTCCGGGGTTTTTGGCTTCTGGGGGCTTTTTGGTTCCTCTGAGATTTTTGGTTCCCCCGAGGCTTTGAGCTTCTCGAGGGTCGCTGCGGCTGCAAGAGCTTCGAAGGTCTCCGACATCCTGGGTGCTGGTGGTGGTGGTGGTTGGGGTAAAATGGTTGTAGTGACTGAATGCTGTGATGAAATGGAGGTTGAAGAGTTCTTCTTGTTGTGGTTGTTGTCGTTGTATGTACGGGCGGTTGGTTGGTCGTTAGCTCCTAGGGTGCAGTGGGTGTTTATTTGTGCGTTTGACGGAAGGTCACTTTCTATGTGCATGGGCCGGGGGGTGGGGTGCAGGTGAAAACCTCCTCAGTCACATGTATGGAGTAGTAGCCCAGCGCAGTGGAATCTGCAAATCTTCTCTCCTCCTTGGCAAATTTAAAGTTAAAGATTAGGGGCCCTATGTCGCAGCAGTCTTTTGTGGGGTTTCTGAAAATGGGGTTCAGGGTGGGGGTAGAGAGGGTGTGTGTGTGTGTGCGTGTGTGCGTGCGCATAGCTAGAATCTTGGCTCTCCACAGGCAAGCAAGGAAGAGTGTTGTTAGGCTCTTCATTGGTTATCACTCGGTTTCTCCCCTGCAAGTCAAGGCCTGGTTTGAGTTATCTGGGTTTGCAATTCACCACAGAGCAACGGGCTTTCTGTGTGCGAATCCACGATGTGTGCGTACGAATCCTCGGGGGTGTAGGAGCAGTATTGAGCGTGTAGTTAGTTACCGATCAGTGATGCCTATTCCAGCCTCGGCCCTCCCTTTTAGAGCTCCATCTACATGTATGTACGTGTTCTTCGCCCAATCGAAACTAGCTGTCTTTGTACGCTGTCTTCATCTGTCGCTAATAACATCTTCCTCCAGCGAGGAGCCAGCGACGAGGGTGCCTTGGTAAAACCATAAGACCAAAATTTAAAATCTACACCGCATCACCAATGATCACAACTATAATAACCAGCACTCACTCACCTCCCTGTTATCCGAATTGAGACCTTCGAGGCTGAATATACTTAGATTCTTCTATTTCAAACATCATGATACCGTGACCAAGTGGGTTCGTGGATCTTGCTGGCCAATTGGAGGTCAGTGCGTCATGATCGGTCACTCGGGCACTCTTTCAACGCATTCCTCATGGCGCGGACACATCGCGGTGAGTGGAAATACCATCGAAGTAGACAGAAAAAGTGAGACATTGATTACATCTATTGGCAAACACAAGTTCACTGGGACCAACAACAGGGAAAAGTGGCATGGAAATCCTAGTATTTACTACATAGGTATGCGTGATCACCCATGATTCCTCCAGATCTACATGCAGGTACGCACGTACCAGCACCGCCATAACACAACCAACGAAGAGAAAAATTCCCGGAGAAAATGAAATATGGGACAAGCCGAGAACTGCTCTGTGTGCTTGGGCCAGAGGGTGAGAAAAGAGGACTTCAGAGAGCAATGAAAAAAGCCCCCCGAGCAGGACATCACGCTACATGCCGACCACCACCTATCCATACCAGCTTTCTGCTCAGGAAACACTGCCATCCTCTATATTCCCAACTGCAACAAGTACACCATCAGTGTTGCCTACAGAAGGGCTCAAAAAACCACCGCGGCCGCACTTGCGCGCCAGCTATCCCCAGCCTTGGCGCATGCCCCAAGCACCCCCCCCCCCCCCGAAAAATCGAGAAAACAACATGACATCTCGCGACACGGGACGAATCCACAAACCACTACTCCCAGGGGGGCACACCAGCGCCGACATTGCGTGGTTGATGCTGTCTTGCGGTTTCGGACCCACCACCGTCAACAACCCAACCACAAACACCCCCTCCCACCAGTACAGCGCCCGGGACAAATTGCGCACGCTCTCCAGCTCCACCCTTCCAGCGCACGTCCTCTCGTTTATCCGCACATATGGCTTGGATATTTGCTTGGCTCCGCCAATGCCCCAGCCAAGCAATGCCACGACCGGATAACATGCACGATCGATCTCGCCTAAATAATTTCCCTTCCCTTCCCTTCCCGTACTTGGCGATGGGTGACAGTTGCGCCTTCCTAACTTGCGGTTAGTGTGTGTGGTGTGTGTTGAGCCAAGGCGACAACAACGTGGTGGCTTACCTCGCGTGGGCTGATAGGGAGATAGGAAGTGGTGATGCGAGGTGGTGATGTCGACGAAGCATGAAGACGAGAGGAGAGGAGATGGAGAGGATGACAGGAGGATGACAGAGGGAGGAGAGAGGAGAGAGCTAGAAGATGACAGAGGGGGGGCTATTGTTAGTATCCTGTCGGAGAAGAACCGATGAAAGGAAGTCAACACCACGCAATCAACTCTACATGAACGCCCACCCACCCGCCCACCAAACAAACAAAACACAAGCAAAAGACGAAAACCGAACGGTATGGGAATGGAATAGAATTTTTTTTTTTTATAAAAATTATTATCGGGTTGAAAATAATATCCATCTACCAGACAGTAACCACCAGCCCACCCACCACCGACCGTCGCCGGTCTTTTTTCGCGTTCCGAAAAGAAAGAAAAAATGCGTCCGTTGACATGACCCGACTGGCTCGCCTATGTAGTATGTAGTTTTCTGGCTTTGAATTGGATGGATGAATGAACGAGATGCATCCCCTCCTCCCAATTGGCAGTCGATCTCCATTCCATTCACCCCATCATACCACCCTCACACGATACGACACGGCCACTCGTTCGTTGGTTCGTTCGTTCGCCGCGCATCCTGCACTCCCCTCCCCCACTTTTCTACCCCTCCACCTTTCCAGGTCCGCCTCCTCATTACATATTCCCGTTGAAGCATCGTCCCCCCATATCGACATGAGAAACAAAGGAAAAAGACAAAAAAAGAAAACAATAATCCACATCAAAAAATCTTACAAGGATCCCCCCCTCACATCCATCCATCCGTCCAGACATCACACCACGCCATGTTTATTTCCCAGCCTGGAAGTCCGCCTCGGCTCGTCTCTTCTTTCGCGCGGCAAGCTTCTTGTGGAGCATGAGGGCAATGACCATGAGGATGAGTACGCCAATGATGCAAAACACGACCATGACACCGCGGTTCTTGGACGGCCAGTTGGCGCCGCGCTTCATGAGGGCGGAGTAGTGGGCTTCGAGGGCAGGCATTTTTGCTTGTTGGTTTTTTTTGGTTTGGAGGTAGGTAAGATGAGGTTTTTCTAAAAAAGTGCGGAAATGGTTGTTAGTGGGTGGATAAGAAGGAGGAGGAGGAGGAGAAGGAAGATAAGGCAGGTGAGGGGAGCTCGGTTGTGCGAGTGAAGGACAGGTGGTGTCTCAGTGGGCTGACATGTGCTCGGGGAGCTATGAGGTAATGTAGATATAAGCACTTGGATACACACCTCGAATTGACAACCGTGTTTGTCTTTCTTCGGTAAACGTGCGAGGTTTATAGGTGATTGAGGACGAAGAGGAGGAGGAGGAGGAGGAGAACAATTAACAGCGACTCTACTCAATCGATCGAATGCAGCAAATAAATGGCACGCGACAGCAGCAATTGACGGAGATGGAAGGAATTGAGCTGAGTTGAGTAAGGCAGAGTGGGAGGGAAGAGGAATGGGAAGCAAGAAGGGAGGACGAGAGGGGGATAAAGAAGGGAAAAATTCTCGGCGGTTCCTCAAAATACTCTACAGCTATGTATCATCTACCCTTTCCTGTTTTAATTCCTTTCTTTCCCTCGTCCACCCCCCCCCCCCCCCCCCCCCTCTTCTCTCTCCCTTGTCTGCTGCTGCTGCTTCAAGCTCTGAGGCATTTTGTGGGTTCACACCGGCTTCGGGGAGGGGGCCCACTACTGGCCGGTTGGTTGGTTGTAAAATGCCTCCGCATCTTTTCTCCTTCGAGGGAAAAGAGTGGAGATTGGCGTTAGATAGTTAGATAATCGTTGTGTGCTTCATTAGGCACAATCTACACCAATATGGGCACCCGGGGGTGGGGGGGGGGTGTGGAAGATACTGATAAATTGCAATTCACGAATGGGGAGTTATTGGGGCGCCTGCAAGTTGAAGAGAGAAAGCCACATGCTCATGACAGACCCCCTTCTGGCACTTTTCGTCCATTGCCAGCCAGCCATGTGTGTGTTGTGCAGCAGCGTTCGAGACAAATGCGTGACCACCATGTGGAGATGGCAGATGATGAATGCCGAGCCTTCCGTAATGAGACACAAGAGCGACCGATGCGGCGCGAAGGCGCCTGCTAAGCTTTTGGGGAAGCTCTTGGCGAACCCATGACAGCTGCAACCAACATGCAACACACCGGTTGACTTTTCATCAACGAATTAGCTAACCCGTCTCTGCTATGCTATCCATCACATCACATCATCGATTCACTACCATCATGCAACCTGCTGTTTGATAACATAAAAGAAACAGTTTCCCCCTCTCATGGTGAGGGAGGGTGTCAGGACTTTCTTTTTCTTTCTTGCAAACCTATTGTGGTTGCTTTGTTTTTTCTTTCCCCGCGGCGACGTTTGTTGCGTTGCCATCGCAATAATGATTACTATTCCCGGAATTCGGCTTCGACCCGGCCTAACCTAACCCTGATGCTCCTCTTCCTCTTTCTCTCTCACTCTGCTCTGCTTGCTCTGGATGCCGGCAATGGCGGAACCCGCCTTACTATTTTGCGCGAATACCACGACCGCTGAAACTCAAATTTCCGGATTGGCCTGGGGGAAAGCGGTTGCGGGAATAACGCCGAGAGAGAGAAATACCTTTCGCTTCCGATAAATGGATGTCGGCTGGATGATGACTTACGTCAGGCTATAAAACTCGCAATAGCAGATAAACATATGGGGGATTAACAGCACCAGTACGTGCGTGATCAGAGGGGGAATGTCAGCCTTTACTCTTGGAGACGTGATGTGGGGAGATAAGGATAAGTATGAAGCGAGCGCATCACTGTGTAGATGCCAGTCCCATCATCCCACCGTTCTGAAAGATGCCCGCCCGAACATCAATATAAAAAAAAAGAAGATGGCGAGGAAACCGCTGCGCGATATATCCCCTACTCCTACCGGGTAGGAAGAAAAATATGTAACTGGAAAAACAAAACCAGGTCCAGGTGAGGACGTGAGGGAATAATCCCGGTTCGGGCCGCACGGCATCATGCCATGTTTGTTGTCATCGTTCCTCTTGTGCTGTTGTTGTCAGACAAGGGTCCGTTCAGGTTCCCCAGGGGTGGAGGGGTGGAGGGGTGAGGCTCTACCAAGATAAGCGCGGATGCATCGGCGAGTGGATTGGAATTTCGTATCCTTGATTGGTCCCAGTGGTCCGCTGGGTTAGAGTAGTTGCTAGTAGTTAGCGGAGAGTGGAGAAGCTTGAGTTTCTAGAGTAAGGTACATACTCCAGAATCTAGATCGGAATGAAATGTGGGTGGGACCTGCATAACAGAGATTCAATATAGGTACTTTGCAGTCGCTCATGAATGATCACTCGACCCGAGGGAATTTCACAATGCTGCAGTGTCCAATGCCGTCACATGCTGTCGAATATTAATCCGAACCGGATTTGGTGGTTCCCAAACAGCGAGTCTCGCTGAAACACTATTCTGAAATCTGTTTTTCTACTACAATCGACAGTGATATTCTCGTCATTACCATTAGGATAGCAATTCGTAATCTAGAAATGCTGTTTTACCGGTCCGTTCTTACTTATTGTAATGATACTCGCCCGTAAGGATATAGACTTTCGGTCCCGACCGTATCCTTTTATCAAGAGTCGACTGAACCCGGTGATAGAGGTTTAGTAACGGAGTATTCGTTCCAAAACGAACGCTTAATAAATATCGGGGTTGGATGTTGTCGGTTCATGTTGGTGTCAGTAATATTTCTAAACCATAGCGGAGAGGTAAAAGAAGAAGCCTAAACGTCGAGTTTGATCTGTTTCTAGTCTGCGCTTATATGGGGTCTTTCTTACTGCGTGTCCTCATCCCGAAAGCGTACTTACTTTAAACCTGTCCTGAACTATGTGTTAATGTTAAGTAAATTAAGTATAGTCGTTTACTGTCTCTTGACGAATACTGCTATTTGATGAATAGGGGTTCTAAGTATGGTAAGAAATAGTTAAGCAATAGCTAAGTTGTGAGATCTCTAGTTCTTTTAATTTCTATTGGCTTAAAGTCTCCTGTTCGTTAATTGGTAGAGACGGTGAACGGCGGTGTGCGCGCATCATCCTTGTGTAACGATTTCCAGCCATTATTAGGATAGCCGAGTGATAAAGTATGTCTGATGCGCGTCGATCACGGTTCCATGGCTCAGTTGGTTAGCGCGTGGTGCTAATATCATACCTCGTCAGGGGTAGCATGTTAACGCCAAGGTCGAGGGTTCGACCCCCTCTGGAACCAATCATAGCTGTCTGTCGATTCCCTTCATCCTTCGGGTATCATCGGTGGTCCTTTTTTTTCTTTGCTGTAGTAAAATCGTTCTCAAGTGATGTTTTGCCGACTTACTTATGCTTGGCTTGGCGGCAATTGTTCTGCCCAGCGTGTATTGTGTTAATAAACAGATGGTTACTGTTATGATCTAGATAAGCTCTATTTTAAGACTGGATAGTATACCTTTTCATATCTTGCCTTACTCAATCCCTCAGACACGCTTGAACTTCGGAAGCAAAACTCCAATTTACTTCATCAACTATCACTCGTTTAATTGCTCGATGATTCACGTGACCCAATTGACCATTGGAAAAATTGAGGGCAAAGGACTTCCGTACCATGGTTTTTGATAAAACACGACTCGGATACCCCTCGGAAAAGGTTTTGAACTCTTGTATCACCGAGTGTTGCCCAACAAACGGTCCGCATTCTGAACTATCGTCGTTGTCCACCAAAAAATAGCGAGAACTGTCGTTGCCCACAAGAAACCAACAGGACTGTTGTTTCACCTTGCCTTGTAGGTATGGGCTCTGTGCTCTGTAGAAACTGGTCCACCTCACGAATAATAGCTTTGGCTCCCCGCCTTCTATACCTAATAAACAACTATTTCAACTTTTGATGCTTTCGAAAGATGTGTCTAGGACTGGTATATGAAAGAACGATTGGGACCTTGTAGTATCGTAAGGGAGCTATTCGTCACGTTCAACTTTGTTCGACTTGCGGGCTATCAGGTCATAAGAAAAAACAAGTCGTGAACCGCATGGATAAGGAGTGAAAGCAGTCTAAGTACGAGACTAATTGCAGTTAATACTACCCGGAATCCATAGTATCTGAGTCTTTTATAACTGCAAACCATGTTATATAAGACCTTAATGGCACGTGAGTCCTTTATCACTGAAAGTAATGCTATATAGGACCTACAGTTTCCAGTAGAATTATTACGAAAGTCAGAGCTAAAAGAGTGGATTTGTTGGTCTGTGCTCGTAGCAAAAAGCCTTTTAAGGGCCAATAGGATTATCGGGTCACGGAGAACCCACTTTTGTAAAAAATTTACTGGAAACTGTATTGGTATCTAAGTTTAATAACCTTCGTGGTACGGAAGTCCTTTGCCCAAGAGTTGAATACTTGAACTTTAGTTCAAAAGACCCTGAGAAGCTATTGTGCCTCGTCACAAGACTTGCAATTATAAGCAGAGCAAGGGATTAGTGTGATAGATGGAGAAACCTGTACTTAGTAGCATCTGTATGATTCTTAATCAAGTAATCAATCAATCAATCAATTTGTATGATTCTAATTGCAGTTGCGATGCGCGGACCATATCCGTGTATAGCAGCTAGCTATAGGGGGAGGGGGTATTCGAAGACAGCATGAGCCGAAGCCCGTATCAATCTAGTGTAGAATATTTCCTTTTATTCGCAAACAGAGATTCTCACTTGATAAAAATTGGAGTGGTATAGCTGATCTTCCCGGAAATCCTGCTTCACGCAATTTTGGTAGAAAGGTACCAAAGGAAAAGGAAGGAAGGAAGCAGAATGTGCCTTTTCATAGAACTGATTTGAAAGATACCTGTTTCAGTCTGTTTAAAGATACCTGTTTCAGTCTGTTTAAAGATACTGTGCTAGGTTTTCGGACCGTGTTAAAAGTAGATATGTACAGTCACTCAGCAAAAGTGTTCGTGATTTAGTTTTAATGTCAGTGCGCAGTGTGGCGCACCCGTGATGTTGATGTTATTAATGTAGAGATTCAAAACAACGAAAGATATATAATATAGTTCGTGACTATATATAAAAGAAGATCGGCGATTGATCTTATTCCTCATTGAGTCCGTCTCCATTGGTCACTGGGAAAGTTTTCTCTTGGGGGGTTTTTGATGGTCCGCCACGGTTACATATAGAGAAATGTCTCACTCCGAAATCGGAATCACGAACACTTTTGCAGAGTGGCTGTATGTTATAAATTTTAGGTGTGCTAGAGTTCTCCCATTGGCTAAAGCCTATTCCTTTCCTGACGCCATCGTCGTTGGATGAGCTATTGTACGTATACATTTGTTCTTCGGAGGGGATCCGGAGAAGTCCCCCAACTGAAGGTAGATGAATCCGCTGGGCGCATGGAGGAAAATTCTGCATATTAGAGCGAAATTCTAAGGATTCTAAAATTAGAGTATGTACTAGAATCGAGATGAGTTCGTTAGAGGTACATACATAAATAAGGGGGGCTACGCATTGGGATATCTCGATATGGCAGTACACAGCGAATTTACCACATATATATTCTCGAGAACTGGCTAACCAATGGACGTTTGCCGTCGAACCAGATTTTTCAATGACCCCAATCGCGGAAAGACTTCATGTAACACGGGAGGGGCCCGAGTGGTGGTATATATGCAAACTTTACAAAAAAAGATGGTGTGCGACGGATGGGATTGAAATCCATACCTCTGGAGGATCGTGTTGAGTTTTCGGAGATATGCAGGGTCTAGATGTAGATGTTCAGGGTCCAGGTAGATCATAAAGACACACGGGAAAACCTCTAATGGTAACAATGTAAGTGTGCATTTAAGGTTTATGCAGGAGGGCAATTCGAATAAACCTAACCCTAAATGTTGCTCTTGTAAGACTTCGGTTTGTTTGTCATGGCCCACACCGAACATTTAGCTCTATATTTATTATTAAGACACGACACCTAAGCATCAGGCCTAAGATATGTTGATCGATCTCGTTGCTCTCCTCCGTCTTATCCTACATACTCGGAATCAATGAGCGTACTGGAGGGCCTCCATATACTACACGGCACTACCGAATTCTCGATACCCCTTAGTTGGAGTGTATATATCAGTACTCTAAGGAATGCTCACTGCACAGGGATCTTGAGATCGCTTGTCTTGCGGTAATTCAATACACCTCCCCCGAATCAATCGATCGATGTGTGCTCAACGCATCTAACGATGTTATTCGGTGAAGAAATGCTGAATGGTATTTATCAGCAGAAAATGCGTCATGTTTCTGATTTCTAAGCTGTCTAAAATCATATGTTACGTCTCATTGGATGGGACTTGAGGGCTGCTTTTGCTTGATGTATATGCATGTATACATTGGTACTTTCCCGAGATGTGCGGGTAGCTACTTGAATGATTACATCGATATGCCGAGGTAGGATCCTAGGAACAACTGGTGTGGACAACAATAAATTACTACCACGCAAAATTACTACCACACCAAAAGTAGGGGATGGCTACGAGACTAAAGTTTTTGACCTGGTACCGTGTCAGACTGGGAATCAGGTCATCACCATACAAATTTGGTCGTGTTTGTTGCCGAGCCTTTTCGCCTCAAAAACCTAAGTCAAGATTTTGGTGCTGTTGCCATACGACACGATTCTAGGTCTGACATGGTACTCGGTCAAAAACGCTACCTAGGAACTAACCCTCAGTTGATTACAAGCAGCCAGAACAGACATACCAGCATTATGGGGAAGATCAGCGCCGTAGATCAACGGACAAACTTATGCTTAACTAGTTCAACCAGTGGAGGGACTCAAACCTTGCGAGTGGTAACCATGGTGCCACGAGTGAGAATGGATGACTGTCTGCTTATAGAGAAGGAAGTCTCTGCTCTAACAAAGAATGGCTATAATTATGGAATTATTTAGTTCTATTATGCGATCCCAGGCTATGGATTGATAAGCAATCTTTCTCCGCGGTTTATCATAGAGCTGCATATATATAAAGCACCGCTTGTAACACCATCATCGAATTCCAGGCTCTGCACAAAGACTGTATACCCCGATTGGATCCGGCAGTTTCAGGTTCACCGGTTGGGTCCACGGCGCACCACGCACGGAGGTTAATGTGCCACATCATGGTAACTTTATTTTAGAATTGGTGTTACTTATTTTATAATTAGCGCAGAATAGATGGAGGAGCACCGCAATTCTCATGATCATGCACCTCACTCATACTCGCTTGGCCGAACCTTGATAACAATTGGCTTAACAGACTACAGGACCCTTAAAAGCCTTTTTTCCGTTTCTCTAGGGAGGGTGGCTACTGGATGACAGTCCATATTTTGCTATTGTTATAGACGCTGAAGCTATTGAAACCTATGTTTCCTTTTTCTTGGGCGTTAGATGAAGATGCGATTACCGACACAAGCACGTCATCCTTCATCGTACCAAAGGTTCGGGGTTTAGGTAGATACGATCAACGGGGTAGGAATCTTAGATTTCCTGGTATCAAGTTGGTTGTTCCCCCACTCCAAATCGAACATGTGTTGCGTTAGCTCGATTCCGGCCGGGGAAGCAGCTTGTGTTTAAGGTCGCCAATCTTTATAATAAGACAACTCTCCCTGCTCCTTCCTCTGCTGATTGGGTGTATGTGTGAATACAGCGAGCGGTGTGTCCACTCGGATAGTTTATACTGTAAGCATGGGTTGACTCTCTGCATGCAGGACCACACAGGCAGGCTAAACTGATATTCGCGAAAGAGGTAGGGATTAAGGCGTGATTTTTCGCTAACAGTAGTGGTCAACGTCAACGACACTTTTCGCCTGCTCCCCGAATAGCATACGCCCGGTCTTTATTAGTCACGTCTCCCGTCCATAGAACATCATGGCAACACCGACTTCTAGCCTTATGTCTCTACACTTATCCGCCAACTGCAAGCTGTCTCCGGCATAGCTAGACAGCTAGTACTAATGTCAGGCACGAATCTCCCGGTAATAATGCGAGTACATATGTACATACATAGTACCTACCTACATATACATAACACCACATATGGTTGCCATGTCTTTTTCTCGGGCGAAAAACGAGAACAGCACAACGATCGTGCTGCACTCATTCATTATGCTCATCAAAGCAATGAGATGCGGACAAGTCTTTCTTCTCCCTGTCCAGCACTGCGCCGAGAGGTTACAGCTAGAGCTCTAGCATCATCCTCGCCTAAATGATGTGATCTTAACGAAGGAGTCACACTGTTCTGAAATTGTTAATAAACATTGAGATAATGCTCTGGTTTTATTTTTATTCTCCATCCTGATACCTGACGGCAGAAAAGTACTACTTAGTACTAACACTATTACTTCTACCTCGGATTATAAATAGCTTACTATATAAGGAAAGACCAGAAAACCAGAAATATCTACCATCCATCCTCCACAACACTTTAATGCCTACCGCCACGCCCATCCAGACTCCAAAAGTCAAAGCCATGGCACCCGCCCAGATTGATCACGTCGTGGTGCTAGTCCCGTACCAAGACCTCATCGACCCTCCCAAATGGGTGACCGAGAACTTTACCCTCACCCCCGGCGGCCGTCACTCGGACGGCAAGACCGAAAACAAGCTCATCGTCTTCTCAGACGGCACCTACATCGAGCTGATCGCCTTCATCAACGATAACCCCAGCCTTCGCCGCGGCCATCCCTGGGGAAACAAGAGCTATGGCTTCATCGACTTCGCGCTCACAACCCCCGCCGGGAGTAACTTCGACTACGCCGGTCTCCGCGGGCGAATCAACCAGAAGAGCGGGAGCCTAGGGATTGACTATGACCAGCCCATCGAGGGCGGCAGGAAGCGCGACGACGGGGTAGACGTTCGCTGGAAGGTCACATTCCCAAAGAACGTTGTTGGCGCGGGAGTCCCGGGGTCAGATATCAGTCGAAGGGGGGAGATCCCGTTCTGGTGCCATGACATCGCCGGGAGAGAGCTGAGGGTTGATACCGTTGCCGCGAACGTTACGCACCCGAGTGGTGTCAAGGGCATTGCGCAGTTCACGATACTGGTACCGGACGGGAAGATGGACTCGTATGTGGACCTCTACTCGTCCATCATGGACAGCAAGCCCGTCAGGATGTTTGGCACAACGCGGTTGCCGCTAGAGACCCCCATCAATATTCCGGGGCTGGTAAAGCCGTGGGTGTTCGTGGAGCCGCCAACCCTTGATGTTGAGAAGAAGCGGTTGCTGGAGAGGGGGCCGGGCATCATTGAGATTGCACTGAGGTTGGGCGTGGAGGGGAAGGTGGGGGTGGGGAGACCGTCTATTGATGAGAATGGGGTCTGGATACATTTCTTGAAGTAAGGGGGTTTGGTGGAGTTTGCGGCAGTTTGGGTGTTTTTTTCTTTCTTGCTTTTTTTCTTTTAGCAGTGATGGTCATCCTCGGGCTTAGAGCTAGGGATAGTCTTATTATCGTTCGCACGTGGTAGTTAGTTTTGTTTTCGATAAGATGGAATGGAATATGCGGTTTAAGCTTAAATTACCTCTTCTCGATTTGTGACTGGTTGATAAAGTTCTATGACTGCCATGAAACCCGGGTTTATATTCTTGTATCCTGCGGCCTCGGGATACATATGATGGGTCAAATCTCGGTAGGTATATATATAAACCCTAACCCTGTATAAATGTACCTGGGTGGGTGGTGATTGCCGTTGCAAGAAATGATAAACAAATGGTATTGAGCTACAAAAAATGGTATACAGAAGAACGCCTCTAACAAATAAAAAGAAAATACAACAATGACAGGAGATCGATAACCAAACCCAAATAAAAACAAAGTCGCAGGTTCCACCCATCATCATCACATTAATAGGCTCTAGCACGCAGATACAGAGCCTGCAAGACCCCCGCAAACACGACCGTCGCCACACCAAACAGCACGCCCCGAGCCCCAGAGCCGAGACCGGCACACTTTGTAGACTTGGAAGGTGAATCTTCGCTTGGGATGTAGTGGCGGGAGAACAGGTCGTTCTGGATCCAGAGGACCTTGTTGAATGCGCGGAGGACGGCGGATTTGGTCTTGTCGTCGAGATCGGGGTGCTCAATTACGGCGCCGAGGAGGACGTCGATTACATAGGCTGCCCAGAGAAGCTGTGGGTTAGAAGTTGTACGGATAGATAGTGGAAATAGAGGGAGTGAGGGGGTGGGTTACCTAGTAGCAGGGCCATGTGGATGTATTCCACACGCAAACCGGGTTTCTTAGCACGGTGGGCAAATCCGGCTACTCCGGTGTGCATGAGAGCTACTTTGTCCAGGTATTCCTATTCCTCCAGTCAGCTTCAAACTACAAAACAATTCCAATTATAGCATGGGGGCGTGAAAAACCTACCCAAGTCGATGCCTGGTCGTAGTCCATGCTGACAAGCTTCACAAGATACCCCTTCAAGAAGCCCATCCTAAACTTGATCTGCGGGTGCTCGAGGGAGAGGTCCTCCACTGCTGTTGGTGCTTCGCCTTCATAGCCTGTTTGCCGGGGGACGAATGACTTTGCGGTGATGTCGAAGGAGAGGAGCTTTTTGTAGACGGCATCTACGACGGTGGGGACTAAGGTTGCTACCACGGTTTTTGAGGCGTTGATTGCTTGTGCGTCTTCGGCGGTGAAGCCGACGAAGGCTTTTGCGTATGCAATTCTGGACTCGAGGGTGTCGAGGGATGCTGGGTCGATATGTTGCATGTTTGGTAGATGTGTTTGGAGGATTTGTTTCAAAGGTTTGAAATTGAGGTGTAATGATTTGTCTGTTGGAAGTGAAGTGAGCTCAGTGATGTGTATAGAATATAAGAAAATGACTTTACCACGAGGTGGACTAAGAACCTTTTATAAAAATTCGCAGGTCCATGCAGGGCCCTGTGGCGTATAGCTCAGGGTTTATTGGAGTATTTCTCCGGGTCTCGTGAGGCTAGTTAGTAAGGTACAACCACCACTCATGTACCAGCTACAACGTTTCCCCGAAGAAGCCCGACCTAATCGTGGGGGTTGCTTTTCAAGAGAGCCGGCCCATAAGCACTGACAACACTTTAATTTTGACTGAGGTAGGACAGCGCTGACGGCTATGATTTGATGCTCTCTCGACTTCACTCGAGTATCAGTAGTAGATTATGCAAGATAAGATGCTTGAGCCACTTTATTGTTGTACCTACATACCTACATGTACAGATTGTGGTTGTCTCAGCCAAGAAACCGTTTCACCTCAGTCGCGGGAGAACCCGCCTTTTTTTTCCCACTCTAACCACGGACCACAGTATCGAAAACTAGAATCGCATGATTTTGGAGCTTAGGAGTCAGGTACAGATGACATGACGTTGTATTTGTCGTGGAAAAAAAATGAGAACCTCCATCTCGGATGGTTCGGTAATAAATTTTTCGAGGGCCGAATTGTAGAACTCCGCGGACCGCCGCGGAGGTCTACTCCGAACGGTGAAAAGAAGCCGAAAGCCGGGTCTACCTGACCGTTGAGATCCTTCAACTTTGCCCGGAGTTACATAGACATCGCAACACCACCGCCTCTCGCACATTTATTGCGTAAAAGTTACCCCAGCTTTCAAGGATGAAGGGAGTACGATTAGTCACGAGTTCGGAGAGGAACGGGATCAGCTTACCTACTCTTCATGTTCTACCTTTTTCTTCAAGAATCTCACAGTCATAGTGGAACGAGACGAGTGTAAAACCGTTGATTTGAAATAGAAAGTAGTTTTCTTTCCCCGCGGAGCCCATGGTCAAATAGTAGGTTCTTCGCTTGATACATGACAGTACATGTATGTAACGAACCTTTCACCATGGCATGACCTGTTCTGATACTTGCATAGCATTGCATCCGTATTGAGTATTGAGAGACTTCTCTCTCTTTGAGCACATCAGGAATTAGCGAATATATTCTCCACAAACTCGCCAGGTCATGATCAGCAGACGGGGCGTACCGCGGTGTTTAATAATCGCACTGTAATCCAGTAAGCAGACTACAACAATTAAATAAATTATTATTCACCCCCTGGCCATATCAGCACTGAGTCCCAGTAAGGCTGCCAAGGCCTATTCTCATTGGTTCCATCCAACCTTAACACAGACAGACCAGTTCTCAACTGATCTCCGCAGTAGCTACTAGCTAGCGCTGCGTGCCCGGACCTGTGAGTGGGGGTGCCGGCGCATGGGGTGCAAGACGTGGGAGAGAGGTTTTACACCCCGTATCGAGAGATAATATGTGGTCCTTCCGCTCATGAGCCCCCGAAATCGTGGGGAGTCCCATTGGCGGTTGGGGAGTTACTATTCAGATAAGCTTATAAGTCCCGTCGAACGGTTCGGAGTTAGGGGCGCTGCTACATGCAGTGTTGATCTCACCGCGCCTAGCGAAGAAGAAATGGGGTAGAGAAAGAGGATCTGAGATGACTGGACTGTCGGAGTGATTGCATTTCTGCGCGTTTCCTGAAATGTGTTGTCTTTAGAGAGGGACAATGAAAGATGACTGGACGGTCGAGGGAAGTAGCTCTAACATGTATTTAACACACGTATGCCCCACTATCACTTGTTTTAGGTGGCCTTTTAAAGCCGCCATGAAATCACCCTTCCTTTTTATCAACCTACAAACGGACAAGGTACTCAGGGTGAAAATAACAAATCCCAACACCAAATCATAGACCAACCTTCATCCTATCGTAGAGTTTTCTTAATCCTTCACCCTATCGTGGAATTGTCTTAATATACTTTTTAGAACTGTTTTTTCTTATCTCCAGCACTTCATCGAGCATAGCCCTACTAGTAATAAGGTAACCATCCGAAAACGAGAACAGGAACACATGAACGGTAATATCTGCGTATTTATCATGTTTTGATCAGACGGTCTTGGCTAGTAACGAGTAGTAAATAATAAAGGTATCGTGTAGGTAAGTTTAGCTGATAACTGGGGCTAAAATCACCAGCTATAACTGACAGAAGATATCAATGCAGATGTCGTTCAAAAGCGACAGTTACATACAGCCTAATCATCTGTCGCATCCATTACACCGGGAAATACCCCAAGACGCAGGCTGCAAAAGAACTTTAATTCAATGACACCTATCCGCTAGCTAAAGTGTTCCAATCGACGCTCGAAGTCATATCCAGGTACTACAAAACAAAGCAAGAGACAAAGAAAAAAGCAAGAAGAAAAGTAACATATACACAACCCCTCTCTCTCACATATAATCCTTGCACTCGCCCTCACAGTACTCCCACAGCTTCTTTCCGTTCTCTTCCAATCCATTCGTGATATCCACTCTCGGCGACCCAAACCTTCCCCATGGGATGACATACGCGCCATTATTCTCCTCCGTAATTTTCGGCGACAGCCCCGCCCACATCTCTGTCAAACCCCCGTAATAGGCCGGATACGAGATAACTGTATGAAGGAAGACTTGTATTATCCACGGCGAGGTGCGATCTAGCTTCGATTTCAGGTTCCCGGGGTTAAGCGACTACCATAACATCTAGTATTAGTTCCCCGCACACGAAATAAGATATCATTGGTTGATGGGTACATAGTACTTACAAGAGACAAAACACCCGTTCCCTGCAGCCTCTTTGCCAGCTCCGCGGCCAGGATAATGTTCGCGGCCTTGCTCTGGCCGTACTTGAGAAATCTCCCTTCCACTGGCATTATCGTGGACTTGAGCCCCGTCAGTGGCTTCTCAAAGTTGATGTCATCCCAATTGATACCCCCAGGGTACGGCGAGCTGTTGTTCGCGAGCGAGGCAAGCCAAAGTACACGGACACTGTTCTTCGGTGTCTCTGGCAGTGCCACCGTCTTCACCATGAGCGGTGTAAGGAACGACTGGAACAGCCATGGAGCAATCACATTTGTTCCCATCTGTATCTCATGCCCCTAAACTCCATTTCTGTGAGAGGGTGCGCATAAGGCATATAGCGGGGTATGAAGGGGAAGAGGGGCTGCTCACATGTTTATCGACTGTTCCATCCGGCGGCAGCATGATCCCCGCATTGTGCCAGACCACATCCAGCCTACTCTCCTGGCGCATGAACTCCTCCGCCGCAGGCTTCACCGTGGCCAGATCCGACAGATCGATGTGCAGAAACTTGAGCGTGCCCGTCGAGGTTGGGTGCTCCTTCTTGATTGCCTCGATTGCGGTCTCGCCATTGGTGGCGCTGCGGCCGGCGACATAGACGGTTGAGTTTTTGAGATAGAGGATCTGTGTGTGCCCGCACGTTATGTGAGTCCGCAGTGACACGAGCACGAGCGAGCGAGCGGGCGTGTGGTACGTACCTTGCAGAGCTCGAATCCCACGCCTGAAGCGCCACCAGTGACGATATAGACCTTTCCTGAGAGATCTGGGAGCGACGTCTCTGTGAGTTCTGGTGTCGGGGGGAGGATCTCTGTGTATGTTTGGTATAGTGCAGCAGCCATTGCGATGTTCTCGAGGTTATGGTGAGGAGAAACAGTACTGCAGTGGGTGGTGGTTCTATAGATACTTATACGACAGACGAAACTCGACCCAGATAGCAGGCAGACCCCAAAAAACACATGTCACAGGTACGTATGTGTGCAGACCTCAACTGCCCAGATGCCCCAGGATGTGGCCAAGGATGGTTTGTGGAGTGTGCGCGTATCTTAATCTCTTTTCCTCCTCGGGCAACAATCAAAAAAGTATCTATAAATAACCACTATCTCAATCTCCAGCTGTTTGTTCACGAAGTAAGCTTATCCTATAGCCACATTCCTCAGTCTGTCGTCTTTCTTCTAAGTCTCCGTAGGCAATACAACAACTTCACGGATGCCCGTTGCAAGTCCGTCGGGAGTCCATGTTCGGCATCCCTGCGCGTCCCGGATCTCCCTGTCACTCATTGACGTCTGTCACGGCGTCCGGGCTATTCTGTATCCGGTCCCGCGCATTCCACTGATGGGAGAGACTGAGAGATCCCTTTGTTCTCTTCAAGAGAACAGGCAGGGACATATCGCAATCTTTCCGCTAACGCCGGTCCTAAAATCTCGTCTGCTGGTGGTTATCTTCATGTGCCGTAGTTAACCGAGAGATAAGATAAGATGATCGTCGCCTGTGTCTGTCTAAGCGAGACCGGGTATGTCGCATGTGTGCCTCGGCCTCGGTTGTCGATGGCAGTCAGGGTTAGGGGTTAAGAACCATCCACCAGTGCCAGGGATCGTGAGGAACTGGCTGGGAGTTCGATATCCAGATAACTATACCTGGAGGGTGAAGAGCGACTAGGCGGTTACTCAGGTATACTCGGGGCATGCAAGAAGAACCTGAAAATGACTTTTTATGGTAACGACCTCTGATTCGTGGCTGGCGAAAAGCTACACCAAATTGAGCCCCTGCTTGCAGCTTGCATTTTCAGGTTCTTATTGCCTGCCCCGAGTATAGCCCGGGGGCTATGAAGATTATGATGAGTGGTCCAGCTGCCTCTTCGACGTTTCTCAAAAGGAGCATGAAGACCCACGGAGTGAGAATCTGTGAAGGTGGTTCGTGCTACGTGCTACATACTGACTTACCTGCGAGGGGGTGTTTTTGGATCACTATTAAATACTCCCCTGCAATGAAGCTGAAGTGTGCACGGCCTAATAGACCCCCGCGGCCGACAGCTCAATCTACCCCCACTTCATTACTAGCGATGTAGGTAGCTCAACCTCCCCATATATTCCCCGCCCTGGACAGTAGTAGTTGTCACACCCAGAGCTCAAGCCTCAGTCTCAGACAGGGGTAAATAGTAGGTAAATACTTTACATATATCACACTTAAGCTCTTTAAAAAGGCTTTTCAGGGATGGCATGGGTAGCTCGGCATGACGTGACGGGCCGGGGCGGGGCGTGGGTTTAACTGGTCGAATTTGGAACCGGGCCGATGATTCTTCCGCCGTATGTAAATAGCGGGCCAATTCTGCTCTAGGTTGCACTTCGGAGGTTGGGGGGAGGTGAGGAATGGCTCTATTATGTAGGTACAGCTGGGTTCTTAGATAGCGGGCGGGGGAGACGGAGGGTTTTCAGGTTCCTGGTTGCACGTACTATAAGTCTGACTAGCTCTTGAATCCAGCCAGGTCTCTGAGCTGGGTCGGTAACCTATATAACCACCGAGAGCTCTTATAGTAGGAATATCATTAACGAAAAACACCAAACCAACCGCATCTCGCACCACATTGTTTCCTTGGCGCCATCTATACGTTTTCTCACATGCCATGACGATGATCGGCAACATGGTGCAATTGCGCAAGGGCCTGTTTTGTTCTCTAGAGTCTAGAGAGAGCAACCGGGAGTTTCTAGCTATCCAGAAGAAGGGACAGCGTCCGTTAGATGAGGATAGAGAGCACACTACGCAGTTGTCCGGTATTGACAGAAGGACAAGTGATAGTAAAGAGCATGGAAACCGAACACCTATCCTTAGCACTCTGTGAGCTGCCCCTACCAACGAGTGACTGAGTGCTCTCTTAAGAGACTACCGGCGCAGTTATAACACGTAAGAAAAGACTTAATGATGGTGGGAACGAAAGCAACGGGGGCTGAAACTAAAGATTTGAGCTGGAAGCCTGGGTGGAGGATCGACTGATAACTTTGTGATGAATATTTAGGGCCTTAGGCGGGGTATATGACTAGGTGTAGTTTTTGCGAGGTTGATCGGAGGCGCGGGTGTCTGACTACATGTAGTTACATCGTGATGGAGGGCTGAGAATGCATAATCACTATAAAAGATCGGCAGACCTATTGAAACTTCCAGAGAAGAACCGGTCGATGAAACGATACCAGCGCCGGGGATGAGGCATTCATTCCCAATCGGCCCGAACATCTCGTAACCAATCCCGCTGAAGAATGGGCGTGATCGAGTGATATTCCATGAGCGCACACGCACGGATATCGGATAAATATCCTTGAACAGGCAAAATGTGCGTGGACATGCTTGTCAAATCGGACATCTAACATCTAAGACACTACATGTAATTGACCAGGTAAAGCTTTGCCTCCTAGCTACATACTATGGGACAGAATAGGTATCGGCAGTTAATAGAGTATGATCATATGGCCGTCGCTGTTCGCGCCGCATCAGTGTGTCCCATTGTATTTAACCCCTACTCGGTCATAAATCAATCTCTCTTAAAGTTCTAGGAATTGAAAGTCCTGTCCCTCCCAAATATCTGCAACAGGACCCATACCGTATGCTTTTCGATGTTTGGAACTCGCGCTCCTAAGTTCACCCAGAAAGATGTCGTCAGTCTTAGGGGTAAGGTGTATGTGGTTACCGGAGGCGCGTCCGGGATCGGGTTGGAGCTCTGTAAGGTTAGCATTTGTGTTTCCTTTTGAATACATTGTTCACTAAAGCAAGCTTTGCAGGTTCTGTACTCAAAACATGCAACTATCTTTCTCGCTGGTCGCAACCATCAGAATGGCGAAAAGGCCATCTCGGAGATACAGTCAGCTTCTCTGAACTCAAAGGGCACGATAAAGTTCATCTATGTGGACCTGTCGGATTTATCAACAATAAAACCTGCCGCCGAAGAAATTCTCGCGCAGACAGAGCGATTGGACGTGGTCTGGCACAATGCCGGCATTTGTAAAGTCAAAGCAGACCAAACAAAGCAGGTATGCCTAATTTTCTAATCCAGTATCAGACGGGTGTGATAACTAAGAAATAAAGAACAGGGTCTGGAGTTAAACCTGTCTGTCAACACAATCGCACCATGGTTATTGCAGTCGTTCTTGACTCCATTGATGTCAAAGACCTCTGAGATGCCATCTACCCAAAAGGATAGTGTGCGGGTAATCTGGGTGAGACTCCTGCTATCGGACCTAGATTAATGTTCTGTAGACGTTAACGTATCTCAGGTTGGTTCTTCGGGGCATGCAAACTCACCTTACAATGGTGGGATTCTGTGGGAAGATATCAACTTCCAAAACGGCTGGCATGGGAATCGAATGGAAGCTCTGCTACGACAAGAGGACACATTTTGGAAATATGGACAAAGCAAAACAGCCAATATTGCCGTGGGTATTGAGGCAGCAAAGCGGTGGGCTGGGAAGGGTGTCCTGAGTTTGGTAAATGCAATATTAATATCAATACATTCAGTCTGGATATTATCACTGACAACGTATATGTAGACTGCTGACCCAGGCTGGATAACCGATACCAATATACTGCCGGAACATTCAAAATGGATAATATCTTGCATTGTGAGTTATTCCAGACATCGTTTTATCTCCTCCGGAATACGTTTCTGATCCCTAGGTAGCGATTATTCATGCACCCTATTGAGTGGGGCTCGATAAATTACCTCTTTGCTGGGGTTTCTCCCGAGGTTAGCGAAGAGAGGTATAATGGCAAATATATAATTCCTTGGTGCCGGATAGGAATATCTCCACGAGATGATATAAACAGAATGCTACCAGAGAACGGGAAGAAATTGTGGGAGTACTGCGAAGAAGTGTGTAAGGATTATATGTGATGAGGATCGGTCTGTTTCGGTGTTTAGAGAGCTGTATTTCGAAATGTAAAATTATCATACAAAGCTGAGAGACGTCTGGTTCGAGCGGGATTCCTTTTTTTCGTAGCAGAAAGTGGCGGAACGAATAGATTGTCTTGGCGGGAAGTGCTCAAGAAAAGAAAGCATACGGAGGTCTGATAAAACTTGGACGAATGATAACGGCAATAGTTGGTACCCTTATCAGCACTCTGTCTGTTAACTGTTAGAAAGAGCGAGTGTAGAAGAACAGATACGTAGTACGCACGTGTATATATGCAGCTTGGATAAAGATCATGGCACAAAACAGGGCAGTACTTATCTAGTAGGTACTGCGATGACTTCGGGTAGCCTACCTCTTAAGTCTAGATCTTCAAAACAGCATAGTCCTCGGGGGTGCCCAGCATCTTCGAACAGGCGTGTCCTTGTTGGGCCGGGTCTGATCGAGAAACAAACATGTCCCCTGATTTTGACCCGTCTAGATTTTGGGTTGAGGGCACACACCTAACTCTATTAATGCCAGGCTAGGTTCAATTTTCACAGCAAAGAAATTCGACATAGGGAAATTATCTGCTGAAAGTAAAAAAAAACTACTATTTTACCGTATCTATCACTCTGGCGTCCATTGACGTCTTATCTAGCTGGCGTATTACCACTCTGCATGGGTGAACACGAGACTAGAACCAGCCAGAATGACGAGGATACAATACACTCCATTATCTCTGAAATCAAGAAAGTCTTTAGGTACAGAAGCTCCCTTCAACATGAATACCCAAAGTTGCTAACTGTCTTCTTTATGAAAAGCCAAGTGTTACCTTACATACATATATAATCTCTAGAAATGAGCAAGAGAGTCATATGCACTCCCACTGACTCGGTCCTCCCGGATCCCCGTCTTCACAATCGCCAGCCAGGAACCACACTCCGCCAATTTTAAGTATAAGCTTATGTTTAATATACCCCGCATAGATGAGTTCGCCCCAAGCCAAGGGCTTGGGAAGCGACATGTTCGGGAAAATATCCCGACAATCCTTGCAGAAAGTGCTTATTTAGGCAGCTCCCCCCACTAGCACCGCCGGATCCACCACAGAGTTGGCCCGGAGGTTTTAATATCAAAGTTTCTCGGCGCTGCGGTGTGGGCATCGTGAAGAGTGAAAACAGAGTGGGCCAAGTGCGGATATCCCAACGAGCCAATGATACTGGTGAATATGTTCCGGGCGATTGGCAGATACCCCGAATTCGTGAATGGACCGCTTAACACATGTATTCGAGAGGGGACCGGTCCATTCACGAATGGACTGGTAAAATGTAGTTTGGAAAAAATTGTTGATCATGATTCATGAGCGCGCTCAGCAACCAAGGCTGCTAGTAGGGCGCGCGACCTCAACCAGCAATGATTTTGGGCGAGGGTTGGTTGCTAGGGCGAGGGTTGCTAGGGCGCGCGACTTGAACCAGCAATGATTTTGGGCGAGGGTTGGTTGCAGTCGCGCGCGCGCGACCTCAACCAGCAATGATTTTGGGCGAGGGTTGGTTGCTAGGGCGAGGGTTGCTAGGGCGCGCGACTTGAACCAGCAATGATTTTGGGCGAGGGCTGGTTGCAGTCGCGCGCGCGCGCGACCTCAACCAGCAATGATTTTGGGCGAGGGTTGGTTGATGTCGCACGCGCGGCCCTAGTACTTAATCCCTTCTTGAGTGCCACTGTACCGTGATAATCAATCTTTCATAATCAACATGCCAGACAACACTTCAGATCCTGCTGCCCCCTATGGGCGAACAGCTACAGGGAGAATTAGAAAGAAGCCAACGAAGGCTCAATCAAGTAAAACTGCACCAACTCTGCCTGCTATACCTGATCAACTTTCTACTTTTTGCCCTGTTCCTGCATGTGCAAGAGATTTCAGATACCGGAAAAACCCAGAGAAAGCTGTTTGGCAACACCTCCGGTACTATTCTAGAAGATATGAGGAGGGAAAAATTAGGGAGGACGGACACACTAAAGCTCATTATTACTATAAGGAAAAAGCCAAATCAGCATCAGGTACTAGGTTTTCTCTTTTCCGGGAATTGAATTAATAATTAATTTTTTTTAGGAATGAGCAAGAAGGAAAGAGAGCGCGCAAATTCAGCTAAATGGAGGGCTAAAAATCCAGAAAAAGCAAAGAGATCTTCTGCTCTCGGTGCTATCAAGGTTAAGGCTGAGCTACAGCTTAGGCGTTCCGGAGATTTTAGTGAGGAGAAATTGAAGGAATTGGTGGACGAGATGATGAGAAAATGGGAAGAGAAAAATTAAGAATAGAAAATTTTATGTAGAATTCAATCATTTTAGGTACAAATAATAAAATACTTAATTTTTCCTCAACTGACGTCCCCTCTTTGTACTTTGTTGTTGTGGTGGAGGTGATTTATATACAAGACCCTCGAGATCCGTTAACAACATATCCACATCAATAAAAGAACCATACTCCTGTGCAATTGGGTCACGTAATACCTCCAACGCCTCATCATACTGTATATGCATATCAGAGCAAATAAAGTGTGTTAAAATCTCTGGAGCAATCACAGATCTGAACAATATCTCTGGATCCTCGTTTTGATCTCCTTCAATTTCCATTTGCCTCCGGAATTGTCCAGAATGTCCTACCCAAAATGCGACCGGTGTGATTTCCATAAGTACTGTTTGACCAGTTTGATTAGTTTAATAATTTTAGGAAAATTGGAATCATTCTACCTGATTTATAATATCCACAAGGAATAGACTTATTCTGCTCAAATGTCCGCTTAGCCGATACGGAAGGCCCATTTTTTCTCCTTCTTCTTCGGTTGATAAACTCTTGATAGAAATCCAACTGTTGGTAATTCTTGATAGTGCGTTTGATAATATTTTCATGTTGACGTAGGCGTTCTTCTATAACAAGTTCTTTTGTCCTTTCAATAATATCTGAGAGGAGCGGGTATTTTTTCTCCATCGCATATATCACTGCACCATGAATCTTCTCACCGTATTTCCATTGTATCCGGTCTAATTTCTCCTCCATAATTCTCTGTTCAATATTATTGCTAGCAGATGAATATTGACTGTCATTGCTAGAGGGTTCTGGAGAACTACTTTGATTTTCATTCTCGGTGGCTTCATCTGAATCATCCGATAATAGTAGCGGATCAATTGGAATTTCTTCTATATGAAAATTAATACCTAATATGAATTATCAGAAAGTGACTAAATACCAATTTCGTTGAGAATATTTGTTGTATTAGTACATTCTTCTAACCGGGGGTGACAGCGGGAGGTGCAAGTTCGGTTTTCCTTAAAACATCGGCAGTATCGAAGATTGCAGTTTTTCCGACAGTTACATGGTACCTATAATCCATTGAAAAAATTAGTATATGAATAGTTTTATAAATAGAACTTGAATATATTTTATACATTTCCGTCATTACGTAAACCAGCTGAGATCATTTGTGATGCTACCTGTAACGATATGCTATTTCTATTGTCTGGGATTTCAATTCCTGCAATAAGAGCCTTCGGGATTCTTTCTAGTTCTGTGGTTGGGTAATGACGCTCTAGAATACCATGTAAACATTGCAGTTGGTGCCTGTCTGGATGCGGTTTATTGATTATTCGACGAAAGATTCTTTTGTTATCTATTGACCGACGGGATAATGGAGGAACTGCCAATGCTACTATATCTCCAACATTAAAAATGTCAACTTTTTTCCGAATGTTGTATTTTTTAGCCATTGATAGCTGTGCTTTGGCTGTATTGCGTCTCACTGTTTCCAGAATATCCTCGCTGTATGAATTGATAATATGTTCCGCCGAATTGATTTGAGAATTGAGAGGAATAGATACTGATCCAGTTTCCGTTGAACCGGTTTCAAATAGTCCAGAACCTGAAGGGGTAACGCTTCCACGGGCACTCAAGTAGTCACTTTCTGGCTCTAGAGTAGGTATCTGAACTGGAGTAATTGATCTTGAATTTGATTCAAGATTTAGATAGCTGTCGGTATCTGTAATACGTTAGGGAATATAGAGTAGTATCGGGACAGGATTAGACTGTACCTAAAGATGCATTATCCCTATATAAGCTTCTAGGAACTAATGACGTAGGTTCAGTATCAAGAATTGATTCTTCAACCTCATCAATAATTGTTGCCAATACTCGTTCACTCAAAGAGAGCTTGTGTGGGTTCATCGGTTGTTTGAAAACAATTTCATATGGTGTAAGTTTTGTTGTTTCATGACGTTGACTATTAATCGCAATACAAATCTCCGGCAAAGCTAGAGACCATTGAGTTGCTCGATTGGGATTGTCGTTAATCCATGCCCGTAACTTTCGCTTAAAGGTTCCATTTGCTTTTTCAATTAAGCCTTGAGACTGTGGATGACGTGGTCTACCATTTATAACCTGAATTCCATAACGTTCGAGTAAAATTAAGAGTGCACCCTTAAACTCTCCCCCATTGTCGCATTGCAAGATTTTCGGAGGCCCAAAATGACTCAACCAATTGGCCATTGCATTTGCAACCTGCTCGCTCTCTTTGGCAGTCAATGCATATGCAGATGAAAACTTACTAAAGTGATCACAGACATGCATTATCCATTTATATCGACCATCTGGTTCCATACTCATATCCATTAGATCCACCTGTACTCGTTCAAAGAGATTGCCGACCTTAATAGGTTGCAGGGGCCCAGTTGTAGTTTTCGGCTTGTTAGAAATACAAGTCAAGCAATTCCGTACCACCCACTCAACCTCCGACCGTGTGATTCCATAGAATCTTTCATCAATTGCATTGAAAGATTTATTTTTTCCGGGATGCAATAGATCACAATGTACCTATAAAATTATCAGTAGTTCAACAGGAAATAGGAGAATCGGTATGGAATACTTTTACTATAACTTCAAAGGCTTCCAATTCCGGTACCACATAGAGCGGTTGTTTAAAAACTTTGTCCTTGCTACTTATTTTATGCAGCCGTCCACCAATCATTTTAAAGTGCCTGAGAGCTTCAAACTTTGCTTTTGACTCCACCGCATTCCCAGCTGCAGGTCTGTGTTCAGGATCCGATGCGAAAATTGTGAGTAATTTGTGCTTAGTAGGAGAAATACGAAAACGGTTTACATGGTTGGGGTTCTGAAGAAATCTCATAAACTCGGCCCTGACTGACTCGGTAAAGGGAGGTGGTAAAGGCATACTCAATGGTGCTGAAGAATCGGTAAAAATCTCTTGTAGATACAGATTTTATTTAGAGGGAAAAATTTTTCCGCACTATGATTTTTAATCGGTCGCCAAGCATTGTGGGGGTGATCGTGCATTATACAACAACTAGATTAAAGCATTAAACCTCAATTTATTGTGGGCCATCAAGATATTAGAACTACATTATTAGCGGGCCATTCGTGAATAGACTGGTCTGCTGGGAGATGTATGTGGCTAGCAGTCTATTCACGAATACTTCAAGTCTATTCGCGAATTTCTCTTGTCCATTCACGAATTCGCAATATCTGCGGATCGCCCGGAACAAATAGAGAGATGAAGAGTTCCGACTTGGCTGTTCGTGATGGAAGGTGCAAAAGACGTTTTTAATAAACAAGTCTCTTGGCTCATTACTTTACCTAGCTGAAATTATTCACAACAACGGGTTTGCGGCCCGTTCAGTATAGGGTATCTTGAGTCTTTCGCTCTGCCAGAAAGACATAAAAGCCCCCGAGATTCTCGCAAACTTGTGAATCGGTCAAGCGCAATCGTGTCTGTCTGATAATTATATATCTCGATACCGGTACCTTCAATATGCAGCTCTCCGCCCTTCTTTCTCTGCTCGCTGCAGCTACAGCTGTCCAGGCGCATGCCACCTTCGTAAGTGCTCCATCAACCAATATATTTCCACATGGGAGTACTCGTGAGACTCCAGAAGTTATTTACCTCTTATTCCTATGAGAATACTCTAAGGATATTAGGTTCTATATACTCCTGAGTTCTTTGAGTGCCACCATATTTCCTAATCCCAATATAAAACTCAACTAACCCACCCACCAGCAATACATCAACGACAACTCCGCGTACCTCCCCCCTCTCGTCTCCTCAAAACTCCCAAACTAACCTGCCGTAGCGTAATCCGCAAGCCCCCGAGCAACAGCCCGATCCAGAACGTCGCCTCCACCGACCTCGCCTGCAATGTCAACGGCGGTACCCCCGTCGCCAGCAAGCTCACCGTTGCTGGTGCGTATTATATCCCCTTTCTAACCTTTCTCCAGACTCACACTCACATTCAACCCCACAGCTGGCTCCACCGTCACCATCGAATGGCACCACGAAGGTCGTACCTCGCAGGCCATCGACCCAACGCACAAGGGACCCGTCTTGACATACCTGGCCAAAGTCCCCGAGGCCACGACTGCAACCAGCCCCTCAAGCTTGAAGTGGTTCAAGATGTACTTCCACCCTCTTCCTACTGCTATATAAAGAGCGCTGGCTGACATCTACACAGCTATCACGACGGTCTCACGCTCAGCGGCACCACTGAGACTTGGGCTATCGATAAGCTTAACGCTAACGCCGGGAAATACAGCCACACGATTCCCAGCAGCATCCCCGCCGGAGACTATGTACTCTCCCTCCCCTCCTCGTATCTACACTGCACTACTAACAGTAGCTATAGTTGCTCAGGTCTGAGATTATTGCGCTGCACGGAGCCGGCAGCACCGGCGGTGCCCAGTTCTACATGGGATGCGCCCAGATCACTGTTACTGGTGGTGGGTCGGCGTCGCCGGCGACAGTCAGTCTACCTGGGTAAGTCCTCCAATGTGGGCGGGACTCTAAATCTGTGGATATGTGCTAATGAACGGCCTGTAGTGCATATTCGGCATCGGACCCCGGTATTTTGGTCGGCATTTACTGGCCCAAGTTGACGAGCTACACTATTCCGGGACCGGCGGTGTTCTCAGGATAGATATTGATTTTCATTTAGTAAATGGGATGAAACCGAATGCGGGTAGATTATTTGTGGTATATATATGTAGTAGTGATGCAAAATGTTGTGTGTGTCGAGCTGTATTACGCGTTACATTGATAGAAATATCGAGAAACAGAGTGCAAGTCTTTATGGTTCTCATAGTTTCAGTCCCATGTAGTATGCTAAACCACTTTTATCACCTTGGAAAGATCTTAATAGGAGCTTGAACAACCCAACCACAAGACCGCTATAGCCCTAAATTTAAGTCTAGCAATCTGTACCTCTTATCACTCGTAATATACTGGGTTGGTACTGCCGATCTCTCCAAAGACCTGCCTATTTACCGCTGCAGCGCACTTTATTCGTTTTTTATATAAGGCAGGTTGATTAATTTTCTAGCATCAGTAAGGGCTCGGAGTATGAGGTTAGGGCCTCAAGGGTTAGTGGAGGAAATGATTAGGATGAGCCAAATGCCAAGCTGCCACATTACAATTGAGGTTTCACGGGCAAGAAGAAACACTTCATGAAGTACATAACCCAAACAGCCTCCAAAGTTATATCAGATGAGCAGATCTTCTTCCATTGTACCATGTATCTAGCTCCGCTCTAGGCGTTCGGGTCTAATGGGCTTTACCGCACATGACAGTTCATGGTCTCTCACTCGATTACTAAGCTTAAGTCATAGCACAGAAAACAGCAAGAGGAACGGCACCAACGCTAGTTGGTCTAGCTAGATTTTTATTTTCGCTCGAAAAGTTAAAACATGAATATGAGCTACACAGAGGCCCGCAACAGATAATTCTAGTGAACCTCTGTGGGGGTCAACAAAGCTCGATAGGGCTTTAAAGATAAAAATAAAAACAAAAGGAAAAAAAGAAGGAACTAAATTCTAGTTCTGAGGCACTGTGGTCCCGGCAGAATGCCCTAACACATTTCTCGCACGTGCTCCAGCACCAGTTAACATGATGTCTGTTTGAGGGCGCGGACACAGACCCGATGGATTCTGCAAAGCAGCTGTTATCTATTAGGTTCGCTTAGGAAAAAGAGCTAAATAAGAGGAATACACTAACCAAGCTACGCCGCACATACTGGTTAGACTATTTACATGTTCCTGGCATGAGAATGTCTCCACCGCCGACACCTCCATGCGGGCGCAGACAGGCAGACCCAATGGAGTCTGCGAAGAAGCTGTTATCTATTAGCACTGCTTGAGACAAAGAGATGACCAGGAAGAATACTAACCCCGGCCGCACCACCATACAGGACTGCCACCACTGCTGTATCTTTACCCCCATGCGCAGGCAGGCGTGGGGAAGCAGTCAAGTACATAAGCTGAGAAAGTTAGTTATATTCTTGACTAGTGAGAGAAGAGGGATATATCTTAGTTACCAGAAATAGTCACAGTGGATGTCATAATTGCAAAGATAAAGAGTCCCCAGAAGAATGCGATAAGTCCCCAGTGCGATCGAATGGAGTCTGTAAAGAAGCTGTGATCTATTAGTACCGCTTGAGAGAAAACTGTGATCAGGAAGAATATACTAACCTTGGCCGCACCGCCATATAACGTTGCAACCATGGTTGCAGGCAGGCACAGACCCAATGGAGTCTGCGAAGAATCTGTGTGACAGTGTGGTCGATTAGCCACGTTCAAGATAAATAAGGCAAGAAGAAAATATTAACCTCGACCTCAACCGCCTATGTCGGCTTCTCGACGTATTCTCGTCTGCATGCAACTGTCCCCACCTCCGAACATCTATGCAGGTTCAGGCCAGCACCGACCCAATGAGTCTGCGAAGAAGCTGTGGTCTATCAGCACCGCACAGAATAAATACTCAAGAAGGAGGAAAATACTAACCTCGGCCTGCACCCCACATTCTTCCTGTCTGGAGGACAGCGAGGAGGAACCATCTTTCCATTCTCCTCTCTTCGGCACAATAAAGACTCCACCGGGGGGAAACCAGAGCAGATAGCGGCGGAGAAAATGGCCATCCGTCTATCTATCTACCCTTTGGAGGGACTCTTGCTTTATGTCTTTGTTCGATTCTGTTGGTTCGCTCGATGGAGCTTCAAGGGCTGGCTGCTGCTGCAGATAAAATGCAGCAAGTGCACCCAGATATAATCGAGTTGCATTCGTTGCACACCAATCTATATGTACGGATGGGATAGTTGCAGGTGCGTTCGATGCTGTTGATTCGCTCGATGGATTGGATTTATGGCCTCTGGATATCAGAGTAATTAACCAGGGCAGGCCAAGCAAGCACATAAACCTGCTCGCTAGGTAACTTCCCTGCCCGGTCGGCTGCTAATAAGAACAGTTATGTTAGCAGCCGAATAAAAGAAGAGCTGGCTAAAAAGAATGCTCACACCCAGGGGGATGATGGCCAGTTCCATCAGTTTTTCAAGACACGCAGACACTATCACCATATGAATCAGCAATGAAACAGAAGACAAAGGCAAACATTAGTGAAGTCAGTGCTTACCACACCCCAATAATTGAGAGGTCTTTCTCGGTCCTAGACCCCCAATTCTTCTCTTCTACCACCCAGCCAACCCACCCAGGGAGGGATGCATTCCCAGTATGCGTCCCATTCGATTCCCCGGGCCATCACAGCCCCTGCATTAGCTGGTGTGTGAGTACACACAGCCCCTCCCATCTGGAGAGATACGTATTTTTCGACCCTGTTGATTCGCTCGAGGGAATAGAGTGTCGTTACGTTTGATCCCTTCCGCTCCACCCCGACTGCCTCTGAACACGCAAAAACACAGACGGTCAGTTGTCAAAAGTATCTTTGTGAGGGAGGGGGGTGGAGAGATTACAGGATTGGATTCGATTCTGTTGATTCGATCGAGAGTGAGAGGGTTGGGACCTGAATAGAGGTTATCTCGAGGAGGTACAGATAAACGGGGATGAAGGCTTGATGAGAGGGAAGAGAGGAAGAAGAAGCCGGGATAAGAGAGAGAGTGAGAGAGGGGAATGGATGGAGAAAGGGAGTGTGGGGAGTTGATATGGTGCGTAAGTTTGTTCTTACAAGGGCCTGTGTGCCGTCACTGATGAGTGGAGGGGGAACCTGCAACTTTGTGGACGGAAAAAATATATTATATAAACCCCGCCTGAGAAAATCCGACTGCCTACAGGAAGGCCAGGGGTATTCCCGCGTCTACATTTAATAATAGAAGTTACTCGATTACGCATGTACAATTTGCTACAGAATTCAGTACATCAGAACCAAGAACTAGCCATAGTGCCCTGTATTATTTACTAATTTTCTAATGCCTTCGAGACTGTCGAATGTATTTTGTCAGATAAAATCAGACATTTCTACATACTAAGCCCCCCACTGAATACTTGAGTATCATATAAATAGACTGCGTAATAACAGATTCATCTTCACTACGTTATGGTTTTGTTGTTACGTGATCATTGGTCTGAATCTTCATAGGGTATCACTCGGTTGCGCAACACACATGAAGTGCAGATTAAATGCACAGAATGAACCGTAATCAAATTTAAAATGAATACATTTATTTGAGTATCGGATAACTTGCATTTCTCGATAAAATATCTACTGTCTCTATTCTCTGTGGGGCTATGGATGGTCGACTCTTCATAGAGTATCACTCGGCTCACGCTAGCGCAGGAGTTTAATTGATTAATCAATTGATAATTCATTCGTGTTAGCGCGAGATCCTTATCAGATGAAATATATAGAGTCAATGATCCTCTCATCCTGTAAAAGTTAACGATCACACCACTGATACAAATTGATATAAATTCTTTGCCAGCGATCGGTCAATAAAAAAGAAAGAGAAAGAAAACTAATATGAATAATTGATAATCACTTTCAAAGACTCGCAGAAATTGTTTAAGTTGTTATATTAATATTATCTATCTAGGTTTTCCGATGCAATATCACGCTCACTGTTTTTCCCAGGGCCGGTGACATCCTGCACTCCCTCTATCATCCCCCCCACCAGGAACCCAATGCCATCCACCAGACGGCGATGGCTTCAAGCGCAAACACAGCCCCACCACACAATACAGTCAATGCCTGCTTCATCTACCAAATTATCAGCAAGGTTTATCAAAACCAGCAGGTTAAACAGTATATTTACCAGAATGCATTTCGAGTACGGGCTGGAGAGATGCAAACACCGAAGATTTGCACCAGGCTCCCACCAAAATGGAAGTCTGTAAAGGGTGTAGCCCGCCCTCTTATCCTCGCCAAGGTACAGGAACACCTTTCCACCCGCGGCCGGCCCCGCAGGGAGAATGTGCCCTAGCCACAACCTATACGTGGCACACAATTCATTAGATTAGTAACGACCACGCAAATAGCCATGATAGATGGATTAATGGTTTGGATTCTACTTACCGACACACCAATATATTGGTGATCTCGTCGGTGCACGGCTGTAAGCAGCCTCCTGTGAACCCGTGTATCCCCGCAGCCCCACACACCTATATATAGGATGTGCTTTTCCTACAAACAGAGATTAGCCCATTAGAACAGACACAAAACACAAAGTAGTAGAATTTTTGCTTACTCTCGAGCCCCAGAATATATCTCCCAGTGCTGCGAGGGCTGCAGGAGCATATGAAGGGCGAGGTTAGGATGGACCGACCCAGCTCGGGCCACCCAGCCCAGAAACAGAAATCTTGCTGTTTCTGTATTCGCTGATCAGAAGGGCTTGACTGGTGGTCTCGGAGATGGAGCCTTGCTCCAGTTCCTCTCTTGGATGGATGAGTTGATAATTCTCACACAAAAGCAGGAAGGAATAACTCACCTCAACAGATAAAACCCCATACGGCTTTCCAATCCAATAGTCTATCAAAAAAATCAATTAGCTACTATTTCTACCAACATCTTCAAGTAATTGACTCACCGGAAAAGCCGGAATAGGACCGAGAAACTGCTGATGCTCGGTGCATGCAGGCTATGCCTCGTAAATATGGGGCATTCGATGCTGTTGATTCGCTCGATGCGAGCCTAATAAAATCTATTGGGGGAGGCTGCTTCTGATGGATAAGAGTGATAAAAATAAGAATAGTAATTTTCAAAATTGTGGTGTGGGAAGGAGAAGGACGGAAGAAAATTAAGAGGAGTAAGGCATTTGGCAGCGTTTTCTTACGTAATCATAAGTGTAGACAGAGGGACTTCAATTTTCTTTCTCCTTCTTGGCACGGGTTTACTCTGTTCTGTTGTGCCTAGTATGGTCGACGAGCTGGCCTAAGCCGAGCCTTGGCCACTGGTGAGCAGCTTGCTGCTAGTAGGGGATGGGTACGAGACTAACCTCAACCATACTTCGAGCCAACTTATCTCGTAGGAGTGCTCGTGGGAAAAAGAATTCAATCTCTCAAGCTACGCTCGAGCTAAATGATGGACTTATCGATGAAAAATAAGTCATATGTATACTATCAGAAAATCTGCCCAGAGCCATCCCCACCCTGCCCAAGAGCTGAAGAAATTAGATCATAAGAAAAGTCTGCCAAAAGAAACCACCCCGCTGAGCCTGAATACCCAACAACAGAAGCATACAAACAGCTCAATTGATCATGATCAAGCTATGATCTCAAGTCGATCAATCGAGAAAACTCAAGCCAACTCTACTCATGACCTACCTGAGCTCGTAGGGCTTGAAAGAAATGCTCAAGTCGAGGACCTGAGACAACTCGACTAGCTTGTCGCCCACACTAATTGGGCCCTCGTGGCCTAACAGCCGAGGTACTTCGCACTCAGATCGCGCGCTGAAGTCCGAGTGATTACGCATGACTTTACATCACATGTAAACTGCCGGATTTCCTATTGAACATACCTTCCCTTAAGTACATATACCACCCAAATATACTCTCCTCATCATAACCGTAAGCTATTTGACGAAGCCTTGATTCCATTAACACCCCGAGACACTAGGCTTCTCATCCTCACCCAGTAATGTGTCTAGCCACTGAGAATGCCGATACACAAACCAACGGTTAGCTGCGTACTAGGCCCATGCCCAGCCCTCGTTACGTACATCCACCCACTTCCCTCCCGCAACGCACGAGCTCTCCTGGTAAGCAGCTCTCGGGCCGCGAACATTACCTGAGCTGCCGCATCGCCCTCCAGTCACCCTGTCCTTTTATCTCGCTCGTCAACTCAATTTCCATTTACCGAGTATCTACGTGATCACCATATTCTCCACCCACACTACCAATCCTGATATATTTACAATACCAACATCCCCTTTGTCTAGCGAGCAGTGTGTGTCTAATGAGTCAACTTTGCAGGTATTCCAGGAAGTGCTTAAACTCATGGGTCTATCGCATGATAACCGTACCCCGAGGGGAAAAACATCAAATAACAAATGATTTCGAGACTATAGTTAGTCCCTAACCCTGAGTTGTAAAGCTAACTAACTAGAGTATATCATCACTCTGAGCTCTGATTGCTCAGGACACCCCCGACCGCTAGATATATGAAGAGTTTTAGCCAGATCTAGAACCTTGATGGTTCCTTGCAGATCGGCTGCACGCAACTTCAGATCAGATAGATTTGGCGCAAAGGGAACCTTCGAAGTTCGAAATTATTGGTCACATCAAGGAAGGGGCCAAGGTGTGGAACCAGAAAAAACTGTTTTCCACCAGAAAGCGCCCCAGGTGCTGGATGGGGCGGGTATTAGTACCGCAGGCGAGTTGCTATAGCCAGTCACGCACCTGAATCAGTTACGCGAGTTTCCCGGGTACGCCACCGTTCGCGTAACTACCTGCGCTGCTTGGATAAAAGCAGAAGGGGATAAATTCCCGTCGTATAAAACCAGATTATGCCGATGGGCCTAGTTTTAGCACTTGAGGCAAAAGTAGTAGGTAGCACTCGAGTCGTACTACATAGGATTATTCCGTTAGTTCAGCTTTTATGCATCTCTCGATATTGATATGTGCACTATGCTTTTTCTTACTACGTCATTAGGAACTATCGGCGATAAATATTAGACGAAATCTACGATTCACCTGTGGCTTTATCTGGCCTCCACGCGCGCAATTGGTCGTCTGCTAAGGGGTGCCTCAAGATAGTCCAGTTATTTAGTTTCTTTCAATTATGCTACACCAGCACCTCATTAGCATAAACCCGACATGGCCTAAGCTTGTTAGGGATACTCCCGTATGTAGTATCTAATTCCATGTTTATTCCCGACTTTTTGGCTTCTCCTGGTCTCGCTCCGTTTAAATCCGGTTTCGATGCTTCTAAATCGTTAGCCTCAAAAGCGTTTCTCCTAGCTATGAACTGGCCTCGTCTACCCTGGGAATTGCGGTCTGAAGCCCGCATTGCTGTTCGACTTTAGAGTACACATGCATAGGCTACATGCACTTATGCATATGCCACAGTGGACCGACCCGCGAGTTTGACAATTCCGTCATCGCACTACTCCAGTTAAATAATTCTTCAGATCGATCTTTATGCCGCTATTAATCCTAGACAGCACTTAGATAGAATCGGAGTCTCCCGGGAAAAGATATCGTGAGATCTATCGCAAGCCCATTTCTAAAAAGGGTGCCGCACTAGAAGTCCATAAAAGTACCTATATGGAGAACTCTGGATTAGGAAGCCTATCTGCCAGTAGGACCTAGAAAATAACTTGGACAGTGAACCATCCCCAAATTCTTGCTACCTCGGCATCCCCGAAACTTACAGTGAAACTTCGTTACGTATCAACGCTTATAATAGCCGGAAAGAGGCCAACCGAAGGAAAAGATAGATACTTGGGCCACAACCCTAGCACTAGCAGTATCGGTACAGTTGAATCTCCCTATAATGGTATACTCACACTGAAACAGAACAATCTCGCTATACTTACGCATTAATTAAGTCCTGAGAATTCTTGGTAGCAACGACCTCACAAAGTTTCTCAGGACTTAATTAACGCGCGAGTATGTAGTACGGATATGAAAATGCGAGAAATGTGTTCTTTGCCACAACGCCAACACCAAACAAACTACATATGGCACAAGCTAAAGACACGTTTTTGATTGGGTGTTCAGCGTTTACTTAGTTTCACACATGATCTAGTCTCACCTTGAACCGACAGAATCTCGATCTTGGACAGTATGATTCCACAAGGCAGAGAGGTACTTCAAGGCGGTCTGAGCAGTATAGTAGCAAAAGCCGTGAAACCTGATGGAAAATATCCTAATCTTCTCGAGGTAACTCAAGGTCTCGCGTAGAGTAACAAATAGGTTTTGGGAATGATTATCTAAGCATATATATCACCTTCATTGAAGGTTTCAAAATGGTTGTCAAACCTCGAGAGGAAGCTTGAGACGTATAGGCGGACAACTCAAGACGATCCCAGATAGCTAGCCTCCCTCTATCTACCCTGGCGTCTTAGAGACAAAAAATCCCCAATAACATATTAAACGACAGACATCGATACCCGGACGGAGCCTAAAGATCACAGGGATAACCCAGCCTTTTGGCAAAAGTTAAAGTTGAGTCCTCATCTCTTCCACTGTTTTCACCACTCCCCACTCTACCATAATTAATGCAGAAGCCTTTCCCTCTCCACTTCGTTAGTCGTCGCCAATATCGATAGGCAAGCGACTTACTACCTCATACATACCAACCGCCACGTGACACCGCCGAGTGATTTCCCATGACACCGAACCACACCACACCACACCACACCACAACAAAACCAAGCCATCACTACCCGGTAAGGTACATTTCTCCAAGCACGAAATCCACCTCCCGGCGACCACGGGCCCCTAACTACGGTTAAATCATATTACAATCAGGGTAAAATTACCCCGACAAGACCACCCCTGTCTAGCACAAAATATGATGAGAGATCGTGCACCCATGTCATCCTCGGTTCCCGATGTCCCTCCTCTCCCTCCCCCACGAAATTGATGGCTAGTTAGCTTGTATAATGATCATCGTTGCCTGCGGCGGCTATTTTAAGCGGATTATTTTGGCCCTGCGGAAGATCGAGCAGTGGGTTTGTGGGTGCAACTTGATATGCCGGAACTGAGTGTACCGGATCACTTATTCGGAGGGTTTCTCCGTTTCCGTATATAATTCTCTAGGAATAGATATCTGCATGGAGTTTTTAGTATTCTTTTGTTATTTCGTATTGATACCTGTACTCAGGTTCTTGGCTACCAAGCATATCAAGTCCGGAATTTGGGTCCCCCCAAACACTTAGTCCGAATTGCAACTGTGGGCAGACTTGCTCTAATAAATTTTCTACACATTCCCTCTCAGTAAAATCTTTACGGCACGACGCTGGAGGGGGATAACTAACAACTAGTATGAGGGAATGAACAATCAATCATGATCATGGCGTTAATCATTGGAGCGTAGTACACATTTTTCCCGGCGCCAGCACCCTAATTCGGACTGGTTATCTAATTGATACGTTCTGTTTTTAGTTTGGCGCGGGATGCATGACCGGTTGTGTGCCTGATCTACTGATGAAATATCGTAAGATGTTTTCCCTCTGTCGTTCTTTGCTGGATAGCATACATACATGTAACCCATACTCATCCTTCCCTACGTAGCTACCCCAATGCTGTTTATGCACCCCTCAATGCCCAATCTTGATCAAATGATAGAACGCAGGAACACAGGAAAAGGAAGCAAGCTTATTCCAACTCCTCGAACCTTCTTAAGCCCTTCTCACTCCCCTGGGTTTCCATCTGCCGGCACCCTCCCACATGCCAAATAGATGGCAATTCTCGTATTCGATACCCCCATGGCCGTATTGCATTAGTAACTCGACCTTGATTTTGCTCAGTAAATTGCATTTTGATGCTACACATCAGTTATTCCGGAAGACATGGACCGTAGCTAGTTAGTGGTGAATGACCAGTTCTGGATGGACGCGTGTCAATTCCGCACACAGGATAGCCATCATCCACAGTTGGCTGTTAGTCTCGTGCCCAGACCTGTTTTGATTTGAATGTGTGTCTCCACGAAGTGCGACAACAAAACCAGTCTGGGAACGAGACTAGTTGGTAGTATCGGTAGTGATAACGATCAGTGTGTGATAGATACCTATTCTCCACTCCTCTCCCGCCACGGTAATTGGCATAGTTATTTCTGTCGTTTAGCGAGATTCATCAATAAGTACTAGTTTTGACCGATCTCAGGTCGTACATAATAATCATTTAGGCATGAATTCCCGGCTATCAATTGGCCAAAAAGGTGGGTTCCCTCAAAATCAATTGTGCACGATGTATGACGTCTTTAATTCCTACGGAGGAGTGAGTTTCTATAGGACTTTTTGACCTGAGGTGTCAAGGGTGAGCTGTTTTCTCCTTTGCCCCAGTCGAAAACTCTCGGCCCGGATTGAGAGATCCCGGATAGATACTTTAAAAGAGAATACTAGGATAGTGACTGGTCCTGTGAGTTTTTAACTCTCATTTTGGCAGACTTTGTGAGATAAAAGTACCGTACTTAAAATATTCTGTTACCGTACCTAGTTCTAGACCGACGTTGATATATCTGTAGGAAGCGCGGATTGACCTTCCATACCATCCGAACAGATCCTAACCTTTCTCGGGTATTAAATGATCTAACTAGATCAGGGTTTAGAAAATCCCCCACTCCGGCTCCGATGCAAAGGCGGTAACTAGCATTGCCTTCCAGGCATCGTAATACAGAATGTAGTTTCACAGCAGGGGCACCTTCAGTCAAGTACTAGGAGCCGTGTTTATTGGAGTCTGGATTCTTGCTGCAGCCCTCACCACATATCAAACAAGACCCCTAAAAAAACGCAGATTCTAGCTGGCTTGATATCAAGAAATAAGTACGTCGAGCTGGAGGGGGCATATGACACCCGAATTCTTGATTTAAAGCCGGGGGTATGGAAGATAACATCTATGATCATGGTTAGAAAACCTTTTTTCTTTTTTTTCTTCTTTTTTTGAAGAAGGTTTCTCTTACGAAAATTTTCCCACACTCAAAACAAAATTTTGCGTAGAGGTTGGCATTTTTAATGGATGGGTAGAAATTATAAAGTGCTTTGCAGTTTCAAAAGACCAGGTTTGCCATGTCGTCTGTGCCCAACTTTTTATCTATTGAAGTTATGATCGACAACCGGGAATTCGAAGATACTCATGGATCCTTATGTTTGTCAATTCACCCTTTGAATAATCGTCGGTTGAAGTTCGGAGTATCTCCATAGGTCGGCAAATGACGCTATGCTAGGCACATTACGCATCGAGTGCCCTTAAAGGAGAATATGTACTATTGCACTAGCATCTGACAGGTGTCCAACGCCTGTCAAACCCAGCGCAAAGCCCCGTTAACTTCCGTTCCCGTCGCCCGATGAGCAGCCGCTGAATCGGTAGTACCAGTGCCAATGACTCCAGAGGAAGAATACTATAGCAGAACTCGAATGTCTCTTTTTTGACAAAAATGTTAATTGTATCTCTTGGAACGTCAACTTTCGTCGCCGGTGAAATCGACTCACTTACCCGGGATTAATTCAAGCGCTCAGTTGGGACCAACATGTAGGGATAACCTGCCGGACACATTTCTGCTAGTCCAGATTGAGATTTAATATTATCTATATGCTAGTAACAATGTGCACGTGGGAGCTCGCTTCAGGTCCCAATAATGACGATCGTTTGGTAGATGGTTAGAATCCTTGTTCATGAGAGGAACGGATGAAAAGTAGAGAAAATAACAATGGCCTACGTAACTTCAACGCCGCAGAGGCCGAGCGCAGTTATTCCCTGAAAGGTTTGTGGGCACATATAAGGATACATATACCTTTGATATGATCTTTACAACCTTCTCGAATTAAGCATCTTTCTTCATTCGTGGGTTTGCACGTATTCTGCAACATGCATTTCTCCGGTCTTTTTCTCTCTTTACTTCCCTTCATATCTCTTATCACAGCTCTTCCTCAGCCAGAGACAAGCCTCGAGGATAGAGAGCTACTCGATATTCCAATCATTAGCGATGTCCTCGTAGCCCTCGATGATCTTGTTGGAGGGAAGATCCTTGGCGACATTGTCTCATACCTTCTTCTGAATCCTCTGACCAGTGCTAAATTCCCCGGTCTCACCACAGTCCTCCAAAGTGCCCAGGATAAAAATGTCACCTGCGAAGAGTTTAATCGGGGTTTACTCTCTGCAATTCAGCTGCACCCTGCTTTCATAACCGCTCATAATGAGCTGGATCCGGATCTGCAAGAGAAAGTCACTGAGTTTATTAGTGGTAAATCGGCCTCTAGCATCATAGGAAAGAGGGGTTTCTACATTCCTCCTAGCCCAGCTGCGAAACAACACTTCAAACGAATGGAGGAATCCGGAACGACGCCAATCTCAAGGCGTTGGTTGAATGCAAAGAGGGATACAAGTCCTGTTATCTACGAGGACACAAGTAATTCTACATCTCCCATGACTGTAAGTCACTCAAAACCTCTAAATATAAGCACAAATCGAATACTAACCCCTCAGGTATATGTTGCTGCCGAGTTCGAGAACTGGGGTCTCACAGTTTCCAACACTCCCGCATATACCTTTGTCCCCACCAAAGTCAAGGGACTACAGAACTTAATCACCTGGGCGAAGACCAAAAAGCTTAGGGTACGTGCTGCTGGATATCGACATACCTGGGGCGATATGTATTCCGAAACCGATCATGTGTTCGTATCCATGCTAGATACGAAAACTGCAACTACTGTCCCTGACCCTTCATCTATTCTCCCGAACGCCGCCTCAAATGCTGCAAATGAATTCAAGCAGATTGAACTAGCATCAGAAGATGTGTCAGGCTCCGGTGGGAAGAAACGACTTGTGAGACTTGGTGCTGCAGTAACAAACGAGGAGTTTAGAAGATGGGCTATTGCGAATAATGCTTGGACAGTACCTGTTAATGTTGTCATGGTTGAGTAAGTCAATTCCTTCTCGGAGGAAATAGGTCGGTGTAACTAATCTGGTGCCAAAACAGAATCACATATGGGGGTTCGAATGCACCTATATGCCATGGGGGAGGAATTCAGCATAAAACCCTCAGTGACCTTGTTCGTCAAGTTGAATATGTTGATGTCAACGGCGTGCATCAAACTGTGTCTGATCCAGATCAACTCAAGGCTGCCGCTGGTGCCTTTGGACTTTTGGGTAAGTCTAGTGCTACGTGCCCTACGCTACGAGACTTTTTATTGACTTTAGCAGGTGTCGTTACCCATATAACACTTGAGTTAGATTCTATGACCTACGCCAACATGCAACCAGCTAAGCCCGAAATTGGCCTTACAATTCCACCACCCGAGGGATATACTGTTCCAAAGGCAATCAGAGAAACCTACACTGATGCACAGCTCGAGGAAGCAAGACTAGACTGGATTTCCAAAGCTGAGAACTCTTACTATTCGGAATATTTTTGGTTTCCTTATCAGGATAGAAGTTTTGTCAACGTCTGGTTAGTATGGATATTACAAAGTGGAAAGCAAATATACTGACTCTTGCATCCTAATTTAGGAATAATACCGAAGACTCTACAGGAGCCATCGATTATCCGTCTGCCCCCGATCAGTTCAACCAATGGATCCAAGGATGGCTCGGAGGTGTCATTAATGATGATCTACTTTTCCGAGCGTTCCCGGGGCATTGGCAGGCCGTTATACTCTGTAAGTCCTTCTTTATCCTATAATTAATCAACCCTAATTAATTGTCTATGTAGCCACCGCTGCAATGCTTGGTCTCCCAGACTCAGATGTCAAAACATACCTAATCGACGCCATCCACTTCCGTCGTGGTGTTCAAAACATGCGAGTCCGGGACATTGAGCTTCAGATCCCAATCCCAGCACTTGCAGATGACCCAACCAAGCCTGATTGGACAGTCGTACAAAAGGCATGGTGGGACGCTATCGAGATTGTCTATGCCGATGATAGTGCACCTATGAGAATCGCGCTTGAATTGAGAATTATGGGCGACAGTGATATAATCATGGCACCGCAAACCAGAAACAGTTTTGGGACGGCTAGTATTGAGGTGTTGACCACCATGCCAGCTGCAGATGATGGCTCATGGGCTCCATTCGCTCAAAAGATTGCAGATAAATGGATGAGCTATACCACACAAGATGGAGCGTTGATCAATACCCGTCCGCATTGGGCCAAGGAATGGTACGTATTTCCACGATGAGAGCTTGTTCCCCTTACTGACTGAATTGTATCAATAGGCAAGGGATGACAATCAATGGTACCGATTGGAAGCAATATCTAAAGGATGTTTCATACAAGGATGAGATTCCACAGTTTTTGAATGTGCTTGGTGAGATTGGGGCTGAACAGGGCTGGGAGTTGAAGGACTTGAAGGAGCGATTCTCCAACCCGTTTTTAGATGATATGTTCTTCGAGTAGATTCTTTTATTTTTCAAAGGGTCTATCAATAATTAGCTTAAGAATTTTATAATATAAGGTCGAGGTTGCAGGTTTTATAATGGTAGAAATACATGTAATTAGCTCATTACTATTTTCTTATATCCCAAATCATAAAAACGTATATCGTGGGATATAAAACTGCTTGCGAACTATATCATGTCCCTAAATGCCTAGCGTAACCTGAACACGGGGAGAAACATGAAGAGGCTTCGTAGTATTTCGAGTAGAACTAGAATATCCTCCGACCTCTCCTAGCATTGATAAACTAATAGAGTAGCCGTGGCTTACACATTTTAAATTGCACATGTCCCGACAGGACTCAGTAACGGTAGCCAATTAAAGGTTGATATGAAGTACATGAAGTATTAGTATAGGTGGATATATCGGTAGTCCCATCTAGGGATCCAGGAGTTGTGACCTATGTAGACCGGCAACTTGGTTACTGCTAAAGTGTATATTAATTATTAATATAGTACGATCTCTTATACCAACTTGGGTCACGGTTACCGCCAATTCTCGATAGAAGAGCCCGGGTTCAAAGATCAAATCTAAGTCATCTGATTGGTTGTTCTGCGCTTTGCCACCACTTATCGCTCTGTACTTTTGCATCAAACCCGGGCTCTTATTTCGAGACTTAGCGTTACGTACATGCTCGTTCCCGTCGGATTCCATTTGCTAAGGATCGGGAGACGATGAGAACAAGGTTGTGCCAGAGATTACAACACGATATGTGTCACCAGAGAACTTTTTATTTTACGCTCTAAAAATCATTGGCTAAACTTTGTACAATGTGGAAATTGCTGCGATTTATCACGAGCCATAACTAATGTATAATGGAGTGTATGCCATCCTACTAAGGTAAGCCGTACTTAATCTGGATGTAAGCGACCCAGCGTGCCAAAATATAAATCGATCACCACTGATAATGAATGGGTGGGTGGGATTTGCACTTTACCATCACCATCGCCCCTCATCTGCATGCTTCTCGAAACTCAATCGATGGCCTATTTAAGTTGTTCCCGGCCCCTTGTGCCGGGTACAGCACCTTGATAGAGAACAGATAAAGGTCCCAAGTGATGCAATGTCACTCGCCTCACAGCAACAGGAGCAAACAAACAAAACCGACACAGAGGACCCTAGATATGTAATTCATCTGTCTTTGGATCCGAGATTTTGTTCCTTGCATCGCATCATCATCCAAGACCTAGTTATGTCCTAGACGTGAACCTGCATCACAAGTCTTACAATCCAAAACCCGGATAGAACTCCAGAAATATTGAACCGTAAAATAGCACAAGAAAGAAGAATAATCTTTGGGAATTGAACATGGAGTGGTGGACTGCACATTGCCCCTTATTCCTCAAGCTAGTCGCTTTGTCGATTTGTAATCGCTTCCTCCCACCACAGCTTTTCTGCTGGTATTAGTCGGCGACGTTAGGGCGAATGGACATCTGCTCGCTTCTCCGTGGACCCCTACTCGATTGACCTCTTATCCGAGCTTGTAGGTCAATAATCGCTACTGCCCTTTTTGATCGTCCTGCTGGCATCCTGCTTTGCGGGTCGATGCACCACATGCGGCATTCGCCGATCGGTCGGTTAGTCGCACGGCGTCATGCATCCTCACTCGATCCCGGGCACAGAAGCTCGCTTCAAATAACAGTCTGTTGTCCCTACATTGAAAAGGAGTAATTTTTCAACGTCGTTGTGGTTTATGTATCCGGCTATGAATTTTTAGTCGTTAGCTTGATGTAGGTATATGTAAGTACATGTACTTTTGGGGTACAGGGGATTTAAGAATGAAGTATATTATGTTCTGTATTCCGCACAGATGCCCTGGAGAGACATGTGTGTGTACTGTGCGTTGGACCCTTTCTCTCGCGTTGATTGGAGTTGAGTGTGTAGAGCAGGCTTACAGGGTTTTATGTAAGGCGCAGATGTTGTGGGACAGTGACATACATATAAGTATTGTAGGACGGAAAGAACTGGAGGATTTCATGAAGTAATACTTCTTAGTGATGGTATGTATAGCTCGGTCACAGGGGGAAGCCGAGTTCCATGTCCACTCGTTGGCTGTAGTTAAGAGAGGTGAGGTGTGCATGTTTTAATTGGAAGGAGAGGTTACGGTACTATACTTGGCAAACCCATAAAGTTTATTACTCCAAGTGGGCCGCTAGCAGTACCTGGGATGAGCACACATCACACGAGTACATGTAGTCACCCAAGTCACAACTAGTGCCGAGATCAATTTGGTAAACACCTTTTGTCAATCACCACTTCAAACCTCCTCTTAATCTTGATTTCGACTTAGTCTATTCATCAATCCCGTAGTTTACAGCAACTAAGAGGCAATGTACCTACATGTAGGCACATGCGTGCTTCATCGGCGGTTAGTACGAACATAAGCAAAAGAGATCGCCGAGATGCCAAACGAAAGGGAATCCCTTTTTCTTTTTTCTTTTTTCTTTTACTCGTCATCAGTACACCCCCCCCCCCCCCCAGGTACTTCTACAGAAAAGAACTCATCCTAAAATTTGTTAGAGCATCTATGCACCCCAAAGACTTACAACGTCATTATAGCTTCCGGTACTTCGAGCCGTACAAGTACAGAAAACCACTCAAGGCTAAGTCAGTAGTGGAAGGGCCTAGGCAGCGTGAAAACCGATGGTATCACTGGCATTCATAACTATTAGCCTCGCTAATGTGATATGAGATGGGAATTGGTCACGATATGAATTTAGGAAAGGGAGCTTCGGAATTTATGGCTCCCCGATATTGTGGGGTTAACCGTTTCGGGGCGTGATCACAAAATGAGAGACAGCTCGGGAGATCCCCCGGTTACCCACCACCGGAGGAGTTCAAGACCGTCTCAAGCGAGCAACACCGCTGTACTGAGAGGGGATAGTCTACGATTCTACGGATCATAGATGGAACTTCAACACCCAGTTGACCTGGAGTTGTGGTAGCAATTGCACCTTGAAGTGGGTAAAACTACCCGCTACACACACCCAAATACATGGAAATAAGATACGAAGCTCTGTGAGTAGTGCCCTTACGATGCATTTTACCTCCTTTCAGTAGTTTTGTGCAACGGACTGTCTAATACTCTGGAACTTGTGTCGATCACTCACTACTGCCGTGTCCGTTGAAGATTGCATCTGCCACGGTTTCTCCATACCAAGCTATGACTGTCAAGAATTGACACTAGAGCAAGGCGGTTGCCATTTAGTGCCCTACTCTAGTGTGAATATTATGGACTTTGTTCCAGAGTATCATGTTAGGAAAGATATGCATTGTAACTGTATGATTATAAATGAACTATCTTTCCGCGCACATCAAATCAAGGACACTTTTACTCAGCTGTGCTGAACTTATTCCTGAGGCCTCAAGACAAAATGTGGAGCCCCAGATGCTGTTCTCCGAGTGGCTGCTCCACACTTCCAAACCAAGATCCACAATAAGCCACACGCCACAAGCCCGCCTATTTATTCAGTTATCACCACAAATCCAACTCGTGCACTTTCACGCGGCTAGCAAGGAACAATCCGGTTCCTTCAAGGCTGAGGTGTGTCGGATCGGTATTGGAAACCTCGCGAATCGCAACCCTGCTTCCCCATCAACTCAGCAGCCAGCCACGTCAAGTAGGCAAAGGAAAAAACGTTACTACCCATAAAGTGCGTTTAACTAGTTCAGCACTCCGTGCAATAACAACCCCTTCCAATCCCCCAAGCCCCACACTCAGGGCAAGATCAACCCAATGAAATTTCTAAACTGTACTCGTCTCCGAGCCAACCGCGTTTATGACACCTAACCACCATGGACTAAGGGGCGATAAAGTGGGCGGGAAGCGCAGTCTTCATCGCTCCCCCAGTTACCCCCGCTTTTACATAAATCAGCCACGGTTCCGGTCCCTCGGTAACTACTGAACTAACCCCTGGCAAATATTCTCCTACCCAACGCACCGGCACTCCAATAGGTAGTTGGGCCACATTATCGTTTTCAATTGCACACTTTATATTTGTTATTGTTTGAAGCAATGACAAACATTACCCCCCAGCCTTTGATGTCGTACTGGGACTACGAGGATGGAAACGAGACTATCACAGCTGATGTAAGCTTTGACTTGAGTATACTCTCAGAGTGGCTTTATGACTTTTTTCTTCCTTCTCATGTGAAATAGTGATAAAATAAAGGCTAACTATGTTTTTGTGACTGGGATAAATAGTCTTTTGACAGCGACTCAGCATACGACGATGGCGGGTATTTGATAAACCCCTACCGTTCGTTTTGGAACACACTATTGGACTATAAATTGACTGACACATACTAGCGATAGGCCAGTCGAAGATTTGACGCTTCTCTCCCATGAGAGAGCAAACGTATGCAAGTATGAGAATGGGAGAAGATATCATAGGTATCATGAAGGACGTATGTATTCACACCTCAACTATCAGTAATCCTACCATCTCTTTTATTAACGGCTTCGGTATATAGAATACGCTTTCCCGAACGACAATGTATGATTCAATCACTTCACTGATCTTGTCGTAAACCTAAGATTTGAGATTGCTAACCTCCTTGATAGCAAGAGCTCGACCGAATGGACCTACAACATCACATCTCGAACCTGGTCTTTGGAGGTAAACTTCATTTTTCGCCCATTACCACTGGCGAGGGAGATCCTTCGCCGATTCTAGATATTGGCTTTGGGTCAGGTATGATTGTTCCCCGAAAGCCCAACTCTTTATGAAACAAATCTAACAAACAGATTGCTAGGAATTTGGGCTGCCAGTATGGGTAAAAAAAACCTGTCTTTGACCGGTTTATATTGGCTGTTGAGACTTATAGCTAATCGATCGACAAAGCCGAAATGTATCCTCACTCGCAAGTAATTGGAGTAGATCTCAGCTGGACGGAGCCAATTTGGTAATTATAAAACCTACACTTCCTATTTTCGGTACAAAACTCACTCTTACGCATCCCAGGTGTCCGCCTAATTGCAGACTCGAAGTCGACGACTGTGAGCATGACTGGCTTTACAAAAAAGATTATTTTGAACTTGTACATATCCGGTATCTCAATGGGTCAATACGTGATTGGGACCGTTTATTCCAACAGGCATACCGGTATATATTATCTTTAACATTAATTCCTCACTACTATATATTGTTTTACTTATTTTCCTTTTAGACATACCCGTCCCGGGGGCTGGATCGAACTACAAGAATGTGACATCGAGCTCTACTGCGATGACAACACGCTTCCACCTGACAGCATGCTTCTGGAGTGGTTCGTCCTAATAAACAAAGCCGCCACCGCCAGCGAGAGGCCCTTCATAAAAACGCAACACTTCAAGTCTTGGCTTGAGCGCGCAGGCTACGTGAATGTGAAGGACAAGCTGTTCAAAGTGCCAATCAACCGGTGGCCAAAGGACAAGAAGATGAAGGAGCTTGGACACTATGAGATAATGAATATTGCTGAAGGGTTAGAGGGCTGGAGTATGGCGTTGTTTACGAGGGTGTTGGGGTGGGAAAAGGACGATGTGCTCGTATATTTAGAAAAAATCAAAAAGGAGTTTAGGAATAGGAAGGTGCATGCGTATTGGTCATTGTAAGCTACATATCTCCCTAAGTTCCTTGCTTTCATAAATACTAATGGGATTATAGAAGAGCTACCTACGGGCAAAAACCAATGGACAGTAGTACCTAGTTGTGGCCGGCGTGAGCGTCTCGTTTCTTCCCTAGTTCTTAAAAACTGTAAATATCAAAGCCGCTCCTCTGCTGCTTTAAAAAAAACCACAACAACGAGATTTAGTTGAGTTAATTGGTTAATTGATTAATTTGGTAGTTATTTTTTTTTTCATATCGGGGGTGGGGGCCGGTGGTTATCCAAACATAGGGTTATGCATGGGTTGTAATTCCTTTGAGACTGTCAATATTCTACATACATACATTAGTGGGTTGTTTTTGTGGTTTTGTACATGGGGTGGCGTCGAATCGGGTATATATTATTTCAATTTAATTCATCAATTCAATTTAGTGTTTTTGTTTTTTCCATCTTAAAATCTTTGACGGATGAGCATCCAAATATAGACTACTGCGCACAGTCATTGGCTTATGCATTATATTCGGTCCGGCTCATGAACTCGGGATGTTTGGTTATGTGGCTTTCTATACGTACTCTACATAGGTACCTTACCTATCGGCTCGCGGCACGGAATGGGTGTTCGAGTTGGTGATCGGCATAATGCTTCTTCAGGGTCGCTGTCATATCATAGCTGATGATATTGAAATTTGAAATTTACGGCGCACCCGAACCACTAACGCAGCACCGGGGATGTCCGACCTGCTGACTGCCTGTCTGTCTAGACAGCTAGTAGCAGCTGATCCCATATCATAGGGCTCTTTAACGAAAGGTGACGACGATGGAACTTCCCAGGGCGTTCGTTGTTGAGATGTTAGGAAAAGAATATATCCCTGCCAAGATCTAGAAGGAGGCGCCAAAGTGCAAAACGTACGGCCGCCGTCACCATGCTTAATTGTGGCTTGAGCGGATTGTGGAAGTTGGCAGATGGACCGAAACAGGTTCCCGTCTACCGGAAATATCATATAAACACCAGGCCCAAAACTCCGAACGAAGTTTCTGCAAGTTGCCTGGTCCAATCATTCGGAGGTCGGTTGAATGGAGAGCAGCTAACCAGTTTTCAAGCCTTTTCCGGTACTTGCCACGACGCAGCATCCCCCTCTCTTCCTCCATCGATTAGTCACAAATATTTTTTTTTTGTTTCAGGAAGAAGAAAAAGGATGCCATGACGCCTACAATACCGGCACCAGCTTTTCCGAAAGAAAGAAAAGAGCCAACAAGTACCCACGGGGGACGATCCAAACTCGTGTTTCGCTCCCTGCCTGCTCACCCGGTACACTGGCTGGTTGGTACCAGGACCTCGGACTCGGGCCGGCACACGCCGCCGGCGGGAGCACGCCCGCGCACGGGTGGATGGGCACAAGAGGCCGCCGACACGGACACGCGCAAGCAGGCGGCCAGAAGAGGACAGGGGGTCCTTGGCTTGTTGGGTAATTCCGGAGGTAATTCTTTGGGTGAGGATGGGGTTTCGGGGAGAGTGAGGTGTTGGGAAAAGGGATGGGGTAAAGATGAAAATCAAAGTCAGCGAGGAAAAAGCGGTTTGGAAGAGTGACTACATGTATTTCTCGCCATGTTTGCAACCCTGGTTCGGCTTCACTCCGTAAGCCTAGGAAATTGGGTACTCTAATCTCTCGGGAGGGACATATTTAGGCCGGATCCAAAGACCAATTACTGACACTACTGCAGAAACTAACCTGCTAGAACACTCGTACCCAGGAGATGTATCTCCTGACCAATGAGATGCTGCGGGAGATGTCGGGGTAAAGGATCAACATTCATTCCAGAGCCCTGGCAGCTACGAAAATTCGTTGGAGTATGGGGGGAACACTGTGAAACTGTGCAACTGTAACCGGGGAAGAACACTCTCCACGTGCTGGAGGAAAACCCAGGGGGTGAACAGATATATGTGCAGGACCGATAACGTCACATCTTAGGGACCTCTTCTGAAGGACGGGCCAGATGTCAGAAAACGGACCAGAGATGCTCCAGCTCGGCCACGTGCATATAATGTCCGCTTGGTCACAATATTTTCAGTCACCAATATTACTGGCCGCCGCAGCACCGGAACCCAAGCAAACACGCGCTGCATTGACTAGGGGGCGAGTACAGTCGCACCTCGCTATCTCGTAATTCGATATCTCGGATCTCTTGCTGTCTCGTACGGATTTGCGGGACAGGTACTGCCCTTCTCCACCAAAAACTATTTGCTGTCTCGTATACTTGCTATCTCGTAGGGTTTGGCTCCCAGAATACGCTAACGACATAACGAGGTGCGACTGTACTAAGATTCGGCGGTTGAAATAAGCAATTGACGAACGACGTAGGTAACCAGTTGAATGACCCAAAGGAGAAAAAAGCAAACAAGAGCAAAACCTTCTTCTCCTTTATGTGTGTAACTAATTGACTATCCAGGTCAGTGTCGACAACTCTCTCTCCTTTGGAGGGGGGACATTTCACTTACACTATTTACTTACACGCGGTATCCCATCATGCGGTTCATTATTTGCAATTAAACGGGGGCTCAAATTAATTCCCGGTAACTTCCTCCCAATCGCTGCTGAGTTTGGAGCTCTCATGAGGTCGCGGTGAGGTGCTGAATACGCCTCAGATATATGTTGCCATCTGAGTGGATTTACGGCGGTCCGTTAAGTAGCCTGGTTCTTTCCATGTTAGGTTGCATTTCAGTGGACAATCTCTGAAGTGACTTGGGAGGTAGATTCTTACATGTAGTTACTTTCATTCATGATGACAAGAGGAGAGAGAGATGTGGACCTCTCTGCTCGTGTGAGTACAGAGCTTTCCAATGACAACTACATGTATTACCCGTACCCCTAGCCACGTATGACGTACATTCTCTAGTCTCCCTGAGCAGGAATATATACCTAACCCTCATTACTTATTCGGATTAGTGTGAATTGTAATATGGGATTACCACAGTATCAATATTTATCGCCGGACTTCGTTTTCTACAATGTGTATACCGTCAGGCTCGAAATTGGCTATCCATACAAGATCAACATCACTACCATCGGATCACCGAAAACTTCTGGTGCTAGCCGAAACCCTCCGTATATTGCATGTTCAAAAGATAATAATGTCTAGACAGATTGCCCGATTATCGTCCTTTTGCTGAAGATATAATGCAAGATCTCACGCTCCAAATATAGCGTCTTTATACGATAATAGCTTTTGGCCAACACGTTGGGGCAAGTTAATCACAGAATATCACTCGCGCCGCGATATTGATTGATTAATTCATTAAGTACTTCTCGCGCCGCAATATGGGAAGAACTCGCTCCACGTTGAATAGTGCAGTCTCCAGGTGTCATTAAACGATCGAGCGTAGAATATACATGCTGTCTTTTATTTTAGTAGTGGAAGATATTTTCATGAACTTCATGACGTTTCCTATAAACACTTCGGACATGATAGTAATATTTTCCAGCGTGCACAGTACGGTGAGCAGAAGCAGTCAAAACCGTGGCTATGGCTAATAGTGTGCGCTGGACAGTTCTTTCTTTTCTGCCCGTACTTGTGAGAAGCCAGTCTTTCTGGGTAACTGAGGAATTTGGCGTTTATAGATTCCTGTATAAGCAGAACGCCGGATATCTTAGATCTAGGTCACTAATATATACGTCCGACTCATCTAGAGCTGGATTATTTAGGAGGACCAAGAAAATCTATTTTGCACTGTGCGTAGTTTTTTCTGTGTCTGCTAGACCAAGCAATAAGTAAAAGTCAAAATTACTAGTAGCGAGTGATATTGTGTGATTAACTTACCGGGATTTATGGGGTTGTACATACGGCAAGAGAAGACTACCCACAAACCATCGATACTGACAACCCCTTGTGAGATCCAAGGCTACAGCACAATTGCGCAAGAGATCAACAAAACAATAGGCTCTTGCCACCTTTTTTCCTTGTCAGCATTGTCTCGACGGCTTATGTATGTATGGGAATATGGGTTGGATCCTCTGATGTCGAACTAAGGGGCCTACCGGGGCCATGTAGGGGTATTCCCGGTTCAGAAGTGGATCTGATGTGATTGGGCAGGAGCGCACCTGATCCGCCGGAAAGGATGTCAATGACACTGTACGGCAGCTGACCGGAGGAGGGGTACCTGGCATAGTTGCTGTATGCACACTTGCACAAGGAATCCAATATATCCAATGTTGGGGTATGACTGGGGGAGAACGACTCGGGGCCGTACTAGCCAGGGTAGTAATCTTCATATGTAATCGAGGGCTAGCTAGGCTGGCCAACGATCTCTCGTTCTTTCTCTTTTCTCCGTGTATCGATCAGCAAAACTCAAACAATTGGCACTTCTTATGTGCCGCTCACAGGCTTCGCCGCATATTTTCTCATCCTCTGTCTAGATCTGTAGATCTACCAGGTATGTATGGACTACATACCTTTAAGAGGTGATACCTGCTTCGGGGACATCACACATTCCCATCCGAATAATAGGCTCAGCACATGTATAATGGAACAGCTCCCTGCATATATATAGAGTACAGTGAGTGGTAAGGTTATTGTAGAAATATGAGAGGAATCCTATTCGCCCAACCAGCCATACAAACCCTGTTTCCAGAGTCTGCCTCTCGCTGTGCTTACACGATATAAAACCTGTGATAGTTACCAGTTCTTGCATGTTGGGGTCTTGAGTACCCCGAGCTGGTACTTGCGAGTATGTAATCGTTAATTCCGGGCTGAAACTGCATCCTAACAAATCGCAAGCTATCCGACTGTCGCACAGTGTTCTGCTAGTTATATAAGTTATTTTTCCTTTTTCCTATTGCAAGACACAGAATTATTACTGGAAGCTTGGCACTCTTGGTTTTCGTCCCGGTTTATATAGTCCAAACCGATTGAAGAATAACCTGTAGCGAGTAGGACGTTGCGGCTTCCTCTTCAATAAAAACCAAGACCAACCCACGATCACAATTTCGACATCAGTTTGTGCGACCGATGATCTTTTAATTTGAGTCTTCTGGCTACTGTTGTGAGAGATTCTCTAGCTTGTACCCTTTGCCATTTGGAACCAGATATATTTCAATGTATCGTGG